ATGGGCTCCCTGTGTGCAACAGGGACAGATGAGCTAATGAAAGACGCTCGGGCCTTTTATTGCACACGGGATGAATTTAGCTCTTTGGCTCTGCCTGTCTTGGTGCGGCGCTTATCTCGCTGGGAAAACGTATGATTTATATACGGTCTTTGCACTCAAGTTTCTGCGTAATTCTGATAAGGATGCTGGGTTAGTGTGTGTTTCTATGTCTGGTTTATGACTGTTTATTGAGACCACAGATTGTGGGACAGCCTACCGGGGGACACAAACAATCCGTGGGAATGCAAATTCCCACCAGTTCCCAATCCCATTCATTATCTCCAGAATTCCCATGTGTCGGATGTATATTATCCTCTTTTGCCGGGACCACTTGAACACTGCGCTGCCAGCAACTCTGTGTCAATGACATCTATTTATGTGCAAACATTTGCAAACTTTTTTTTTAAATGGACAAAAATGATGATAAATACTGTTAAATCATAAACAAATGTACCACTATAGTAACGGTTAAAAATCCCCCAAAATATCAAATAGATCGAATAGAAATAGAATAGAACAGAGAATAACAAAAGAAGAGACAGTATTGAGGGAGAGAGGATTATAGAGGTGATGGCGTTGATGAGGATGAGCGGGAAGGTCAACCTCAGGTTTTGCATACTTGCCTCTCTCTCTGGTACACAACATCTATGCCAACACCTCGCCATGTCCAACTGCCTTCTCACCTGCCGGATTATTCACCTGACTCAACTGGCCTCCACAGGGGCGATGCCCATGCGTGTGAATGTCAAACTGATTTTCAAAAAGCTGTTACTCCTCAAAATGGTCACCAGTTCTACAGCTGTAGGAACGCATAGAATGAACTGAACTAACCTTCAAATACAATAAAATGAGAGTTTGTGCCACTAAATTGGATGTAGTTAAACAAGCAACATGTGCAACGCCCGCTGATAAATACACACTACCTTGTTCAACTGTAAGTGCATAAGAATGATTGCCTTATGAAAAAAGTGTGTCATGCCCTATTACACAATCTGATTCCTGAAACAATCTGTTAGAAAGAGTTGTTGGTTTTAAGTGTTCTCTTGGCTGTCTTGCCTCCGAGGAGGAAATATTTTTCCTTTTTAATAATAAACTTTCATTAAAAATATATAATAATGAGACGCGCAATACAGACATGCGCAAACACGCATTTTTTTGTTTTGATGTTAGGGAAATTCCCTGCAACTTGCATGTATACAGGTGATTTGCGTACGTTCACTAATCTAGGAGGGTTGGCTACAACTGTAAACCCACTACAGCTGAACACACACAAACACATGCACACACGGGAGCCCATACTCATCAGCAGCTGATGACCGTGTTGATAAGCCGAGTACAACACCCAAGAGCTTCACACACTAATGGTCAACAGAGTGTGTGTGTGTCTACGTGTGTGCATATGTGCATTCCCTCCGCACCGCTGGCTTTACAATTCACCTGCCTGTGGCCGTTAAACATCGCAAGTGACTCAGATGCAATACAGACGGGATCAAATTTCTCTCACACGCACACACCTGCAGCTCACACACATGCTCAGCAACACAAGAAATGTGCAAGTGGTACTCCGATTGAAAGCAATCAGTGGCCTGTTATGTCACTTGATTAATAGCGGTTCTCTAACTTGCTTGATACACTTTATTTTTAGGATGCAAACATTTTTCTTTTTTTTTTAGCCCGGGGTTACTTTAAAATTATCCTTGATAACATGAATAGCAGCTCCCAAAACACCAAAACCTGTCCTGCTAAGACAACACTCCTGGTTACACCTGGCTCACTGTGTGCGCTTCTGCCTGCACGGGTCCAATGTCTCTCTGGTCTTATCACCTTGTGTGAGGCCTCCAGGTGCAAGGTGAGTTATAGGAATCCAAACCGCCACCCGTTGCAGCGAGCACGCAGGGTTTTTCCGAACACGTTTAGCAAGTCTTCGTATAGAGTTCTTGAGAAGAGGCAACTACAACTGTTACAGCAACAGTCGTGTCCAACGCCAACAACCTCAGGTTTAAAGTAACTACTATTACCGTTACAAAAACACTTTTACTGAAGAGAGTTTTCAAGGTTGTGGCAGTTGCTTTTTTTTTCTAAGACTGCTCTGATTCCTCTACAGCCGTCGCTGGCCCTGTTGTATTATCTCTCTGAGTGTGGTTATGGATAGAAATGCAATGCTCCATCCGAGTGTTGTTGATTAGTAATAGTTTTTTAATACTTTTCTAGGTACTCCTCTAACTCTTGGAGAGAAAGTGAATATTTGTTGCATAAATCAGTGTCAAGAGAAGTTACAGCTATAACCACATTTATTTAAATACATGGCCAATTGGCCTGATTTTCTATTTTGGATGTGTTTGCGTCACAGACGGGGGCTCATCAAAAAGTATACCGTGCATATTTTGGGGGCGATGGAGGAGGATTATATAGACTGTAATACGAGATATTTTTTTAAGTTTTTAAGTTTTGCAGTGTAAGCAAACATGTTACATACTAACTGATATGTCACCACATAATAATGATTGTGGACTACTCTGTTGTTTGATTTGTTATTTACTCATGCGCGCTCATCTGTTTTACAGTTACGGTTATCATCCTGAGAGGAAAAACAGAGCATGGCATCATGAGTTAGAATTACGGGAAACGCACCGGATATTCATCAGAGGGCATTTCTCAACCTCGCCCAAAAGGTTTCCTGACTACCTCAGCACTGTGGAATTATTAACAAATAACTTTTGTCAAAAAAATAAGTTTATTATGAGATGTATCAATGGAACCGGGATCATAACAAATGTGCACAGGAAACTCGAACTGTTGTACCTGCACGTGAGTCACACGCACCGGGTAATGAAAGATACTAAAGGTACTCTGTGCGTACAAGAGCGGGAGTTGAGTACTCGGCCGTTTATGCATGAGTGTATGAGTGTGTGTGTGTGTGTGTATTTGGGAGAAAGGGAGCGATAGGCAGAGAGAGAGAGAGGATCATGAAGCCCGTAATATTCCAGATGGTCAGGCTGTCACACCGGTGGGAAATCACAGGGACTATTAGCTCAGCTGCTGCTTTGTCTCAATCAATAAAAGACTTGAAACCAACAGGTTTCTGATACACTTTGACTTCTTGACCTACCATGACCCATAGTTGTTAATGTGGGTACTTTGATAGCTTTACAGTGCCGTGGGCCTATGGTGATATTTTATTGTTATGAATTTCTACACAAAGCTTGACATGTTGTAAAGTTGCTGATGCCATCCCTGTGAGCCAGTTTTTATTATGTTGAGGAGAGTAAAACCCTACGTCTATAATATCCGCTGCCTCCACCATTACAATCATGTCATATATCATCCGTGTGGCGCTGCATTCAGATGTATTATGACTGCTTATAAGATAAAACATATCTGTGTCTGAGGCTTATTTTTAAGCGGGAAATATGTCTTTCAGATAAAGCAACTATTAGTAATGTAACGATAAAGTGTAGGTATGTTTAACTTTGCAGAGAATGGAGTTGCTCTCTCTATCCCCCTGTCGTCATCCAAGCTTCTCTCTGCCTTATTTACATATCTGAGCTGCCCATGCATGCCTTTAATGCATATTTGCGCGTGTATATGAATTTTACTGCATGTGAACACCCACTGGTTAGCTCGTGGCCATGGCACTACAATGTCGTTGTGGAAGCGGATCCCCCTCAGGTTAACACCGTTAACGCTTATCATCATAATTGTCATAGTTTCTTGTGTTGGAGCCAATGACAGGCAAGAGGCAACTTTTTAAAAATACCTATTGTTGTTATGTTTGATTTTTAGGTTACATTTCTTTTACATGCTCCGTGCTTTGTTCTGCCCAAGATTTGACAATAAGTAATGCGCACTCTGATCTGGAGAAATATGACCGTCGGTTGAATGGAAAGTCAATTGTGCCACTGACAAAGCCTCACCTCCAGCATTCAACTCCAATTCAGTCCAAATTGTATTGTTGAATCCCCCCCCCTCCCTTACTGTGAGTACCGAGCAGAATCAGAATCGGTTCACTATCTCATTTAACTCCAAATCACAGACACATGTTTGTTGTTAAAACACCAGGTTCGTCCTATAGTACCTACGTGCTCTTTGAATAAGGTGAAATTTGTTGTGTTGCCGTGAGTGTGTCTCAACCTTTTTGGGAAATCACTAACTTCTCAAATCCTGCCGAAGGGACACATGTTGCGGTGTCACTGGTGTACTGGAATCTACATGTAAACTAATTACGCACGTAACAACAACCAAAAAGGAACACACTGTTTAAACGTTGAATGCCGTCTGCTGTTAATGTGGGTGTGATGCAATACCTGTGGCTGACTTTCAATGGTTCATCAAGAACCACGTCCCTTTTTTGTAGCAGCCTTAGAAAGCTGACAACAATTAATTATTTAATCAATAATTAATTAAATATTTTAATTAAATAATTGTGTTCACAGAATTGAGTAATTGAATGTCTGACTTTTACCCAGTAACATGTTTCGTAAGTGAAACCAGTGCTCCAGTGCAATATTTGCAATATTCTCCAGTGCAATATTTCTATAAATATGATGACTAGAATACTGCTTTATCTTTGGCTTACGTGTGTATAAACCCGTATATATACATATATATATATATATATATATATATATATATATATATATATATATATATATATATATATATTTTAAATTAAAATGCATTATGATGCAAATATCTCGGTGAATATTTGGAGTTTTTAGTTTTCTTCAAAAATTAAAGTAAGTCTATTTCTGTTTCACTATTAAGTATTGTAGAGATTCAGTAATCCCAGCATTATTCAGTATTTCTACAATTCCCAAAAAATATAACGCCTCATTATTTTTATGCTCACTGAATCTGTTGAATGAAATTGATAAACTGTTATTTTGTAAAAACCCTTCCCACTCCAATAACTCTTCTGGCCAAGGGGGTTTGGCCAAAAGTGTGTAAGACTATAAAGAGACGTGACGTCCAGGTGGTGCATCACACAGGTGAGGCATTCGTGTCTCCACCTTCTACTGCCTGAGGATACTACTTGGCTTTACCAGACAGAGGAGCACACACCTCTGAATTAACAAGGTACAAATATCCTCCTTGTGCCCATTAACTCAGGTTCTGACAGCCTGTCAGATTGAGTTAGAGAAGTCGCTTGACAGCTTCTTTCACTTCTCATTTCATCTTGTGAGTTTTGACTTTGTTGTCTCACAAGTGTAATTTCTCTTCCCAGATTGTCCTTTTTGGCACGCTGGCTGAAATGGAGACGGTGAGTCATTTTATTTTCATAATTGTGGTTGTTCTTTGTTGGCTTTTTGAACATGAAAGAAAATTCTAAATGATTAATATTAGATAATGATGGATGTTTGGAACAAGTGGTCTCTACTAATACCTCTTGTTGTTGGCTGAGGATAAAAGGTTGTTTGTAAGAGTAGCAGCCAAGTCACACATCACTGTTATCTGAATGTTATCTCTGCTGGTGAAAGCACCAACACTTGCATATATTTGCCAGTCAAACTTAAACACACATGGTCACAGTGTTGCTACCTGGCTCATTCATAAGACAACAAACACAAGCCACACACCTTGGATACAGCTTGCTGCCTCGTGTGAATGCCATTAGCGTGTGCAATACAAGAAGGATCACCACTCTTTAGGGCTCTGTAGGAAATAGTTGTTTAATAGATGCACAGCGCATTGATAATTCATGATGAGTGCTTCCCTGGTCTTCAGATCTCTGAGAAAAATGATTCATTGCATCGTGCACCACTGGATTTTTAATGATTGCAACAGCTCACGCTGAGACGGATTTGAGAACGATTCTCTCCTGCTCTGTACCGGTCAGATGACGTACGTGACTGAGATCAGACTGACCGGAGGTCGGGGGGCCTGGAGCCGAGTGGCTCCCTCCTCCTGCCCTGAAGTTGACCTGGAGGTCATCGAGGAGTTCTTGCAGGAACACTCCTTGGAGGTCCAGCCGGCACACACACCTGCTTCACCTCCAACCGCAGTGTGGCAACAAATGCACTCTCACCACGGCACCAGGATCATAGGTCAGTGAAAGGATAACGGGATGGTGTAGGTGCCTGTATTTTTTTACCTTGTGTATTTGACTGTATGTTTCTATGCAGAGAACAGTTGGTCAGGTCAGCATCCGTATGAGTGGCACTGTGGCTCTCACACTCCAAATGGGGAATATGAAGAGCAAGCCCTGCCTTCCACCTGGCCTAGCCCCCATGACAACCAATGGGTGAGTCAAGGGCCTCGGCCCTTTACTAGATTAAAGCTTTATTACTTTTTTTTCGTAGCCATTTAAGGCACACTTCCCTGTGTGTGTACTAATATAATTTATATGCGTTTCATTCAGGGCCACGTTGCCTATTCCTACGAGGCGCCTGTATACATTGACTCTGACTCGCTGTCCAGTAGCTCCCAGTATCAGGAATACCAAGATTCCCCATCACCAGTGTCCGATGGGGGAGGAGGGAATGATAGAGACTCCCTGCCTCTTGCCCCACTTTCAGGTACAAACACACATCTGTAACCAGTGTAAATCCCTCTGTTGGCTTTCTTGTTCACACATTGACAAATGTATGAGTTACTGTCACCTCATTTTTTGTGCCTGCATCCATTTCCTCCTTGGCAGGAAAGAGGAAGGAGCGCTTGTTCCAGTTCCTATTTGAGATGCTCCAGACTCCGTCGATGCGGAGCTGCATCTGGTGGGTCCAGTCCTCTTCTGGCACGTTCCAGTTCTCCTCCCAAAACAAGGAGCGCCTGGCGCAACTGTGGGGGCGGCGGAAGGGTAATCGCAAGACCATGACCTACCAGAAGATGGCCCGCGCGCTAAGGAACTACTCCCGCACCGGTGAGATAAAGAAGGTGAAGCGGAAGCTCACCTACCGGTTTGATGAGAAGACGCTGCGAGGCCTGCAAGGAAGCCCAAATATAGTGTAGACAACATGCTGGAGAGTCCATGCAAGCATAGAAATAGAATGAGCACAATGGATATTGAAATTGTTCCATTAAAGTGCAGCTTCACCCCCCGGGTCTGAGCCAAACTCCGCCTGATGCTCAGGGTAGAGGGCGTTAGCTTCATTTTTATTATGTAATTTCATAGAAAATGCCAGGCTTTTAACTCTGTGTCTACTGATATAACAGAGTAGTTGCGGTGTAAATGCGCCAGCTTCAATCCACATTTTCTTAAATGTATTTGTAAACGGTTTTAATCACACTACACTCTTCTGTTTTAGTTTTTAGCTCAAAAACGTCTTTAATGTCCTTTCTGATCTGTTTCTAATTCTATGGCTTGTAGAAACAAATGAGTACTGAGTATTTCAAAAGCCAGAAGAAGAAACACTGTGGGTCAGACTGGCATTAAAACTTATGTAAATCGAAAAGGTTGTCACATTATATCTACTTTATAAGTAGAAGTTAAATCATTCTTAAAATAAAGATGCGTTTTTCTCATTTTGTGATTCTGTATTGCAGATACTCAGCACATATAACACAATTAGGTTGTGTTAGCATTATGTGTTTGTGTCAAGTTGTGCTAAAATGGAATAAAGATCTTTTGTCTATCCTCTTGGTGGAACTTGGTGCAGTGTAAAACGTATGACACAGACACACACACACTGGAAACTTGTTGTTTGAAGTTGCCTAAGTAAAGCAATTTAATTTCCATAGTCAAATGATGGGGCTAGACACACACAGACACGCTGATAACAAGAGGTTACATGCACACAGCGGGCTGACCGGGGGAGGCAGGATAAGCCTTTGCTATTACATTAGGCTACATTTCTAAGCACAATATATTTTTCAGATTCACTCCATGTCGTGGACGGCATTGGTAACTCGATGCTTTGCAGATTTGGATTTTCTAAATCAACACGATCAACTTATAAAACATAATGCATTATGATCCCTCAAACCACACAGCAGCATGTAGACCCTTAAACATGTAGCTTTAGTTGTCATTGTATATATCTTCATTATAGTCTTAATGGTTGTGAAGGAGTAAGTTATCTGAAACACACCTGTTGTGTAAAGAAATATGACGTGGCTCATTCAGAGCTCCTCTCTCCTCTCCAGAGGCACATTTGTGCCTCTGGAGAGTGTGTGTGAGGACACACACTGATGAAATACAGATGCTGCCCCCCCCCCCTCCCTGTTGTGTGTGTGCACACAGAAGCGCACGTACGTTTGTATGAAAAAATAAAACATCTGTTCCATGTAATTATGCTCATTTGAAAGAAGGGAGAAGTACACTATCTGAACAACAACCATAGGATTATGATGGACTTGATGTTCCAGTGGAATTGATTCTACTTATCCACAGCCTTGAAAGAAACCTGCTGTATAAAACTTCACAGCTTCTTTGTCTCCCCGGCCTCCATCTTCGGTGAAGGCTGAGTGGAGCTGGGTGGCTTCCACAGTACTGGGAGTGTTGATTGCTTCACCCTGTTGCCGTGGCAATGTGTTGGTGGTGCGTGCCGGGTGTATTGTATTGGTATCCGGGATTCTCTCCGGCAGCCCACCTTCTGCTTCCTTGTGTCCCTGGCAGTGGCTGTGGCGGCCTTGCCCCTGTCTGTACTGTTGGATGGTAAGTGTGACCCCTGACCTGTGTCTCCTTCTCAGCTCTAGTCACCGCCATGGACCGATACCTCTGGTCACACACACCGCTCAGCTGAGGTCCAACTCTGACACTAGGATTTACTACATAAACGTCATGAATAACATGCACGATTGATAGAAATGTTCCTTTTTTATTCTTTGTTTTATTCCTTATTCAGACACAAAGCTTTGGCCACACAGAGGCAGGCGTACTGGCACTTTGTCTGCTGGGGTTCACCAGTCCTCTAGCGTCTGAATCCACCAACACATCTTCCTCTTCCTTCACCCTACCGTACCCTACCTTCCTCTCAGTTGTTTCCCCTCTCACTCATGGTTCATTTTAACTTCTTGGGATGTGTCATGGCTCCTTTCTGCTTCTACACACAAATCTCCTGGGAGCCTGCAGGGTCGCCCAGGCCTGTGTGCTCGGGGAGAGGAGGCTGGCCGGTCTCCCTGGCTCTGCTTCTCATTTTAATCGCGGGCTGCTGGATTCCTCTGCGCCTGATGAACTGCATGCTGTGGTTTTATGCTCCTCAAGCTGTCACACGGGGGACTCTCTACACAGGTGAGTGACATCAGCTTTTATAGTACTTGGATAGTATGCAGTTTGGGGAGGGGTGTAAGCTTTAAATTTCTTACAGAAAACAGTTGTTACCAGCCGTTACAGTGAAATCTGACGGTAACTAATACATTTTTTTTTTTAGGTATTCTCCTCTCGTGTCATCTCTGCCGTTCACCCTGTGGTCTACACTCGTCTCATCCCAAAGATCCAACAGGCCCACAGTTAAACATGGAGGCAACCCAGCACGAGGCTGAAGTGTTGCCATGGGGACAAGCAAGTTTGCCAATCAATAATCAGGCAGTCAAGCCAATGCCGCGGAGATGCATGGATCAAACAAAGCGCAACAGGTTTGAATAACACTCAGCACGAAACATGAAAGTATTGAAGCAGAACATCAGGCATCCGAACACACCAAGGTGTTTGTTTGCCGAATGTTTGTCTGCAAGCTTTATACAAGTCAAAGCTCATGTGTTTCCACCAGAGGGGGCTGTGGACCAACACACTCTCCAGCTGCTGTTGTACACAAACCATAAAACCACACGAGCTACAAACAAACAATGACCTCATTCATTCAACTGATTTTATTGATGTCTACATATTGTTGTTGTTCATCAGCATTAAATCAATTTATCACTAACCTTTGTCACTAACCATTTATCACTAATCTATCTACTTTCACCTTTCTTGTCGCCGCCATAAGAGTGTGTTGAGCTTTCCCACGTGTTCAGCGAGCTCCTCGGGGAAGGCAATAGACTGTATAGTTATCACCGGAGCAGGGTGCAATCCCACCCACCAAACTATACAACCTACTACCTCACCCTCACAGAGCCCAAATCAAACACTCACACACACCTTTTCTTCCTGTGAGGAAACACAAGACTATTTTCACCTGAGAAGCAGCGCTTTACACAGAGCATTACGTCCTGTTGCTGCGCGCATATGTTTTGATCGGGTTGCTGGATTGACACGTCAGGAGATGGCAGTCGGCGAGTCGCTGACTCGGCTGTCTCCTTGGGAAAGACAGTAGATTGTATAGTTATCTCAAAAAGAGGTTAGACAACCCCACAACTATTCAATCTACTACCTCAGCCCCAAGGACAGCATCAACGTCGATTCCACATCAAAGATCCACAAAGGGAACTCTCCTGCATTGGTACAAAGAAAGAGAGACAGATTGGGTTATTTTTAGTTAAATTACTCTTCCTCTGTCAAAAATACATTTAAAAATCGCAACAATGTGAAGGACTCAGTTGTTAACTGAATATTTACATTACATTTTCGACTGTTGGGTCCAAATTCAGTAGCAGCGGATAGTAGAGCGATTGCGCATCAAGTTCTTATATGTATATAAAAAATGTTTTCCATGGAAACGTTTACGAAAACATGACTCATGGCCAAATACTGCTGCATGACAACAAGCGTTCAACGACCAAGATTTTGAGCAGCCTCTTTCATTTCTTAACAAAATAGGATTTCACAAAGTGGCACTTTGTCCTTGATAAAAGCCAACTCCTTTTTTGTGCAGTGCTGAATCTCTTCAATAAATCGCTTCCATTAAAATGAATCAAAAACAAATACTCTTAACGGTAAGCAGACATCGGAGACTGAGAGCGGTAATGTGTGAAAGCCCAACGAAAAAACTTACTGGCTTCCACTGGCATGTGATAGAAAAGAGAAGAGAAAAGAAGAAAAAAAAAAGAGCTGCTTGACTCTGTGCCAGAAATTTGTGTCCGTTTTCGCCAAAGCTGAGCTCATTGCACTGGGCTATCCCTGCGTAGGCTGGCTGCTGCTTCTCAGATGGAGGTACACACACAGATGCCTGCAAATATGGCTTCCACCAGCTGGCTCTGATTGAACGCAAGACTGGGATTCTGCTCCCCTAAAACACAACGAGGAAAACACAAAATGGCGGCTCGCACATCCGCCATTTTAGGTCTGCTTAAAAAACACTGCAGGGTCTACCTTTTCGGGTTGGAGCCCGCTGTCTCGCGGGGGAAGAAAGGGGCTGTATTCCTTCCAACGGTGAAGGAGAATCAATTTTTTTTTTCTTTTTTTTCTTTTTTTTCGCCAAGCACTGAGACGAAGCCGACCGACCCAGCGGAAACACTCGACAGTCAAAGGGTGCAAAGCGAGCGAGCAACTCTCAAACAACACTTATACGACTGCGGGAGAGTTCACAGAGAGAAGCATCGTTACGCGCAGCATTGTTTCGCTGGCGCCGTTAACAGCTCAGCTTTGGTCCGGCAAACAAATTCAGCACTTTTAATTCAGTTCACTAAGAACGGCTTGGCTCCTCCTCTTGTGGCATGAAGGTATGCATGTGCCAGCAGGTTAATAAAGCAGCGACTGAAGGGTTAATGAGCCAGACTTGATGCCAGGCCCGGGCCCCGGACAGACAGAGAAGGGGTTAGGAGGTACATTGCTTGCATAAATTAACATACGGCCCGGACCCTTCAGACTTGGTCCAGACCAGCTCATAGCTAGCATGCAGTAGACCCTGCTAGTCTGATTGCAGAAGACTACAGAAAGGGGATGGGGGGAGGGGGGTGTTGGCCCAACGCCCAACGCTGCCACCGTGCCAGTGACGGATCCATGAGCTGAGAAACGCACCCTGACTGGAGCCGTTTTCTGGAAGGCAGACTAAAGTGATGTGACGCAGCGTACGGGGGAGGTGGTGAGGGAGAGAGGGAAGGTGGGGGGGGCGTTACATTTATAAAAGATTTAACAGGACATCTGAGCACGGCCTTGAATGAAAGAAAAACATTCAATTATTATGGGAAATTCTGCGCTTTGGGGTTAATCGCAAAAAAAACCCGCCGTACACCGTTCGCTGTGCAGTTCTCGAGCGTTGCGCAAACACGAGAGGCCAAACGCGGTCCGTCGTGTCAGCTCTATTTGGGCGCTGTCGCCCGTGATTGTGGACTTTGTCTTTGGCACGTGGAAGAGGCACACGTGGCTCAGCTGGGGCAAATTATTTTCTCCTAAATGAATGAGCCTCCAGCCAGTGGGGCAGCTGAGAGGATCTCAGGAAAGGAAGAAATTTGGCCCACAAATTTAACCTCATCAGGTTGTGTGTCGGTGCATCTGTTGCAGCAGAATTACGACCAAAAGTGAATTTGTATTCGCAGTATTTTGTGTGAGCCAAAAAACACCGGCCGTGTCCTCGCTTGCCCTTTGATAAACCTGTTCTGCAACATTCAACCCGGAGTGTTTTTTTGAGAGAATTTGCTGCTTCAGAATTTGAATCTTTTTTTTGGGTGACAGTTACTCTCCCAAAAACCACATGCAAGCCGTAGACAGGGGAAAGCAGTTTTTTCTATATATATAAATGCACAGCAACTGCATCTAAAGCTTATACCTGACTGTGTTGACACAAGCAACACACAATATTCGATTCCTACGAAAACACAAGACAGCCTGATCAGATTATCCACCAATTCCACTCTTGTCGGTTGAGTTAAGAGATATTTTTAAAAACGTGCAACGTAAATCTGCTGCGCTGCAAAAACTGAAAAGTGTCAGAGAAGCAAAAGGCCGTCGCTTTCTACCCAATACGTACGTACGTATACCTATTAGATTGCCTGGTCTCTCGGTCGGCGAGATGGGATGAATGCTTGGCAGACAGAGTCTTAGGGGGCAACACACGAGTGGTAAAGGTTCTTGTGCGTTTCTCCTTCTCTCTCTCTCTCTCTCTCTCTCTCTCTCTCTCTCTCTCTCTCTCTCTCTCTCTCGCTGAGCTTTGTGCCAATAATGGGCAGTGTCTGTGTGCCAGGCAGAATTTCAATGAGGGAGGAAGGACTCGTGATGGTGGGCAAAGAGGAGGAGGAGCGGTGGGGGAGCTGGAGTTGGCAGACGAAGTATGCCACAAAATAAATGGCAGGACAAATATTTCCCACAGTCAAAAAGACGCAAACGGATGTCTCGTCTTACTTGTGCCCAGGAGGAGAAGAAAAAAAAAACGTCTAGGCATGTGGCAGATACGAAAAAGGAGGCTGATCCTCTATGTTTGATTGCATCGTACCTGCTTTTGATCTTCCCCTCTCCCGAAGGAATTCCTTATCACATTAAAGGACGATGGACGAGCCTCCTCCACGCTCACTTGGCGTGGTGCTCGCTCTGATCTTCTGTTTATCCTCATTAACCATACAACAAGCTCATGTGTGCATGCATACAGAAGTATGAAGCCATATGCATTCACTCCCAAACGGTCTGTAGGAGACAGTTGCCTGACCTGATCATGACAAACTCATTTTGAATTAAACAAAGAATACCCTCAAATTACTCACAGGACCAGATGTGTTTGGAAAAACTGCGAGTGAAGAAAATGTAATGTGTGTGTTTTATCTTCTCTATCTAACATCTATACTTTTGCTAATGTTCTGATAAGATTTGCGGTTACCATGGTTTCAAATGTCTCCGATGGCTCGGATGCCTGGCCCGGCGTGTTGCTGCACGCCTACATGTTATAGCGTTCACTAATGCCTCATAGAGCGAGCCGTAGACGCTGCAAGCGTGCAAGAGTGCAAGTGGTGCAGGTCAGGATGAAACAGCTGCTGCTTCCTGCACGAGAAGAGAGACTTCCTGTTGCCTCCGCTGCAAACCGCGGCTGGTCAGCCGAGATATCAACCAATCAGCTACGTTGAGGCTGAATGCAGGAAGTTAGCCTGACTGCCTCTAGGCGAAAAACTCAGAAACATTATGAGGCAACTCGATAAGTTCATCTGAGGATAAACGAGGGGCGGGGAAAGAGCCCTCCTACTCCTACCTCTCATTTGGTTTCTATAGCGCCTTGTTCTCTTTTTATTTTAGCACATTTCCCTCTCGTCTCTGTCACGTGTCAATATTCATTAGGAGAGGTTCCGCTTTTGTTTTTTCGTGAACTGTTTTTGCTGCCTGATGCCATCGCTGGTAAAACAGAGTGTGATGCAGGGGGAATTAGGAGTAGTCCGCGAGACGTGGTGACGGTGAGGGGTATGTAGCAGGTCTGCCCATGTTCACTGTTTCATGAACACGTGGCACGAAGACGCCATCTTAACACCAACCCTTATTTACATCAAGATACAGTATTAACGATATGCAGTCAAGAGTCGGAACATGCAATATGCATGTATGTTAGACCATTCAGTCTGCATTGAATTTCCAATCCAGAAATAGGTTATAAGATCATATCGGTTGTTGATGGTTTCAACACATTCTTGTCTTATCTACTTCCTCGAGTGCAAAATGAATAAATGATTCTGTTTCACGGCATTCTGGCCGCTGGCATGAGACTGCACCCGCGATATGCAGTGTGATCTGAGTGAGATTAAAGTCAATCGGACTAAATTTGTGCTGTTAACGTTTCGATTTTTGACGGGTAAGCGCTGGTGAAAAAAGATCAACGGCTTTACCGACACAATAAGAAACGACGCCGACTTTATTTTATTTTTTTTTACCGCGTCGTCGGTGTTTGACCCAACTCGGTTTCACTCCTACCTCGGTTTCGTCTGAAGTGCAAAGTATCATGTGCCGCCGCCGCAGTGTGTCAAGTCAAACATTACAGTTGCCACCTTTTCACGAGCCGCCCCACCTCTCTCGATCGCAGCGGGACGAACGGCCCTGGTCCCCGTCGCACAGCTGACACATGCCCGAGTTCAGAGCGTGCAAACGGCACGCAAAGGCAAACAGGGTCAACGTTTCCCCTCGTTCTAGCCGTCCTAACCTCGTCCCCACGGCTCTGCGACCCTCTGAGGTCAGAATAGTAACCTCGGCACGAGGCCCGTCCTCCCTCCTACAAAGAGACACCTGTTTGGTACGAGAGACAGAGAGACGGTTTGCCACCCTGTCAGAGCCGGCTGTCCTCGAGGCGCAGAGGGGAGAGGAGGAGAGGAGGACAGGGAAGGAAGGAGGGGGCGAAAAAGGGGGGAGAGAAGATGGTCAGCAGGGAGTCGAGGAGTCCCACCGAGCTCCCGAAAAGTTTCTGCTGCCATGTCCATACAGCCAAAATGGCGGCGGGCGGACTGCAGCGTGGCAACTGGCGACGGCGGGTACGTGCTAACGGGAGGGAAGACGGCGACGAAGGACGGGGATGAGGGCGAGGGGAAGTGAAGGTGGAAGATCGCAGGGCTGCGCGAGAGATGGGAAGCGGCGTCGCGGGATTAAAAAAAAAAAAAAGACAAATACCTGGGAGCCTGTACGTGAGCGGCGGGCCGGAGGGCTGCAGGAGAAGAGGGCCGTGATGGCGGGAAGAAGGGAAAAGAGAGGAGTAGAGCACACCCTCTGAGAGCTACACCCCTTTCCCACAATCCCCTCCTACTGGCGTGAGTGCGTCCGTCCGCACACGGGGTGACAGAGGGACGTCTGCGCTCACACAGCCCTGGAACGCACACACACACACACACACACACACACACACACACACACACACACACACACAAGCCACACACAAGCCACACACTGAGCGCAGCGGAAAGAGAAAAGCAGACTTCCAAATAGACTCACGGTAGTTGCAGCGAAGTGTGAAGCGAAAAAAAAAAGAAGAAAAAAAAAACAGAGACAAGCGCACACGGGCGCACGGCAGGAGGACACTTTTTAAAGTCAAACGTGCGCACAATCAATTCGCCAGCCTTCGGATCGCCCTCTGCTCTGCCCTGTGCCGTGTTTGCCTCGGTCCGCCTGCCCACTTTGGCACTGCTGCCAAGAGCGAAGGGGGAGAGAAGGAGGGGAGGTGGAGGGGGGGGGGGGGGGTGTAGTGGAGACAGAAAGAGGAAGGGAGGGACATGCTGTAGCGAGAGAGAGAGAGACAGAGAGGAACAGAAAGAGGAGGAGTCCGAGAAAAAGAGTTAGTGAGACACAAACAGACAACAAAAAGACAGGAGGAGACGCCGTCACACAAAGCAGCAGGACAAGCAGCCGGGCGCCTCCTGACCATCCGTGTGGTAGTCGTCCAACATCCAAAACCAAACCCGCCCCCCGCGCCGTACTTATTGCATCCGGCAGGCATGGGCAGATGGCGAGAAACGCAAGCACCTCTGCCCTATTGTCCCCCCCCCCCCGCCACATTTTTACAGTCAATAGATCAACATTTGCTGTCGAGTTGTCTCTCCGCGTGCGTGTCTTTTTGCTAAAAAAAAATATCCTCATTCTACCGGCGTCGCCCCCCATTCCATCCTCTCCCTGCATTGGGGATCATTTCTGCCCTCCTCGGTGGGAGGGGTTTGAAGGGGTTAAACTAAATGGATCAATGGGAGAGGAGGGAGGCTATTTCAGAGAATGTCACTTTTTCTTTTCCACAGCCGTTGGCGTCTTTCCCACGTCTCCCTCCGCTTTGGCACGCCGGCCCGTCACGTTGGACACCGGCAGATCTTGGATCAGCGAGCTGTTGAGCCTCTTGATGACCCCGATCACGGAGGAGAGAAAACATAAATCCATCTGTTCAGAAATGGCCCAGCCCCATCTACGGCCTCGTTGCGCCCCGTACGGCGGGCACGAGCCAACCAATCAGAACGTACGACCAACCCGCTCTTCCTTTAAACTTACTGGTATACTTCAACTGTTGATTCCTCATCACAGCTGCTGTAATAACTCAGGTATTTTATTCTTAAACTGAACAAACTCACACACACTCGCACGTTTGTGTAGGTTTCTTCCAGTCCGTCCTCAAACACTCACCCCGGATATAAAACAGACCACAAAAGTCCAGCTTCTCTGCTTAAACTCTCAAAGATAGGACAATGGACACACACACACATTCATACTGTACACAGGCACGCACGCAGACATGGTGCGCACAATCCGGTTCTTCTATGGAGCCTCAGATTGAGCCAGCAGGTTGGACGGCCCCTCGGCCTGACGTCACGTCTCCTTTGTTGTTTATGCATTTATTTCTCTCCTCAGCTGAACTCTCTGAACTCACCCCCCCCCCCCCTCCCCCACCCCCCTCCTCACACTCCTCACCCTCCTCACCCCCGTCCTGTCATCCAGCCCCCCCGCCAATGAAGGCGGACAAATACAGTATGGCTTTAACAAGGAATTTGAAAGAAAGGGAGACAGACAGACACAGAGGGGGAGAAAAACGGGGAGAAGGGGGAGAAAAGGAGCTCGGGCGTCGCTCACGTTTTCCTCCTTGTCTCGCTTCGGTCGCTCGCCTCGTCTCTCTTCCTGCTTGGCTTGTAGAAGTTTCAGCTGCGCGGCGGGCCGAGCCTCTTTTGGCCATCGTCCAAACTCTTGACTCTCCTTGTCCCCCCTTTGCAAGAGAGAGAGAGAAAGGGAGAGAAAGGGAGGGGAGGACAAATATAGTCACAGGCCAAAGCGGTGCTGTGAACGCACCGCGGCCATCATTGCTCCGCGCAGGAAGAGAGAAGAAGCCGGTGACGTTCTTGAGGTCATTGAGGTGTTTATTAGAGCTCGTGGTGCGACGCAGTCCCGTAACAGCGGTCGGTTCACGCGGGGACGCGCTCGCCTTGCTGTCTCAGCTCGGTGCAGACAGATGCACACGTGCACTCGGAGGATTTGAAAATAAATGTTTGCATCGTTTAAAAAAAGAAAAAATAAAAAGCTGAAAGGAGTCTCTGTTTCATTGCATAAGTACACTGATACGCACGTGAACATTGTTAATGATTTACTCACCTCAACTTTGCGATGAGGGGGGGTTTCAGAAAAGGTGAATTAATTGTCAAATCGTTCTACTCGTGACAATAGATTTATTTTTCCTTTAATTCTGTTTAGTGACATGACTGATAAAAGCAATAGGTAATTACATTATTATTATTATTGAAGTGTATACCTATTTTCTCATAATATTTCCTAAAAATAGTTTGCCTTAATTATTTACCTACATGCCCACATATTAGGTTCTGAGCCAAATTGTTAAATTCAGTGGTAAAAAAAAAGTAGATTTATATATATATACTTATTCAAGTTAAAATATGCCGATAGAAGCATGTGTGCATCAAGTTATTGAGTAACTGAATAAAAATATAACCACAATAAACTGAAATAGGCTAATTAATTTGGAGAAAATAAAGATTTGCACGAACTTTGTTGCTGCCTGCAATTAGTGTGAAGCATTTAAGTTAATTTAATTAAAAATTAGCTATTTTTTCTGTTGTAGATCAAGTAACAGTAATGCAATCATCAAGTGTGAAGTTTTATGAGGCCCAATAATATTTATTTAGTGTGGCTTAGAGTAACGTCAGATAAATATGCTTTGTATTATTTATCATTTGATTATTATTTATTTGGAAAGGTCTTCTTTGAGTTAAATAATAAGAAGGCAGTCTTCCTTCTTCTAGCTAACGTTAAGCTAAAAGCTACTAGCTTGTCCAATTTTAAGTTTACCAAGTTTATCCAACTAGTTAGATAAAAACCTGAGAAAAATAAGCTTTAGAATATTAATAAATTAGAGATAAGTTGACCTAGCTGGTACCGAGGCTTTGGCTGCTCATAGGAGAAAACAATGTTGCTCATTGTAACTTACCCTAAACAATCTGATGATTCAACTCTGTAGCCAACAGTAATCACGGTGTGAAATCTGCTGGCACCTGAGTGGCTCCCTACTTGAAGATTGATAGTTTTAGCATTAATTATCGTGTAGGTATGAGCACAATTAATGTATCTTCAGTGATAGTTGATAGTTATAATTTTTTTTCTTTTTCTTTTTTAGCTTTTTCACTCACAGAGGTCAGTAATAGTGAGAGTAATACTTAAACAGTTTACCTACGTAAGTCTGCTCATAAAAAATACACATTATATTATTCTTCTGTCACCGACTCTCATCTTAAACTTGCATTAGAAACAGGGTTGGCTCTAGTTAGACAATGGGCTCCATCTAGGGGAAAACGTGTGCACGTGCATTTTTTGAGCCGTGAAGTAAATGAGGAATAATTTAACTTTTTTTGCAGAGGAATTCTTGTTCATTATTTATTTTAATTACTCCCCGTGTGTGAATGTCTCTACTGTGAAATCAGAATGTATTTTTCCTAATGTACCGTATATTAATTGTATGTGTCCAACTACTTCACGTAACATAATAGGAGTAAATAAAAAGGATATGGAAGACAAGTCAGGCTAATATTTGGGGAGAAAAGGAAAACAACTTTTGAGATTTTATTCAACTGTCTGGAGGTACAGGGTTTAGATAAGATCATGTCATAATATTTGAAATCCAAACAACCGCAGATGCATGTGTGTGTGTGTGTGTGTGTGTGTGTGTGTGTGTGTGTGTGTGTGTGTGTGTGTGTGTGTGTGTGTGTGTGTGTGTGTGTGTGTGTGTGTGTCAAGGGTTTTGGACTCATCGTGATTCAATTGTCTTAAACTTTAGTTCTCCTAAATTATCAAAGTGGCAAGTTTAACTATCATGTCGGGCAAACAATCCAGATGTGTGAAAAAAAGGAACGCTGGAACGACCATTAAATGTCTTCTTCTGTTTTTGGATAAGGAAGAGCATCCACTCTGTGTATACAGAAATGAATAACCTTAAAGAGTTTGCCCTCATCCAGTCCCTGAGTGAGACAGATGTGAAAAATGTAGAAGGATACAAGAGAGAAAGACAGAGAGGCTTACATCCCTTTTACTTCCAATATTTGAACTGAGGTGACCTCTTTAAAATTCCTGCCTACGGCAAGCTCCACTGTAGCTTTTATTTCTGACAGGACTTGAATTTGGAAAAAAATTTCTTCCGTAGAAACAAGGAAAGAAGCAACTACCCAAAGTTCTCTGTCCGCAGACCTGCGTGGGGAAGGAAGGAAACTTTGTAACGGCTGGTGTGCATAAAGGCATGTTTGTACATGTTGGAAATCCACCTGATGTTAGGCAATCTGTCAGCTACTGTGCATTACATTTACATTGTTCATCAGCTGTCCAGAGCAGCAAGTGCATTCAACTACAACAAGATTCAAGTAAGTACAATTTCTTCAAGAAGGCCACTTCATCCATTTTATTTGTTCCAAAATAATTGTATTTACAATTATGAAATTTTGTATTGGTAGTTGACTACATGATGCAGTTTTTCCGAAATTCACAGATATTAAACCCAACAAAACATTTACCCCCCCCCAAAGCTTCCCCATTGGTTGTTAATGTCATCTACTGTTTTATTTGTCAGTAGTATAAACATGAATGGTAATAATGCCCTCTAGTGGCCAAATGCAGGGATGACCTCATTCAGATGGGACGTGAAGTTGAAAACGGCATTTTCATTAAGGTGCGGAAAGCAAAAGCGAGTCTTAAATATATTGGATTGATGTTGGGACTTCAGCAACACGCCTCGCTGATCACCTCTGATCCAACTCTAACTGTTGGAAATAAATGTAACCTCGGCTCAGATATCAGAATGTCAGATATCAGAATGAAATCTCTACCATTAAACATTATGAGGGACGTGTTGAGAATCAGGGTGTTTATTAAATCTCTTTGATCGTCTCGTGACTTTCATCCAGAGCCCATAACATGTCCTTTTACAATAGAGTCACTGTTACATCTCGGCTGCATGAACAGGGCCTTTTCCTATTTACTCTCCTTCTTGTCAATATAGGAGAATAATACTGTAGGTGTTGTAAATCATTAACCAGGGCTTAGCCAAGCCTATCTAAATCCCTGAGCAGCTTTGTCAGCCCCCACCTGAGTATCCCAGCACGTCATCGTGCTGTATGTAGTTTCACAATATGTAATGTGTCATAAGAAGGAATTCCAAATAGATGTTTCTTCTGGTGAAAAGAATGTAAATATGTATTTACTACATGTATGGTTCATGGTTCACTGATATTGGTCGTATAAAGAAAGAAGGCATAACTCTTTTAAATGAATCTACCATGCCTATTGTCCAAATAAGTCATTGTGGAGGAAAATCCCTCTTTCTAATTTTACCGAGAATCATTTTCAAGGGGCAGGATTTACTCCATGCTGATTTGATTAAACTCAATAATCTAGGAAGTACGCCTCAATATAAGCTAATAAAGCAACGTGTTATCAGCACGGACCTGTTGCGTGAAGCAGCGTTGTTGTTGTTGTTGTAAACATTTGCAAAAGAACACTCTCATGTGCGCAGTAATAAAAAACAAAACCCCACCACCATCCTCGCCTGTCCCTCTTCCTCCTCCACCAGGAGTCCGGTGTCATGGGAGGAGTTTGCGTTGGGACACCCAAAAAACTTTTGCGTGTGCGCGTGTGTTCCGACGCCACGCCTCTGTGCGTGTTTTTTTTCTCCCTCCCTCCCCGCGCGTTGATTTCATACCAAACTCACACTTGGCATTCCGCCTTTTTTTTTTTTCCTCGTTGTACTGTCAAACACTGTTATTTGTAACGAGGGAATACTCGCGATCCATAAAGCCGCCGAACCGCTGTCGAATCTCTCCCCCCCCACCCGTGCTGAGGAGAGCGCGTGCCGGGCACCGCGGGCCGAGGGAGCCGTAGTAAGGTGAGAGTGCGCTCGCGGATCCTTCTTTGTTGTGTGCTCAAACTTTGGTGCCGCGGCAGCTGCTCCGCTCCGTGTGTGCTGGGAAGTTTTGGGATATTTGACATTTTTCGCATTTTCCCCGCTGCCGCTTCGCCGAATCCGAGTCTCTCGTGTTTAGCGGTGGGTTCCCCCTTTTTCTCATTCAACCGGCCGCTCGTCGCCGTGTTCGCTGGGCACTTTTTTTCAGCCGTCTCTCGGACTTAGTTTGGAGGGGTTTTTTTTCTTTTGGAGGTATTATTAGCTTTCGTGCTAACTAGCTAGCACGCCAGCTCGAGTGTTGTCGGGGGGGAGAGTGCTCTTCTGTTAAAATATCCGCTCAAGTATCGAAAACCTCGCCGTTTCTTACACTTTGTGGGGTTTTACTGTTTTCTAACAACATCTGTGTCTAGTTTTTTTAAACACTTTTGGATCAAATGCGGATATCTGCCAACTCACAGTTGGCCAGACGGCTTCGAGCCGTTGAGTGTGATTTGTTTTTTCTTCTCTCCTAGCTAGCCTCAACGTTACGTGCTAGCTGATAAAATTCCTTTCGTGTTTTTAAAAGTGTCCCCAAACACGTGAGACTGGTTTTACGGGCTCAACAGAAAACACCAGAGGAAGGAAGGAAAAAAACACCTTTTGTTCGTTTCCAGCACACACATCATGACTAAGAACTGACGTTAATCTTTAGACTCGTAACGAAGACAAAGTCGGATCGATGTGTTATCTTAAACCTACAGCCGTGTGAGGCAGTAGTAACTTTAGTAGTAGTAGTAGTAGTAGTCAGCTGAGATGGCCGTGTTAATATGAAAGTACTGTGATGAGTTGCTCATAATGTCACTCTTCCTATTGGAGCATAAAGGCAGGCCGTGATGTGCGTGTCTCTTGTCAATGTTAGCTGAGCTCATAGCTTTATTTAGCTCAATGCCTCGGCGGCTGTGCGCTGATCATCTGACCTTTAGGCCCACCGGGAGCTATATTGAAAGTGCTTAAGTTATGCCTTCGGTGCATAATGTCCTAACGTCGCATCACCACCACCGGTGAGCCGTGAGATGCCAAAGTTGCAACGTGAGACCAATGTTGGCTAAAGCAACTTTTCCATAAAATCACCTTCAATCACTTTCTTATTCATTTAAATATGTGTGTACACTTTTGCTCTGAGCTTATTAAACCACATAAAGCAGGCTGGACTACAGAGGATTGCTTGACGTTGGTGCAATTCTGGAATCGGGCACTGAAAGGACAAACTTTGCTTGGTTGCTTTTAAAGTGGCTTTCCGTTGTACTTCTAGCCAGAGGTTTGAGTTCCTAGCTGTCTGGAACGTTGGGTAAGTGTGGACTTTGAGTAGTTAACTGCTAACGTTGAGTTTCTTTACATTCTTTGATTGGGGAAAAATAAAAACGATTTTGCAATAACTAAACTAGCAAAGATTTGTCGAAAGTCTGAAAATAATCCTGGCACCGCTGAGATTCTGTTGCCACGTGAGTTCTACTCTAAACATCGTGCAGATTAAAACCCTCTTTTCTGCTTAAAACCGCGTTTTTCCCCCCAGCCGTTGCTATCTCCCGACCATCTTACAAGGCCCCCCTGATCGCTATGGCAACAGCGCAGCCCCACCAGCAGTGATTCAAACTGGGAGGGCCCGAGCAGAGTGTCCAAGAAGCCCACCCCAGCTGGGGAAGCTCTCGCAGACCGCACTGATCCTCTGTGGTTGCTGTGTGGCAGGGACCATGCTCGCCACACTCTGGAAAACATTACACTGGGCAGCACTCGCATTGCATATGTTGTGCACGAGGTTGGAGGAGACTTGGAGCATCCTCCACAAAAAGAAAAAAACAGAAGCATGTTTAATTTCCTCATTGACACTAAACCATTTTTATTTTTTATGAAAATGACTCTCTGCACTCGCCATCACTAATCGGTGTGTCACTAAACTTGTGGTGTCTTCGTAGGCCGTGGCTATTGTCTTCGTACATTTACACGCGCTTAATATTTTGCCGTTTTGTGTGTGACGTCTTTAACCCCGCCCCCCGATGCTAGGGCTATGAATACACCCTGTGTACACGGAGGCTGTAAACGGCGTCCGATGAATCTGATCGCTCGCTCTTGGTGGAGTGTGGGAAATCTGCCGTAGCCTTTGGCAGCTGCGAAATTAATCCTGGTCCCGTCTGTCGGTCACCATTTGTCTGATTGAACAGCGCGTTTGACCATTCTTTTTTGAATTTATTGACCTGCCTGACGCCGGGCCTCGTTCAAAACTCGCAGGGATGAATTAACTCTTATTTCCAGACACCAAAGAGTTGGGCTCTAAAGGCTCTAAATCATTTCCTTAACCTTGTGGTTGTTCTTTAATAAATCAAACTTCAATTGATAACCATCACTTGTGTGGTTCAGTTCAATGCTGTGTCTCCATTCACTACTTCTCTCTCTCCAAAAAAACCCAACATGAATCAAAATATGTCCAGTCAGGAGTTTAAACTTAACTGTATTTTAATGTTTTTTTACATTTTAAATTCTAGAAACACTCGTTGCATTTAAAATCAATGTTTTTTTTTTTCATGGTATGACGGAATTATTATTTTATAGAGCTGCATCTTTGGTGGGTTGAAGATACTAAAAAATCATTTTAACTATAACAATGTAGTTCGTTATTTCTTATTGACAGACTACATAGCTTTAGGGGGTGTGGATTGCTGTAATTGCTGCATTTATTCCTTTTAAACCTTGCTGATTGCAATGCCGTTCAATCTTAATTCAGCAGCTAGAAAAACAAACACTGCTCATTTTTTGGTTATTACATTTAGCAAATGTATCAGTGAGACAGGGTTGTAAAAGAACAAAATAAAATACTGATGATCTTATGGGATCAAACATGAATGTTTTCTTAGTAATAAATCACCTGTCCACTGGATTTGAACCAGTCTATCTCAACGTGGATATCCACAATAAACCTGTTTCCCGTTGTTTAGGACTACAAACGTAATCGGATTGACAGCCATAGCCTTTAACGCTTTCATGTAGCTGTCTCATATTGTATTAAAAGTGTCATCGAAACATAAAAACACAGAGCTAACGCCAGATCAACTAGCCGGCTAGCTACAGCTAAAATATGCCGGCCACAGTTGTCATTTCAGCCGTGCAAATTGGCAGCACAATGGACAATCGCCCCTCAGCCTCCAAGAGGAACAGCTGGGCCGCTCATTCAGTCATCGGAGAGCAGCACTTGAGACTTTATTAATAAAGTAACCTATCTATAAATACAAAGGCTGCTCAGCCGGAGATTCAACAGTCGTGGCAAACATTAAAGATAAAGTATTTTCCTTTTGTGTTGCAGGTGTGTTGTGGTCACAAGCCGTCATCATTGCGTCGGAGTGGAGTTGCCGTGGCAGCCCTGATGGGGCGCAGGAGGACGGCGGCGATGGAGAAGGAGCGGGAGACGGGGCGGACCGCGGATTGGACGGTGACCCCGAAGGAGTGTGGAGCCCAGACATTGAGCAGAGCTTCCACGAGGCTCTGGCCATATACCCTCCCTGCGGCAGGAGGAAGATCATACTTTCTGACGAGGGGAAGATGTATGGTGAGGAAGACGACATTTCTGACCGCAACACCATGATTAACATCCATCCTGCCATCTTGTTCAGATGACTTCAAAACTGTAATAGATATTAACTTTCTCAGCAGTATTATGGGGGAGTGATGCTTGGTATACCGGTAGTGGAAAGAAGGCCTTAAATTGCTGTTAGTCTTCAATCAACTGTAATTAGTCCATTATCCACCAACAGTGACATTTTGAGGGATTGCGTTTGAACACATCATGATGACACTGTGATTTCCATACAGATTTACTACAGTTGCAGCACCACCGTTAAGTATAATGGCCCAAATGAGTGACCCCCCCCCCCCCCCATCAGCCTTTTACAGGATCAACTTTGACCGAAGGGTTTGGGATTTCCATGGATGTCCCTCTGAAGCCACTTTGGACATTTGGAAATTCAGAGGCTAGTGGATCATTCTTGTCCTCCTAGCTTTTACTCAGGTGATCTGCCTGCAGGTATTTTGGGAGGTGGCTGTTTAGCTGGAGGTCAAAGGACATCCGTTACTGACGGGATCAAAGGTTAGAGCAGGTTAAAATTACAGGGTAAAAGAATATAAAGAAGTTGCTTGATCGCTCATTCTTCTAGTCACTAATTGCTTTAAGACTAATTTGTTTTGGTCTATTGGGCCGCATGACCACTATTGTAATGTTACATATTACAATGATGGTGAGGGTCTGTTCACCATGAACAGCTTTTTCTACTGGTTCTGCTCAAAGTGTAATAAGTAATGAAACACCTATATCTAGCAACATATTGCTGAGTAAGCAATGTCCTTTAAATACTTGCATGTCCCTGATGCATATCAAGAACAAAGCCCAAATCTGCTTTGTGATGTGATTGAATTTCTTTAATCAAGTTTATTCAGTTTTGGTCAAATAAAAAAAAAAAATCTTGCCCCTTTTTTGACAAAAATCTCATTCCTAATTTTATTTAAAAACTAAAAACGATGATTCATGTAGTGCTATGCTGATATCTGGACACCAATGATTTAAAGTTATTATGACAGTGGTGCCGATACATTCAATTATCTTCAATTTTTTTATATTTGCACACATACTTTTTCACATTTTAACAATTTATTGGTGCATTAAATGAGTTTAGGTTTAAATTTTAATGCCTGTTCATTTTTCAAACCAAGTTGCTAGTGTGGGATTCATTCTTTTTTATAATCCAATTAAATAACGCTGCAACCGATTGGTGCTCCACCCTGGTATCTCAAGTGGGGTCGCTGCATCATAGATCTATGTGGCAGATGGAGGAAACCGATATTAATACTACACGTTGAACATATTGGAGAACTTTTTGAATAAGTATAGTTCCAACGCAATCCGTTTCCTAACCCATCCTCTAACGTCTTGTCACGGTGTCAATAACGCACAATAAACAACTTTATTCCGACTCCAGTAGTTTGGGCTTATCGGAACTAGGAAGGCTGCAGGGAGGAACACGTGTCCTTGTTTTGGGAATGGGAGCGTGCTGCCCGGTCAGATGAGTCAGACCCATCTGTTGATCTTGAGGAATTCTGAGCTGATGTGGCCACAGCATCGCACCGCTTCCCAGAAACCGGCGTTGTGATGTCGAGGGTGTGATGGAAAGATAAAAGCTTCTGGAAGCGGTGGCGTAAGGCTTCGTTGGGTTACTCTCTTAGCCTCCCTCCCTCTCTCTCTGTGACATCTGCAGCAGCAGCAGGAGGGGGAGGGAGACACGCAGTTGCTCATTCAGAGACGGGCCGATCATCTGGTGTGGGCGGGAGCCGGGGGAGGAAGAGAAAGAAAGGGCTGATCGTGCACTCTGTGGCGACCGCACATTTGAAGCCTACACGAGTAGCCTCACAATCTTTCACTCAAAGTGTGTTTGCATTAAACTTTCATGTTATTCTGGCTTCATTTCAAATGGGATGGCAGGCCGCTCTTTGTCTGCTTCATGCATGGATTGATTTCAGTACAAATCACAATCCCCAGACCACCGCAGATTACACTGTGACCCCCTCAGGCTGACGCGTGTGGCGGGCTCATGGTTTTACGGGGTGTTGTCTGACAGTCTTCTACTTACGAAGATGCGAGATGGAGTGCAGCGTCGGAGCACTCCGTCGTGGCGGCCTTGGCTCTTGCAGCACTTTTTTTTTTTTTGTTTGTTTCAGTGATCAAATGAGATTGGCTGCACCAGATGTTAGTGGTAAAGGTTGAGAGGAAAAAAAACATCTGCCGACACGCCGCAGACAAAAAGCTTCATGGCACATTGTTGGAGCCAACGATTTGCTACAGAGTTTGACTTTGCTGTCAACAGTTATGGGGCCTGACACGCGTAATGTGACGGAGAGACGATCGGGTGTCTGGTCAAATTTGAGAGGCAGCGCTGTTAGGGTGGATTCCCTTTCCTTGCTCTGACGACAGAACGTGTCAGTGCTCCACTCTTGATTTATTGCATTCTATTGCTTTCTCAATTTCAGGTCGAAATGAGCTGATAGCTCGTTATATCAAGCTACGGACGGGGAAGACGCGCACTCGCAAACAGGTATGCACAGCTGCTGTTTACGACCACACTACGTGCATGTGTGTTTTTATTGAGGATCTGCCGTCTGCGCCTTTGCTTTGTTTTTGTATTTAGTTGTAAACAAATGATCTCCCCGCCCTTTATCAAATGCTAATAAATGCACTGTGGCTATTTCAAATGGTTCGATCACCCTGTGTGTTTTTTCATGGGGGTAACCCTGCTTTCATAGGTGTCTAGTCACATTCAGGTTCTGGCGCGTAAGCGGGTACGAGAATACCAGACCAGCATCAAGGTGGGTGCCCGCTGAAACCACTCTCCCCTTCCCGCCGTAGTCACATCCCCTCTTCTTTTTCCTTTCCTTTTTCCTCCCATCCTCTGTCCTTCGTCCTGTCTTTCGTCAGGTCTCTAGCCACCTGCAAGTCTTGGCCAAGAGAAAGTCTCGTGAGATTCAGTCTAAGCTCAAGGTACACATGCTCACTGACTATGCCAGCCCGCTTCGCTCTGCATGCCGCCCAAATCCAGCTTCGCGCGGACATTAAGTCACCACAGAAGTATTTGTCAGAGCTTACGGCAGAGTTCTGGTTGCATGCGGAGGTCTTGCTCACCGTTTGCACTACGAGGGCAGGGAAATGTAAATGACGATGCATGACTTATGCATTTTGTGCAGTGGCGATATCAGGATTCTTATGTAGGTATCTAAGGCAGGGCCACGGGAACCAATTGATGATTTCTACATGCACTTAAAAATTCAGGCATGATTAGTAACCCCACCATTAGGCACGGAGTTTAGTTGACGGCTGTGGGAATGTGGCCCGCTCAGGCTTTCTAAACACTGCTTTCAGTCAGCGTTTGATGTCATCTGGCGTTGCTCAGTGCAAAAAGATTTTGTGAAGGCATCAAGTGTATCACGATATGCAGAAAAGAGGCTGTTATTATGATGCATGGCATTAATGTTTAGCCTAGCTTAGTCCAGGAGGCCGTCTCTATTGACCTAAACATGTGCATGGCTCTAGTAATAAGCATAAATGCACACAGACATACAGGGAGTTTATATTGTGCCCCTCATCGATGTGCACATTATAGGAATTCTAAGATTTCTCTTTTAAATCATTTCTGATCTCCACGTTCTCACTCTTAAGATGTTTTCCTCAGTCTTTGATATCTTTTCCGTTTTTTTTTTAAGCGGTTGTCTTGTGGTTTTACTATTCACTGTAATAAACGTTTCTTGTGACATAATGCATTCAACTTGCTGCACTCCAATGCACATTTGGAGAACTCGCCCAGAAGTCTATTTCCTGTCAGCACAGACCACCGATTTATAGGACGTAGCTTGTTTTGTCAATGTCAAATATGATCTGTTTGAGCTTTCCGTAAGCGTGTTTGTCCAGGTAGGTGAGCGGAGTAGTCGTGTCCTAGAGTGTTCTGTACTGCGGAAGGTGCTTTTCCTCCATCACCTAGTAGTGAATCTGTGACCCTGCTGTTACTTTGAATGTACTGAAGTTAATTAATAACGTGTCTTTTTTGCCGTAGGCCATGAACTTGGTAAGTTTTGATCATACAACTACAATCTTCTGCTTCAGGCTTTTGTGCTTTGTGGTTGGCATCACATACCTGCTAGTCCACAATGCAGTTCTACTGCCGAACCCCAAACAACCTGCTCATTACCCTTTTTAGTGGCTTTAGATGGATACTGGTGACGGTCCAGTTAGCTCTCTTAGCCTTCTAGCTTGGTGCGCCCTCTGCCTTGGCATCCCTCTGTATCTGCTTTGCACTCCTGTCCTGTCTTCCCTCATAGTTACTGCATTGTGCTCAAGTACTCCGTAATATGTTGGCTGGCTTGCTGTCTAAAACCGGCCCTGCAGGTCTGCTGACTTTGGAATGTTTTACTGTCATTTTTTTTTTTCTTCTTTTCTTTTACGGTGGCCCATTTTTTTGATTTGCGTGTCACTTTTCCTTTGTTGTCCAGGACCAGGTCTCCAAAGACAAGGCGTTACAGACAGTAGCCAACCTCTCATCAGCTCAGATTGTGTCCGCGAGTGTCATGAAACCCCAGACTCCGTTCCCCCCACCTGTCAGAGTGAGACACACACACACACACACACACACACACACACACACACACACACACACGAGCGCAGCACACATACAGACACACATCTGTTATTCTCTACTGTAAAACTCTTTGAGTAATACAAGCCGTCCCCTTTCTTTCAGTTTTGGCCCGGCCCCATGCCAGGACAGCCTGGACAGTCTCAGGAGTAAGTTGAACATCGGTTGGTTTGGTTTCATTTAAAATTTGAGCGAGTGTTGCGCGGTTGCTCATTTTTTGGGGTTCCCTCTCTTCCCCTTTTTTTTTTTTCTTTTTTCCTCAGCATCAAGCCCTTTGCACAGTCACCATACACTACACTACCAGCCCCTGTCCCAGCAGCTATCAGTAAGTGTGAACACAAACTCACTAGTTTGAGTAACTCGCGATGATTATGGGTAAGTTAACTGTCCTTGTCTGGTTTAAATGTTTGGCAGGCTACGAGCCCCTGCCTCCGCCGCGACCTGCAGCTATAGCAGCTCCTGTATGGCAAGACAGAACTATCGCCTCAGCAAAGCTCCGGCTCCTGGAATACTCTGCTTTTATGGAGATCCAGAGAGACCGGGAGATGGTAAAGACACCCAGACATTCATGTAATGCAATAAGCTATATATATATACACGCATTTATGTGTGTGTTCTATTATCCCTTGTTCCCTACAGTATAAACACCTCTTCGTACTCATTGGCCCATCAAACCCGGGCTACAGCGACCCCGTGTTGGAGTCCATAGATGTCAGGCAGATTTACGATAAGTTCTCTGAGAAGAAAGGAGGCCTGAAGGAGCTGTATGAGAAAGGGCCACGCAACGCATTCTTCCTCGTCAAGTTCTGGGTCAGTACAGAAAACCTTTTTGTCTTTTCGATAAGATCATTTTGTAACAACTATGCATAATAAATTACGCAACTCGGTTTACAATCTCCGGTTACAGCCTGCTCCACCACACCGGGGAGGCAAGCCAATGTGTTTACACAAGAAATGACTTCTCCCTCGGTAGTGGCTTTGTTCAGCAGTATTTAATTTAAAGGTACCCTGTAGAGTGTTTTTCATAAACAAAAAAAAATTCCCTCACCAACAAAGACAGGGCGGCTATATTTCCTTCCCGAGGCGCTGGAATAGACACACATAGGACGGGTGTGTCTGTTGTCGCTCACTCTCTGTCCATCCTTTTTGTGCTCGATGAAGGCCGACCTGAGCAGCGACATCGAGGAGGGCTCTGGTGTGTTCTACGGCGTGAGCAGCCATTACAGCGGGACAGAAAACATCACCATCAGCGTCTCAACCAAGGTCTGCTCCTTCGGCAAACAGGTGGTGGAGAAGGTTGAGGTGAGAGTGTGAAACCGTCTTTACTTTTTTCTTCTGAGGAATCTCACATCCGCCATATTAATGCGGATAAATAACGCGCTGTGTGTGTTCCTCCCCTTCAGACGGAATATGCACACATGGAAGGGGGAAAGTATGTGTTCCGCATCAACCGTTCGCCCATGTGCGAATATATGATCAACTTCATCCACAAGCTCAAACACCTGCCCGAGAAATACATGATGAACAGCGTACTGGAGAACTTCACCATCTTACAGGTGTGTGTGCACGTCTTGTGCGTGCATCATCTGACACGTGTACCTCTTGCCTGCTGTTCTTTTGCATGTTTCATTATCAAATCCTGATCACACTGTGTTTTCTCGTTCTCCTCTCTTCCTCTCGCCAGGTGGTGTCCAACAGAGAAACTCAGGAGACTCTGCTGTGCATCGCCTTTGTGTTCGAAGTGTCCACCAGTGAACACGGTGCACAGTACCATGTCTATCGGCTAGTTAATGACTAGCAGCACGTTGGGTGCATGCAGAGACTCTCCAGACTTTTTGATACATAAAGCATAAACACTATTTCCAGTTTCAACACAGAGAATCGACACTCCTCTACTCTAAACACACTATTTTTAACAGACCAACAGTCACACTGTAGTCACACCTCTTTTCTAATGTTTATGCATTCATCATCGCTGCAAACTATGCACACATTTCCTAACATGCCGAGGCTGAAATGCAAATTTAAAATTCGTTTTAATAGATTTTGACCAAAATGTGGCGTAATCATCTGCACGTGTTGTAATTATATTCAATGTAATTATTCCGGTGAATTCCTGAATAATTTCATAATCACCCGGGGAAACTGATTGTGCACGCCTCTCGATATCCTTATCGGTGGAAGATTTTAATAATAAATTGAATTAACTGACCAGCATGTTTTTAAAAAAAGAAACCAGCAAAAGAGCCAAATTACACTTAAACCTGTTTATTATGTTATATTCGTCATATACTTTTATATACAATGACAATCTAGCTGTGGTGCACTGAAAATCCTCTTCTCCAAGTATATGCATTTACATCATCGGTGTGACTGATGTGAGACAAGTTTGAATATAGGTTGTCAATCAAACCATTTAACCAGTGTTAACATAACCCTTCCACAATGCCTCTTTCTTCTACAGTCTGTACACGCTGCACGCTAGCAATTGATTGAGCCTGTAATGGCGTATCATCCATCACGGCTCGGCGTGGAGGATCATTATACTCAAGCTGGTTTAATCCAAACTGCTCGCATCGTGTGGCAGAAGCAGTTTGAAAGAGTGCGCCTGTTCCCAGAGTGCACTCCACCACTCGGTGACGACGTAAAAGTCGTATTTCTATTTGAAACCGGTCGTCAGAGTATAAAATGAGTGCTCCTATTTGCTGTAGCACGCTTCCCAGTGGTACAGTGTGTGCAGAGGGGGTGGAGATAGTTTGTTTAAATGTCAAAGAGGTGTTTTCATTTTGACTATACTTGATTTTTGGAAAGAAAAACCGAAAGGTTCCCTGCTAGTTTCAGATTTAAGTTCAGCATTTTGAATGAAACAATTAGCTTTTTACTGTTCACTTACACAATACTGCTTTAGTCTAACTGCGTTGGTTCGCTGCAGTATTTCTACCTCTGCGTGAGTTGGGATAAGAATGTGCTTTGGTTCATAAAGCCTTAACCTGAGGAGCACTGATGTATAGGACGTGTACACTACACTTGTAATGGTACTGTTGTTTATAAGCCAAAACGAGCTCAATAGACTTGTTTTCTTTGTATTTTACCGGCACAGCTAGACGTTTTACTCTAAACCTGAGAAATGATGGGTGTTTAGGTTTTTATCTTTTTTGGTGTATGCAAAGTGATGTATGGTACAGACAACACTACGGTTACCCACAGTGCACTGGGAAATATTTTTGTCTGATATCACTAACAAATTATCCAGCTTACACTTGCCTTTTTTTCTGTTTCGGTCGATGTGATGCTCTTTGTTTCTGGTAAAAATTGTTACCAGCATTTTTTTATATAGTAAATGTTAATGGCCTGTATTACGCCCTCTTCTGGCAGGATTATCTTTGAACTATTATTATAAAAAGTAAAAAACTGCTTTAAAAAAAAAAAAAATCTTTTCACTGTGTGGTCTGCTAGAATTTTGATCTGTATATTTTACCCATCAGTGTGCTCTGGTTGGCTGTATCCCATTTTCTTTTGTGGCCCGGTTAGCTCAGTGCCTTCATGCTGTACCAATAAAACCACATGGTGTTTGCAGAAGCAAGTTTTTGAAGTAAAACAGCTGCACGAGAGAGGAAATCTTCCTCACAAAAAACATCTACATACGTATTGAAACTGTTCATTTATGGTTTGGCACAATTCCATCAACTGTCAAGTGATTAAAGTTGGCCTTGCATGTTACGTAATAGTGTCAGTATTGGAGGAAGAAAATACAAGATTATAGCTTTTTTTTTCCCCCCAAGTAAAGATTTGATCACAGGTTGAGTTCCAGTACAAGTTACCACTGTGGTTGTGTAACTATTTTTAAAGTGGATTTCTGTTTTTGTCTCTGTAGAGAAAAATAATAGTAGTACTAGAAAAGAAAAAAAAAGCGCATCTGATCGCTGACATCCAGTCCTCACCTGTGTGTCTACCATAAGTCAAAGTGTCTGCTGTGACAGTACGCGCACCTTTACAGGTCATTTACTCACTTTCGGTCTTCACAAGTTTTAGCTTCCTGGCCAGTTTGACACTTTTGCCTTAAGATGAATTCCTCTTCCTGACACTGATCACGTCACAAAGGTTGCGATGCTCATTTGGCCGGCTAGATGGTGCCGTCGCCTCAAAGGAAGAGCTCATGCAAGATGAAAGTGACTGGGGAGGCTTCTCTCAGGTAAGACCTTCTCATTGCTAGTGTGTGAAAACCACTAAAGGCTCATTTTAATCACAATTCCTAGGCGTCGATGGGAAGAAAAGTACACCTGTTGCTATAAATGATTCCTATTGTCTGCTTGACATTTTGCCAGCACGAAAACTACCGTGTGCCCGTTTTACGCCGTATGTGCAACATTGGGGAACAAAATAATAATTTGAAAAATCAAGGGAGGTTTAAGTGGCAGGCCTTTACTATCACAAACTGGAATACTGCGACTTGCACCATTTGGTATCCAGTCCCCTCTGCCGACAGAAGGATGACCGATACTCTGAGTACTTTTATTAACAAATTCTGTGCTTGGGATTCCAGGTGTCCTCAACGCACGTTTGGTTCCGCCGGGCCTCGTGAAACGATGACGTAGCGCTGACTGGCTTCGTCCAGACGGCCCGGCGCTGTAAAGCTGTCAGCGTGGACACGTAAGATACAGCTGTTCAGCTCCATTAATCCTCACGCTCGTGGTTCTTCTTTTGGCAGACGTGTGGTGTTATCTGTCTGCAGGACGGGCGAAACCGTGACAGACACACACAAACAAAGTCCTCATGCTGGGTGTGGTACTGTGTAAGCTTCCCAACATGGCTGTACTTCCCCTACAATGAGCCACGGAGGAGCACCGGCACAGGACTCGTTTCGTGAGGTGGACGCGGATAAAATCGGTCTTGAAAACGATGAACTACATGGGATTTGTGTTTTTTTTCCCTTCAAACAATGCTGCTTTTAGTCATCCATTTACGTTCAAGTGGATCAAACCAGTGTTCTCATGTTCCTCCTTCTCTCTCTGTGATAAAGACTCGGTAGGAATACAGTGTACGTGCGTCCAGGCTGCCTTGCGGTGTCATAGACACGCTCGGGTACATTACGCACGGCGCGCACTGCCTGCATGGCATCGGGTGGGGTTGAAGGTGTGGTGGGAAAGTGTCAACTGCAGAATCTGAGCCAATAATCCGGTTACACAGAGAACAAACTTGTATTATCTTTTTCTCCCTTCTCAGCTGTCCATCTTTACGTCCCTTCTTAAATGACCACAAAATGAATAAGTCATAAACATCAAGTATCAGCAAAAGGCCTTTAATAGTAATACCAATCAAAATAGAATAAAGAGTTTAAGCCTCAATGATATATTACAACATAAAATGTGTCCCTGTTGAAGAGTTTTGTCTTAACCTTTTATTAAGTAAAGTATTTAATATGAATTGTGACCTCTTTATAAAGTGTGCCTTATGGTGGTATTTGTATGTGATACAGCGATGTGCGATCAGCTGTGGCAGAGAAGTAAAGATCAACAAACATTCAAATTATCATATTCCAATCATTTCAAGCAATTGTAATCTAAATTGTTAAATGTGCGTCCTGTTCATAGGAGATATGCCAGTGGAAAGAGACTATTCTTATTCTGACATACGCACAGATTTTCTCGTGACAGGAACCAACAATGTTCAGAAAGTTCATATGGTGGAGCAGTAGTGCCACAAAATAACTTTATATTTACATATTTACAAGTAGCAATACAAAAACGAGTTTCAATTAAAAGTCCTGAATCATGTATTGTTTTTTTCTATAAAATCTTAATATGTTAAGTCTTAACAGTGGAATGAAATATACAGTTTTAGACTTTGAAACGTTCTGTGGATAAAATAGAATAAAATGTAACAAGCATCTCAACCATACTTGGACAATTTTACTCTACTGTACATTGTGATTTGTCATATGTCTAAACTCTATGTGTATTGTGTAGTCTGTCCTGCGGTGCTGACACATCACACAGCGCCCTACGACAGGCGCCCATGCCCCGCCCCTCCCATCCACGCCCCGCCCGTCTCATCGGGGCGCGGTCCCGAGGGTGTTCACCTCCTCTGCTAATGACACATTTGCCCCTCCTGGACACCTGGCTCAGTCTGCCGCACTCCTCTTCCCGCAGAGTCTGCACTCGATTTGGAAGCTTTTCTATTCTTCAGAAAAAGAAGGCGCCGCGCTGGGAAGATGATGGCTCCGGACCCGCTGCGTTCTGCCATGAGAAACCGGGGATTTGACGACACGTCGCTCGCCTTGCCCTCCGACGGCAAGCTGCACACAGGAGCGCAGCGCGTGCTGGATCAGGTGCACACCATCAGGAGGAGCAAGTCCAAACCCGGCAGCAAAGACTCCGCGTCCCCAATAAGTATGGAGAATGTCTTTAAACGGCTGCATGTATTAGGAGAAGTACAATAGAAAACTTTTTTATGTTTACTTCAGTGCATCGAAACAGGCTGTTGGCGCTTTTGCACTTCTTGGCAAAGTTTGTTTTTCCTGGTAGTTATGAGTCATACCGCTTTCCCAAAAGGTGTGTCATCCCGCACACCACTGCGGGTTTCCAGTGCTGGGAGAGAGAATGTCATTGGGGGGACTATAGTCATACCACTGCTATGGACCGGATCGCTTGCTGCTATTTAACAAGAGCGTAATTTTTGCCTTTTGCGCCCCGTTATCACGCATCCTAGCGCGCACGGCACGGTGGTTTCTCTCTGCCATGCAGGAATGCAGCCCTCGCGGGCTCCTGCGCCGTTTGTAAAATGTTGCATGTTCTAAAATCCCGCGCAGTTTTGGAACATTCAGCATTATGAAAAAAAGCAGGACAATATTCATGTGATAATGCTAAATGTACCAAAACTGCGCAGGAACGTGCGACATTTCACAAACAGCGGTCCCCATAGTGCGCAACATTCACGCAAGTTTTTAGAACGTTTAAGTCTTTCAAAACAACTGTTTTGCTATTACTGCAACAGACATCACAAAGATCCACCAAACATTACGAAATGTGTTTATCTTGTGAAATGAGTGCAGCTCCCGTTGAGTTAGAATGAAGTGCTGGGACATGCATGTGTTGCATGATGTCCATGCTATTTTACTGTGTTTAGCTTCAGGGGATTGTAAAGTTTAAGTAATAAGCATACCTATGTTTACAAAGAGGGGGTCTCCATTAACTATTCATTTCTATAGTGCAGAAAGAGAAATATTACACATCTGTGAGGCTCTTCAGCCAAACCAGGTAACATTGATTGATTTGCAAACCATAATCTCTTAATGGAAACTCTCAGACTGACATTTTGCCACAATATCTGTAAGAAGGCTCTCGTTCCCATGAATCACCCAACCAGACACTTTTATATGGATTTTTAACCTGTAAAGGGTTTGTGTAAATCTCTTTCTGATAACATGAACAGTAAAATTATTAGTTACCACTGATTACTTGTCCCATGCTGCCCCATGTTCCATGTCGAAGTGTCCCTGAGCAAGACACCTAACCCCCAATTGCTCCCCGGGCAAAAATGTGAAAAAGCCATGGGTTTAAAGTGTAATGTAAGTCGCTTTGGATAAAAGCCTCTGCTAAATGACCTGTAATGTAATGTAATTACTTGATTATGAACTGGGAGTGATTGATACGACACTATTTAAATAATGTTATTTCCGATAAAGCTCTAATGAATAATTTTAAAATCTACTGACAAAACAATTAACTGCACTTTGGATGGATTTACAAAAATTAGGCCAATGGAAAACCATTTAATTCAGAATATGGCAAAGTTATAAAAAGTGAGAGGCACATGGATATCACTTTTAAATAATATTTATAGAAGTCTTAATTCAATCTTTAATATTCCAGCTGAATTAAATGTTTTTTGTGAAAGATTTTTTCGATTTATAAAATACAAGTAGGCCTAATAAATAGCAAGTAAAACGCACTGTTCTGCCCTTTCGACAGTCATTGGGGGTCTGATCACCATGACAACATTAAAGTGTTTGGGGGTGTGTCAGATGTTTTTGTTGCTTGTCATGCTGGCTTAGTTCCATCGTGTGGTTCATGGACTCCCAATGCTGCTGCCTTCTTCTTCTGCGTGTGTGACTCATTTATTTGTTTCGGTTCTCATACTTCTCATCTCTCAACAGGCCCGACTCCCAACAACTGGACCTCATACGAGTCCGGAGCATTCAAGTTTTCCCCGTCCAAAGCAAATGGCACCTTCAGCCGCACCAACTCCGCTGTGTCAACAGGCCACAGCAAAACGGTAATTGTTTTGTCTCGTGGGGGGTGTGGACACAGATGGAATATAATATTCCTAACTATGTTCTCATTAGGACGCACCTGTCCGTCAAAGGGGATTTAGGACGTTATTAAATGAGACCTTGTACTGAACTTCAGCTGGTTGAAATTGTGTTGCCACTAGTCACATGGTTTGATGGTCAGCGTCTCATTGACCAACTAAAGGGGATTTCATTTGGAAATTGACAATTTTTTATTTTTTTTTCCAGTCTTGGGACTGAGAGTCCGGTTGAGTTCTACTCATTTGCAATACTGGACTCATGCACACAGGAGTAATGTTGACTCCATCGATGTGTTCTTGTGTGTGAACATGCGTTCGTCCTCGGTCGGCCTGGCCTCACATACTGACAGGGAGCTGCGGCATGTCGTGGGAGTGTGCGAACGCCAACCCCATGTTTATATTGTATTACTCCTGTTCTGTAAGCTACCGCCAACTACAAAATGAGTACTTCAATGACCCGGTAAAAGTATGTCTTGCCAGTTGGAAGCTGTCTTGACTTCCGTATATCACTTTCAATCAGTAAAGCAAGTATTGTATCATTCAATTAGAATGTTAACTATAGATGTAACAGAAACCCAATATTACTAACATGTTAAAAGGTGACCGGGTACTGTTCCAGTTAAGTTAATGCGTGTCTGACTTTAGGAACAGAAGGGTTGCCAGTTAAAGTCCCCACGCAGATGCAGTGCGGACATTCTGCATTTTTTTTTCTCCATTACCCTTCTAATTATAACCACAATGTTTTTGTTCCTAAATGCGACGCATCACTTCTTTTTGGACTGCTTATTTTCCATCCGTCCCACCTGTCCTTCCTCTGATGTGAGGAGCTTTATCCTATAAAGGGAGCATGAAGCTGAGAGTCAACATGCTCCGTTTCTTATCAAACGTGTTGTTGATCCTCCCTCCTTCATGACTTTGTTGCCTAGCGAGGACGGCTGGTAACTAAGCAACCAGTCCGCTTTGAAAGAAGTTAAACTCCCACAACCAGTGTCGGTTTTCTAAAAAGTTGAGAGTGACTCATCATTAAAGCATTCGCTTGACATGTTCGGTTATTTTGCTCGGGCTATGCCAAGTATCGTTCCTGCTCTCATTGGCTAAAACAAGCTAAAACAAAGTCACAATAAATACATAAACACTGCGCAATTACATGAGATTTGGGTCCGTAGTGGCGTCGGGATTCAGCGAGTGCAGAGTCTGCTGTGACCGGCTCACACAAAGAACCTCTGTGAGAAACCGCTCGGCCGGCAGTCTGTTAACAAAACCGCTTCAGTTGGTCTCTAATGACTGATATTACGTTGCCTTGGTTTGTGTGATTGTTTGGTGCATTCCATCGCTTTCACCTCATCTCGAGGTATGTAGGCTTCGACGCAGGTCAAATTCCTTTGTCTTGGTGTATAGGGAACCTCTTTGAGAGTTCTTGTAGAGGAAAGGGGACTACATACTTCTTTTTTTTTTTCTGTGACCTGGATTTTGTTACTGAAGAATTTTAAGGTGATGCAGTGATTTAACATTGAAAGGTACTCCTGTTTGTTATTGCCAACAAAGACTTTTCTACTACTGGCAAGTGTACATATCCTATAATGTCTCATTGTTAGGGCTATCAGATAGATTAATGAATTAAAAAAACAATGTTGTTTTATAATGTTCTAAGACTAAATCTTAAACGTAATAAGTAATCACTGTCTTTTAGACACTTGTTTAATTGTTAATGTTATTTTAAACACTTTTGATCATCTTGGAGACAGAATTCCACCTGGTGGAACATGTTGAACTAGCGGCGACTCCTGCGGGCCTTGTGCACTTTGCTCTCTCCATAATTTAACGGCTGTGCCAACAACCTCCCCACATTTAGCCAGAACGTTTTCAAATCACGGTTCGAAAGGGACACAGTGGTGGTCCTGCAGACTGTGTGCAAGGTAACGTTAGATGTGGAGATGGAAGTAGCTTAGCAGCTAGCTGAGCATAGAAGTGCTTTAAGTGTGGTACGTTTGCCACTCACCCTCCAGAGTAATTCCTCTGCATTCTCTGCTGTATGTCGCACCACTGTTTGTTTTACTTTTACCAATGCAAAAAGATCTCCATCGTTTCCGCACTCAACTTCCGGTTTACTTACGGAAGTAAAAAAACGTTAACTACGTTAAAATATTTTGTTGCATTAATCGAGGCCACATTAATTGCATAGATTAATGCGTTAATGTTGACAGCCCTAGTCATTTTCCTTCTAGTTATTACTGAGTATTTATCAAACACATTATTGTGTATTTCTCTTATGACCACACCAATGGCTAAACCTACCATATTGTCCCCAGGTCAATATTTGAGGTATTTGGTCAAAAATATTGTAATGATTTTATTTTATTACCATATCACCAAGCCACACATATGAAATAGTCCATTCAAAAACCTTGTCATTCATTTTTTCTTTCTAGGTAAATTCTCAGAGTCGCAGTGTGTTCGCTAGAACCTGGGGAGGAAGACATGTCACCAACTCTGGCATATGGGATCCACAAGTCAGCGCCCACAACTGTCCGACAGCTTCCAATGGGTTGAAATCCGCTCGCAGTGACCCTGTTTTGGCGCCTTCATTTTCTGCTGCACCCGTCATGGTGATCAGTTATTTCTATGTCATTGTAAATAACATAAGTTCCCCACAGTGCCATACTTACCATAGATACTAACACTGTGTTACGCTCTTTTTTTTTTTTCTTATTTTCTTTAGCGAGCCAAAGGCCAGGGGGTCCAAAGCCAGAACAACTTGCAGACTCGACAGAACAGACTCAGCACCTATTCTAGGACCAGCTTTCCGATTTCCACCAGCCAGAATGCGATCTTCCAGACACCCTCTGCCCAGGTTCACACCGACGGCAAGATGGGCACCATCAAACACTCCAAGATAGCGCAGGAATCCTCGTGAGTTCACCTTCTTTCCCGGACATTTTTGGGCAGATAGAGACATTGAAACAGGCTCAGGATAAGAGTGACATCTGCATATCAGCATTTCAGTTTTGTGCTAAATAAGACATTTGCCCTGAGCCATGGATATGTTTGCGTTTTGTAATATTACGTGACAAAAGAACATTGCCAATGTCTTTCAGATCCATCAAAAACCCAACTCCTAGTATCTAATTTCCAACTTTCTTTTATATTTTCCTGTTTCAGCAAGATGAACAGTGTTGTGAACATGTCAGAAATGACACTGGATCAGGCTGTAGAGTTCCTGTCTTACACTGAAGAGTACCAGCAGTGTGGAGCCACCTTCATCCAACACAAAACCTTCAAAGACGACAGCACCAAACAGGAGGTTTGAGCACTTGCACTCAAATAAACCGTGCACTCTCCAATAAAGGAAATAAATGGCCACGTTTTCAACAAAGAGTCCCTCCATGTTTCCACATTACAGGTTTTCCATTTGGGAGGTATCCCTGGGCTTGTGAGCCTGATGCGGAGCCCCGCCCCTGGGGTGAGCCAGGCCGCGGCTGGAGCTCTGAGGAACCTGGTGTTCAAAGACCAGAAAAACAAGCTGGAGGTTCAGAACTGTGGCGGCATAGCGAAGGCCCTGCAGCTACTAAAGGAGACGGATTCTACCGAGACCCAGAAACAAATTACTGGTATGGTAATTTTTTTAATGGACCAGGCCCCTCAAAATATTGGGTACAAAGTGTTGCTTAGTTTACTAAAACTATGTTCTATTTGCGTAGAGAAATACATTTTTTATTTAGAATCTTTATCTGCTCCACTCTTGGCAATACATTTCTTCAAAAACACAAGGGTTTTTTCAAGAACAAATTCAACTTCAAACAGCAAAAACATGATTCATAGATGAAATACTCGGGCGGATTCTTTTTTTTTTAATGCTCATACTGTTGCTTATCTTGCCCCATGAAGGCCTGCTATGGAACCTGTCCTCTGCCGACGAGCTGAAGGAAGAACTCATAGCTACAGCTTTGCCTGCCCTGACTGAGAACGTGGTGGTGCCGTTCACCTGCTGGTCAGACAGCTGTGCCAACAACAACATACACCCCGATGTCTTCCACAGCGCCACAGGGTGCCTGCGGTGGGAACATTTAAATCATCAGTGCTGTTGCAAAGTTATTTTAGCAAATAAAAAATTACATTGATTAATTTGACAATTTTGGCAGCAAAGCTCTAATTCCCTTTCAATTAATTTCTGTTATTAGTTTTTTACTTGAGCATGTGACACACGGATTTGCATCCTTATTGACAGGTTGTCAGTTAAGAAATGTCATTGTTGTAAAAAACGTTATCTTTGCAACTCACTTTCTATTGGTACTTTGCACTGCACGTTGTGCCTAATCTCCTTAACCAAGTTTGCTAACAGGGTGTGTTGGAGCAAGTTACGCGCCGGCCCTCGCAGTTGTGTATCTGCTATTATATTCTAGGCATGTTGTGGCTAGAATGTAATAAGTGTTTCCTTTTCGAATTTAAATGAATGATTGTAAATGTGTGTAGGAACCTGAGCTGCTCCCAAAAGAAGGAGCGGCAGGCAATGAGACAGTGCCGCGGCCTCATCGACTCCCTCATGAACTACGTCCAGTCCTGTGTGGCGGAGGAAAACCCTGATGACAAGGTAAGGTACATCTTTCCCTTTTCCCACAAAGATTTGTTTAAACCTAAAGCTTTGCCCACAGACTGCATCATCATTTTCTCTGTTCTCCTTCTCCTTTGTAAACTGACTACTGGCAAGAACTTCATAGTCCTAACTTCCAGATATTTAGAGAGATATGAATCCGATAAAGATCTGTTGACGTGTTCCTGTACAACATGTCTGATGTGCTTCTCACAGAGAAATGCGCTCTAAATATGTCAGGCACATGTACACATACACACACAGCGAAAGTAAACAAACTGACACATACGGTGAACGCACATGTATAAGCAGTTTGAAGGCGGAGTCACTGTTTATATATCCGGCTGCCTGCTCGTATGTGTACCCGCTCATTTGTGGAGGAGTTGGGCGTGTGCTTAATTCTATGTCTGTGCTAGTGCTCTGTAACACACGCTTCTTTGGAGTAGTAGAGTATGAGATGTGTGTGTGAGAAGCAGTGCTGAGCTCAGTAAAGCTTTTGGTGAAGTCTTTTTTTTTTTTCATCTTAATGGATTTCAAGTGCTTGATGTATCATTTATCTTCAGCAAAAACGTTAATTGTATTTGCACAAATTTCTTATCAAACACACTGGCAAATGTACATAGATATGAAAAGTAAGTTATAAGATAGAACTGCTATGCTTTTAGGTGTATTAACAGTGTGGTTAACTTTTCCTCCAGTCTGTGGAGAACTGTGCGTGCATCCTCCATAACTTGACCTACCAACTGGAGGAAGAGTCCCCTGTCTGCTTCGACAAGTTCCGACCTTCACCACAGAGCCAGGCTGGGGGGAGGAAAAGCCCCACCATGGGATGCTTCAGCCCCAAGAGCAGCAAGGCTCAGAAAGAGGTGGCCATCAAACACCACACCCTGACCCACCAAGTTATTTTTTTTTACGTTGTCTGTTGAATTGAGGCTGCCTTCCCATTTCTAAACTCCTTTTTTAAAAATCTTTTCTTCAGATATTCAACGGTGTTCTGGAAATGCCGGAGGTCAGCTCCCCATCAGGTGTGGAGGGGTTGTGCCATCCCAAATCCATGCAGACCTACTTGTCTTTACTGGGCTCGTCCCAGAAAGATGCCACCCTGGAAGCGTGCTGTGGTGCCCTGCAGAACCTCACTGCCAACAAGGGAATTGTGAGTACAAAGAAGATGATTACCCAGCTTACCGTTTGTGTGTGGCGTCAACGGGCACTCGGGATTACATTGGATTCATTTATTAAAGTGGAGAAACGGCAGACACTGAGATGGGGCGGGACGTAATGACACACACCGCCACGACTCATAACTGACTGGTTTTGTGAGAAAGGGTGGAGTTTTATTTGAGGATTTAGAAGGCACGTGGGAAAAAAAAGCACTCTGTGCGAGGGATAAGTAGATGCGTGCAAATGTTAAACACCTTACCAAGTCCTCTCGATTTATTGTCACAATGTGAATAGCGGGAGATCCAGCTAATGTGTTTCCCTCTTTCGTGTTTATGCGTCCCTTCCAGGGGTCCAGTGCCATGAGTCAGATTCTGGTTCAAAAGATGGGGGCTCTGGTGCAGATACCCCGTCTTCTAAAGTCCCCCAACCGCAGCTTGCAAAAGGCCGCCATATCCCTGCTGGGTAACATGTCTCGGACCAGCAGTGTGCAGCCCACCATGGGTAAGGAAAAGCACGGAGATGTGGTGCTGACTCTTGTTTCCCACCCAGCAGAAACATGAATGTGGAGTTGGTTCACATGAAACTGAAGTGTGTGTGTGTCCTTTTGTCTTCTCTTTAGCAAAGCAGATCCTGCCTGAGCTCACCGACCTCCTCTCCTCCGGCCCACGAGAAATGGGAAACTTGGACGACACTATGATGACCGCTTGCAACACAGTCAGGAGTCTAATGTTGGCGGACACTGAGGTCAGCAAGAAGGTTATCAATAATAAACTGGTGACGTCCCTTGCTGACCTCAGCGAGAACGGGTGAGTTCATGTTTATGTTAGCGGGAATACACTGTAATATCGATAAGTAGATTTCCTTTGTGTCTTTCACATTTTCTGGCATTCCCGACAAAGGTGTATCAAGTAACCTTTGACTTTAACCTGTTGCAGTTGTTATTGCGGCCTTTGGTCAAAATGTTTTTTTTAAATAGAAATTGGCCCTCAGTCAGCCTAATCTGCTTCTTTTTCTTACAATTGCGTGGGGTTTGCCTCAGCTGTATTTTTTTTCCCTGCTCTTGTCTTATAACTACAGTCCTTCTCTCCGGCCTTTAGGTCTTTTCCCAAATCGAGCAAAGCAGCTTCCCACCTGCTCTACAGCTTATGGAACGAGAAGAGTCTTCAAGGCGCTGTGAAAAAGGTAAGTCAGAAAGATCTGAATTGCTGACGTTTCACTCTGTAAGACCGACACCAGACAAAGCTATTGTATCCGTGTTTTGGGTTTAAACTTAACACTTGCGTACAAGCAAACGAGGGTTTTGCCTAGGGTGCACACAATCACTTTCCCTTCCCTCCTGCCTCACCCAGAAGTTAAGTGAATACAGAAACAGTCACATTGGAATGTTGGGTGGCTGGTTTTTGATGCTCACTGTCCATTATGGGCGGAGGAGTAACATATTGAAGAGAGATGAAGAGCTCAAGACAGTAAGAGTCGTGAAAGGGGAGACGTGTGTGTGTGTGTGTGTGTGTGTGTGTGTTATGAACAGCGACGCTTAAACATTCCACAAAGAATGAAATGTGGCGGCTGGTAAGAGATGGAAAACACTCCTCTTCTCACACTGCCATGATTGGCACAAGGCTCCACTAAGTTGCTGACACAGTACATTTGCTTTTAATTAGTGGGTGTGCTTGGGTTTGTTTGTCTGTGACACTTTGAACTAATATTTGTTTACTTTCTGATCCTAAGCTGGGGATGGCTAAATCACTTTTTGTGAACGACATCACTACAGCTGTGCAGAGGTCAATGCAAGTTATTGAGTGAGTGTGCTCAACGTGGAACAGAACCTCAGAGTCTGAAAGGTACGCTTTGTTTTGGCATTCTTGTATCTGGACATATTCCCATTTTGCAGAATTTGTGTCATGAGGATTCCAACCGTCTGTTTCTCCTCCCCTGCAGGTTTTCGCGTGTGTTCTTTCAGACGGAAATCAGCATGTTAAGACACTTCTGCGGCTACACCCTTGCAAAAGAAAGAGTAGAATTATATTATTCACATAATGACATAAATTGGGGTGACTCATACATGATATATATACTTTTGAGAGTATGCACCACGTATGTAAAACATTCATAAGACAGTGTTTAGTTTCCTGAATAATCCTGCAGCGGTTTATGTATTTAATTTGGATATGTTTCTGTCCGTGTATATAAAGAGGTGGATGTGTTTCTGTTAGACAAAGAGTGCATGTGCTGAAATTCAGATCTTCTGGCCAGTGAGCTGCAGCAGTGATTTTGAAATAAATGGCATTTTTTTCAAATGTGCAGTGGCTAAAATCTGAAATATCTACTGTGGCTTTGAAGTCTGAGCAGCCAAAATCAAAGTAATAAGAAAAAAAATATAAAAAACAAAAGATATTGTCTGTATTTCTGATATCGTTTTTTTCGATAACCTTCTACATTCACTTGGATTTCTTCTTGTCCTGTTATTTGTTTCATTACTCGATTATTGAGTTTATTGTTCTATAAAACAAAGCTTTCTAAACAATTGCAAAAATAGATAAATGAATTGTTCCGCATTTTGGGAAACCTGTTTACTAGTTGATGAGAAGATACCGCTGTTATGTTGGTACATTGTAGGTGAAGGTTCAACCAGCAACCAGTTAAACTAACTGGAACAGTGAGTCAGGCCTTGTCCAGAGGTAACACCTATGTGTCCTGCGTGTCTTTATAAAAACTATTGTCATGTTTTAAGAATGTTCCCTTTGGCAGGGCTGCTTTTTTTTTCCTGTTTTCTGAGCTAAGAACCAGTTGCTTATTCTTTGCCGTAACCTTTTGGTAATCTTGCCTATTGAAATGTACAAATTACATGGTATTATTTTTATCTCCCTTTTTTTTAAGATTGTTCATACACTTTCATAAACTGAGGAATTGGAGAAAGCAAAGTAATTGACTAATGTACATGTAGCGCCAGCCAGTCCAATTCCCTTTGATTATGTATAGACAGTGAAACCGTTTAAAGTCTGACTTTAAATGGATCCGCAGTTGACCGGTTTAGCTGCTGGCTGCACACTGATCGTCTTTGAAGTGTTTGAGATCATGAGGAGGTTGCACCTTTATTCATAGGTGTGACAAATTATGATCCGTGTGAACGGCTGAGGTGAGATGAACCGCACATTCAAATATGTTAGAACATTTATTTTAAGTTTAACACATTCAGTCCCTCAGCTAAAACGTTTTAAAGCTTTACATACTGAAACACATTTTAAATCCCCTTAAATCACACAATGCATTTCAAAGACTGCAAGGGGGATTATCCAAGGCTACAATACACTACATCAGACTTTCTATGGTTGGAACATATATAGTCTTACTATGCATATATTCCTGCTGAGGCTCCTTTACCTCGTGGGAGGTGGATGTCAGTATTTCTTATGAATGTATTTTTGGCGAAATAGTTTGTGCGGCATATAACAAGGAGCTTTCCCTCCTGTAAATAGAATAAATAACACCTTTTGAAGACAACATTATGGTCTTTTTTTAATTGGTTTTGCTCCAAGTTTCATACTCTGTGTATATAACCATTTTCTTGTACATCTTGAAGTAATTAAGCTCCGAGTTGTCATTCCAGCTGGGGTTTTCCGCTGTTTGTGCACGCCGAAAACTAAACGAGAAGCCTTTGCCTTCCTTTTAGTAAATTGGGTGTGAGGGTCTGACCAAAGCCGGTTTGGTTGATTTAAATCCCATGAGTAGCTAATGAATGTGCACTTTTTTTCACAAAAAAACAAATCCATTGTTAATTTCTGGTATTCACAATATATGGAAAATAATTAATTTTGTGTGTCTGCAGCTTTACTCCACCATTCCTTTTGACTGAACCAGTCACACGAAGCGATACTTGTATCCCTCAGAATGAGTAAATCACTGACTGGCATTTCTACCGGGCCCTCATGAATCACTTTCAACTGATGCATTCCTTCCGTTAAACTTCCCCCTCCTGTTCTGATAGGTCAAGAAAATGAGTGACAGAAAACAATAGATGCAGTTTGCTGACATATTGACACCACGGTCTGCTGCTCGATTGGAAAAACACATCAGACAAATCATTTTTCAAAAGTAAATAGTTTGTGTACCTATTTGAACTAGAAATATTCTATGTTTTAATTGGATTTTGATTAATTTAGGATAAAGATTAGCAACTTATCAGTTTTTTTTAATAATTTTACACCACTCAGTAAAAAATAATATTGAACATAAGGACGCAGAAACTCCACCCTCAGATATCACCAAGTGTGTTTTTAATTAATTCAGATAGTCAATTCTGGCCAAATGATCAAATCCAAGATCTTTGCTTTGAGTTTAGTTTTATGATTCACTGTAGATTCACTGGTTGAAAGGCAGAACGTCTGTTTATTTCCCACCTGGATTTTGGTTAAAATTGAAATGATTCATTCTCTTTAGTGTTTGTGTCTGTCGGGTGGAGGTCTGGGCGTTGACAGTCATGTCAGCACCTGTCTCTTCCTGTACTTGCTCCAGGCTTTCTGCATTCATGTATTTTTACTCTTTGGACCTTTGAGTGCCAGTAAACTCATTCGTCCACACTCTAGAAGTCTAGAAGAGCGAAACAAATGTATTTATGTAATAACGTCAAGGTTTTATTCATTCATACCCTCAAACACCAGATGATCTAATTTAATGGTAATAAAAAAAAGGAGTGAGACGGAGCAGAACGTGTGGATAAATAACTGGGGGAAGCATGCGGCTTGGTTTGAGGCGGTCGGCTGCAGGAGGGGCCTCATGGATGCACCGCTCACTCTGCACGTCTGCAGTTATTTCCTCAGGCCTCTTTTGGTCCTTTTGGACCTGTTGAAAACAAGAAATGGACACTTCAGCTGAAGGCAACATGTCTGTCACCAAATACATTAGGAATGCCCTTTTACTGGGGGGAAGGTGCAGCACGCCCTCCGAACCGCCTGAAAAGGTAACACGGCAATCAGCATGGAGACGTACAGGTGCTATTCCGTGGTTTCTGCTGACCTGCCCGTTACACCCAGTCACACAGCCCGCTCTCCCAGTTTGTGTGTGCAACAGAGCCCGGAGGGGCCTGTGAAGCCGAATGAGAGTCTGGCTGTGACCGGGCGGGGTTACGTGCTGATACCATTTTGTCAGCCTGCAGATTCACTTTCACGATTTAACTGTTGTGTCTGTGACTAATTCATGTCGACGTGACTACATGTCATAAGTAGTTGAATTATTCTTGTTGTCAGATCCTTTCCGAGCGATATTGCAGCATGACCTTAGGGAATGGTCTGTATTCAAAGCGTTCCAAAACATGATTATCCATTTCAGGAGCTGAGAAAGTTCTCTTAATACCTAAAATAACATGCCTTTGCAGATTCACACAATTAGTTACAATTAGTTTTTCACTCTGCTATTGAGTGTATGCATTTGTAATGGCAATAAATACTTTTCATATTCGTTATGGGAAATACTACCTCTGGATGATGTTTGCCATGTTGACCTCTCAAAGCTGGAAAAGCAAATAATACCCATAACAAACAAGGTGCTTTTGTAGTTGAACATAGTCTGTGGGCAGATCCGCGAGCCTTAAGCGTCTGTTCAAAAAGCATGCGTAGAAAATATTTTATGTGGAGTTCATTGTTACGTTTTCTGGTGGTCGCTGACTCGGTTCCTCAGCACATTGATCTGCAAGAAAGAAAACACGCAAACGTTTTTTCAAAAAGGTCCATTACACCCTGTGCATTATTTGAGGAACGGCCGTTGTGTGCTGTAGCAAACACCTCGTATTTCTGGCCGGTGATCTGGTACTGCAGATCAAACTTTTCGGCCTCCAGCTGCTGCATCCACTCCCACAGCTCTTTGGCTTTCTCCCTGTGAGACACAGATGCACAGCAATGGGACAGTATGCTCATGGTGGTTATCTCGTGTATCATATCATCGTCCCACCTCCCCCTTTCTTGCCGTCAAATTACAGAATATGTCTGCACTTACTTGAGTTGGTCCAGGCTCAAGTTTTCGATGTCCAGAGATTTGCGTCTGTCACTCAGGATTTTCTTCTTCTTCTCTCTCTCAGTCTGCCTCTTACCGCTGCGTTTTTCGGTCTGCGGTAAAGTGGAATAAAACATAGCTCTGGGTGTCGCCCTTTAGGTTTGAACTCTTTCAGCCTCCCACTTTGAAGCCTACACCCGCTCACCAACTTCTGCATGTAACCTCCAAAGTGGAGGCTGGTGAGGGTTTTCTTCTTCTTCGCATCCTCATCTGCTCTCCTCTTGGCCTCCTCGTCCTCCTTGCGAGTTCTCTCATCCTAAAACAAAACAAAACAACCAGAGGGAGAGAGGACCAGTAAGGTGGAAGCTTCAGTAGATACAGAGGGCATGCATTGAGCTCCAGCTGTGAATGTACCTCAAGGCGCTTCTGTCGCTCTTTATCTCTCTCACTCCGGATTCGTTGCTGCTCTGCTCGCTCGGCGCGACGCTTGTCCTGCGCAACAGATCCTCATTATAGATGATCTTAAATCCGATGGTTAATTTTATGACCAATCACATTCACTGTAGTGGGAGGCTCTCACAATCCGGTCCTTGAGATGAACAATGTCATGTTCTTCCTTCTTTCTGCTCTCAAAGTGAACCTCGATCAAAGTCTGGAGCTCCATCAGGTCTTTCTCCATCCTTTTACGATGTATATCCTACAGGAACAAGGCTTCAGTACGTCTGCTACTTTATGCTGTCACTGACCCATAAAGGCAGAAAAATACTTTCTAATGCGTGGTGCGTAAGTCCGTCACTCACATCAAAATCCACCTTCTCTCCATCTGGGATCTTAGGAGGGATGAGGTTGGGCATGATAAATGGCCTGGAGATCAACACAGAAAAACATTCAGTCGTAGGATGATGGGAAACAGTTTGAAAATATCAAATGTCAAATGATCATACACTGGTCTTTGATTTTGAATAGACTAAATTTTATTTATCTCTCCATAGTGTCACATAATAAACTCCATCAATGACAATATAGACAAGAAGACTTGTATATTACATTTTGGAATGATTCCTATTCAGCATTCTTCCTTGGATTTATTGACATTTCTAACAATTTAAAGTATTATATTGATTATACAATTATATATAGTGTTATTCCAATGGCATGTGCAATGTATTTATTGTATACATTTGATGTGCCTATTTTGTGTACCTCTATGCAAACATTGTGACAACTATACAACAAAGTTATATCATCAAAGATGCAAATTATTTTTGGAAGTCTACTAAGGTCAGATGTGGTAGACATTTACGTATTAAGGAACTACCATCATGTATCCCATAATGCTTTGGGGGACGTCAACAGAAAGACGTCTTTGGATTAGAAGTGATGTTGCGACAGTTTAAACCCCGCTGTTTGTTCACATTGCACATTATCATTTAACGTGTGTAGAATTATCCGCCCGCTGTTTGTGACGTCACGTCAATCGTTCTGGAGAAACCATTAAAAACACGCATCACCGGCCTGAGAACATGCGTCATTTTCTGTGCTTCCCAAGCAGATTACAACAGATCCAGGACATGAACCGTAAGTCACACCAACTCTTAAATATATCATCGTTGTATGCATTTAAGAAGACTGTAACCCATCATAAGTTAGGTTAAGATATTTGGAGGTTTTTGTTACCTTTGGATCAGCTTTGGACCGAGCCATGCTAGCAGTTTACACCTGTATCCAGCGTCTGTGCTAAGCAAAGCTAACCTGCTGCTCGCGTTTAATCTAGTTTAGATGAATTTCTCTTACTCCTGCAGGGGGCTCATATCTAACTCTGTGCAAGGAAGCCAGTGATTTATTTCCTAAAATGTAAAACTTTAATTCAATGGTGTTATTCATTGCATGAAGTAGAAAGTAGAGAGCATGAATAAGTATTTGGTTTCCATGACCGTGCAGAAAAGTGTTTGTGAGTGTTACTCACTTGAATTTCGGTTTGGCCTCCTCTGTTTAAAAAGAAAAGAGATTATGTTTCCAGCACCGTGTCCTGACTACACACGCACACACACACACCAAGAGCACACCTAAACATGTCGTGATCCAGCCAGGAAACCCTGGCAAGTTATGACAATGGATCCTGTGTATGCGATGACGTTGGAATTTACCTTGTCAGATTGAGTTCTTCTGATGCAAACTAGTATGATCTGGTAATACATTGCTAGTACATCCAAGGAAAACAGATTGGCAATGAGTAAGGAATGCAACCATTGGAAAAAAACAAAACCGCCTTACCTCCTTCATCCTCCGCTTCTTCCTCTCCATCTGCAACGTATGAGTGGGGGACAATAAATATAATACAATACAATAATGTGTCGTTGTACATGAAAAGAAAAGAGACGCTAAAATAGAGGAATGAGAAAATCGGTTAGATCACTCACTGACGAAAGTATGGCATCTGTGACCCCTGAACAACACCCAAATATTTGAAACGAAAATATGGGAAGGCCGTAGAGTTTACAGGTGGAAAGGATTTTTGGCCTAAAGCTGAGCTGATTGTTGCTCTGTGTGCTGGTCCTTCTTGTGGATGTAGAGATATTTTACTGGATGAACAAAAACTTTGACCTGCTGTTGCGGTCAGAGGCAAAGTCAAAGGGTCACCAAAGTCAGAAGGATTCACCATTTGGACACCGTGCGTGCCTTCGAAGAATTACACAACCGATCCAACCACAGGTTGTTGCGGTGTTTCAGCTTGGACTACGTCGTGGTCTGTCTGCGTAACAGCTTACAGGTGCCTCACAGGGCGTTTTCTGATTTGAAAGCATAGATGACACGGAAAGATGCCTTTCTTTAAATCTGACGTCCGTCCCGTTTGTAGAATATACATTAATAATAATAATTGCTTCCCTCTCCCCTCACCTTGTTCTTCATTGGCGTCGTCCTCTGCCGCGGGATCGTCAACTTCCTGCATGGCCTCTGGCAGACAGTCGGACAACAAATAGTTGCGTGTCAGCGAGAACTCTTGACACTCACAAGGTGTGAGGTTGACTCGTTGCCTTATTGAGCCTTCACTCTTCCTTTCTTGTCATTGACCTGTCATTTGTCGTAGGTTCCCGGTGAAAGGAATTAATCAGACAAGTGCTGCAAAATGTAATTGAGTGTCCCTTTCTCTCTTTTCCAGCAGTGGTGCTAATGCTTGGGAGATGTGTCCACGTTATGTCAGCTGGATGGGAGCAGTGGAAAGCCTTGCAGGAGGTACGGAGGGATCCTTTTCTGAATTTGCTACCCTCCTCTGCTATTTAAAGCAGACAGCCCTCGGAGCTGTTGAAGAGGTGTGTGTGCGTGCTGTGAAGTGTGTGCGTGCTGTGTGTGTATTTTCAGTTGGGATCAGACATTTTCTTCTTAACTAACATGAGATCTTTAAAGTCGTATGATAAGGCCCGCACTTAAACACAACAAGTTCCCGAGCAGTTCAGTTCTGGGAACTTCAAGAGAAGAGAGTTCCAAATACATGAGCTCATCAGGGGCCACACACTATATAAATGCTGGAATAAACGAAACACATAAACAAAATTAATTAAATAAATATTGAATCAATATACATAAATACACATGCACTATAATATATATATATAATCTGTAATTTTTATGTCTGCTTTTTTTGTATTGCTTCACTGGCTTTGATTTGTGACGGTATTTCTGTATCTGTCTGCTAATGCAGCTGTTGTCGCTGACCTCACTTTAATGTGAGTTTGATGGATTTAGCTCGATTTTCACTCCAAAATACTGCTTTAGTTAATTCAGGACCACCTGCCACAATAATACACCAACAGAAATGAATTAAGTAAATCCATATGTTTATTATTAAATACTATATTATATTTCATAAATTCCTTCCTTGCCAAATGTTAAATTGGTATTTTCATAATTAGTTCATAATAATTCTTGCACTTTGTAAATACCCAAAATGGTAATCCAAAGCATTTTTATTTAATATTTAAAATAAAACTTCATGACCTAGTTGAGGCTTTGATGCTGTGCTGATTGAAAGGTTGAGTTGTTGCTACTTGCACCATCTCCTCAATAACTGGCGGCATTTACAGATTTATTAAGAAAATATGCTCTTGGCTCAAAATACATACCGTCATCTGCCGCCTCCTCCTCGGGCTCCTCCACCTCCTCCTCCTCTACCGCCTGCTCCCCTGCTGAACAAAAGCACAGCGGTTTAGTAAAGCCAGCAACATTCAAAGAGAGATTAAAAACAAAAAAAAAGTCTTTCATTCGAATCATTAACGAAGGTCAGTCAGAGCCGGTGGTGGAATGTAAGTACATTTACTTACTTAGGTTCAAATTTTCCTTCTTTACTTGAAGGACGTGTTGTACATTTGCTCCAAGGATTTGTTACATTTGTCACTAATTGTGATACAAATAAATTATTTGCATAAAAAAATTTAAATGCTTGTAAGATATGACACCAAATATAAATGCCTTTTATTCATTCATTCCTTTACAAAATAGTTTTAAAAACATAGCTCCACCTCAAACAATAATTATCCAAAGATTGATAATAATTAAAAAAATAATAAATCATTGTGGCATTTCCATTACTGTACTGTTTACTTGTACTTTTGTAACACAGAACTTTTCCCTTCAAATGAATTTCTACTTTTTCTTAAGGATCTCAATACCTCCTTCGCTGGTCATAGCAATTCTATTTTATCCACAATCACCCTGACTGTCAAAGTTATTCACTCCCCAGGTTGATCTAGTCATTTCTAAAGAGACAGGACCACAAATCAATCACTAATGACCCGGATTTTCTTTTATGAACTTCAGGTCTCGTACCTTCAGTAGTCTCCTCTTCTGAGTGACGCATCCAGAGGAAAGTAAACATGGGAGGCAATTTGCAAAAAGTAATGATCACAATAAGAAAACAATGCATGCTGTACACATCCAAAACACTTTTATTGTAGTGATTAAATACATTGTAACTCATTTACATTTTGTGTGTTTTCCTATCTATCGCTTAACAAGGACGTTTCTTTTGGGTACAAACACCCTTTGTGCTGCAGTTTGCTGAGCCTCAGACATCAAGTTGAAAAACATTTAGACTTGTTTCATGGATTAGTTTGTAAATCCCATGAATAACCGGTCCTTACACTCTTTGTTTTTAACTGCTGTAACACTGTGTATGAATTACTGCTGTCAGGTCACTATATCAAACTTAAAGAAACAGCTGTCAAAACGTTTCACTGTCTACCGTATATATCACATCTCTGCGTGTGGTAGTGATATGACACGAGTTCTTACCTTCCACCTCCCTGTGAAAGTCAAACACACGCCAACATTGTTAAACTGGTAAGGAAACATAAGTATGCAGCAATATATCATCACATGACATACAGTCATTGCAAATTACAAACGTTTTCGCAACGTTGTATATGTTGGAATATGACTCTTGAGTATTGATGGAAAAAGAAGCTTTAACCTACTCCTCATACTCCTCCACCACCTCCTCGTTGTCAGACATGGCACCAAGCGTTGAGGCGAGCAGCGAGGAATCTGAACGTTAAACACGATTCCATCAACGTTCCCCCTCTGGTTCTTTTACAGTTTAATTGCACAAACCTGCTAACATCACAATGCGGGAAACCCACCTGAGCTGCAGTGATGAGGAAAGAGAGCTGATGGAGAGAGTCGCTGTGCAGCAGAGGAAGGTCTCAGAGGGTAAAAGGGGCAGACTGCCTAGTGGGGGAAGAGGCTTCAGGACCCCTCGTTGTGCTATTAATAACTTTCTAGATAGCATGTACTCTCCATTATCTCCATTCCCCAAAAGGCCGCTATGTGCGCAAGTGTGCTCTGCAGTGACAAAGGCATTTAAATGAAGCCACATACACATTTCCTCCCCCCTTGTATGGCAACCCGTCAGTGACAAAACACAGGCCTCCAACGCTTATCTCTGCAATAAGCGGCGTGGCCCGGTAAGTATGCATTTAAAACAGTTTCCGTGTTGTGTAAGCAAGCAATTAGGATAGATTCATGACCAACATGTGAGGTAATAAAACCGTTTTATTTCTTAGACAGGCCACAACGACACAGAACAAAAACTATATTTTGTCGAATTAAACAAAAATGTGAAATTGCAACTGCAGAAGCCTCACTACTAAAAATAGGCATTATTGGCCTAAAGACCTTCACCCACTTAAAGTGCTTGAAAATTATACACAAATTAAGTAAATAAAAAGAGAGCTTTAAAACAAATATTTCAACATCTTTCTCCTTACATTTCTGTAACTCCTCCTCTTCCGGTAAACCTTTTTGGATGTTTGAAATGAGACATATTTGTACTTTAAGAAGCATTGCGTATGATTGAAGCGTCTTAACTTTAAAAGCAGTAATCTCCATTTCAGTCCTTTTTAAAAACTACAACTCACTGTTTTCTCAAATTTGGCAAATCTGTTGCTTTGGCAGTGAAGAAAAAGCGTGAAAAAAGAATGGATCAGTCCATTAATCTCCTAGTTCCCTTTGTGCCCCATCACGTCCACTAAATCCTGCAAATGAAAAGAAAAAGAAAAATGTTTTAATTTCATATTTAAATGATAAAGTTATGTTAAAGTGCAGTGTGTGCCAATGATCTAATCCTACCTGTTGAGAATCAATTTTAGATTTTTCCACGGCTGTTATTTGGCACACTGCCCTCGTCTTTGCTCTCAAACAGGCTCCTCTTACTGATGATGTCCACATGTCTCAAGTCCTAAAAATAGAAAAAAGAAGGATTTTCAGACTTGTTTGCACATCTCACTCTTTCTCTTCACTCTTTTGATCCAGTACGTTGATCCAGTTAAACTGAACTAAACTCTATTCACCACAAGTCAAAAACTCCACACAGGTCTATAGAAGAACACAGCAAAAAGATAACAGATGTTTGCAACAAATTTAATCATTTGTTTTTTAAACATAACGAATATAATCTGAATTGGTTTGGTCAGAGTTTCTTAATTCCAGGTAAGCAGGAAGAAAGAAAGAATAAATCCTGCTCCGAGAGCTTTTGGAGTAGTACTGCCCTCTAACTGCCAGATGCTGCACCTCCTAACACATGTCGCAATGCAAAAAGCCTCACAGTGGGATTGTGTGTGGACCCCGTTTCGTTGGTCTTGTTGAGCCAGCGGTTGATCCGGTCAGACATTCCTGATCTGAAGCTCCTAAATTCCTGTGAATTTCCAGCAGAGACACGAAATGATTACAACGCGCCCGTGCTAATAAAATCAACGCCCCATGCAGGACGCCCCATGCCGGACGCCCCATGCAGATCCCAGCAGGGTCTAGTGTACCTGTCTGGAAACTCCCGGGCTGGTGGGGCTCGCTGCCTGCTGCTCCTTCTCAAAGAGGCCTCTCTTCCTGGACACCTCGTCCAGCAGGAACAGGGTCCTCTGGGTCACGTCCGGAGACCGCGTTATATCTGACTTCTGAGCGAGGAGTCGGGGGGGGGGGGGAAACATCAGCGTTGGCACACAGTAAGGAAAGGATTGTTTCTCTAGATGAGTGAAGAGAGTCTGACCTGTGCAGCCTGAGCCAGTCGCTCCATCTTCTCCTTGATGGATCTGGATGAGATCCTCTGCTTGGAGCTGTTCAAAAACGAATGGACATTTAAAACATTTGCCCGGTTTGAGCCGTTTACACTTTAACTAGAATAATGACGATTCAAACTTTAGGAAGGTACAAACAAATTATTTGTCTGAAAACTCACTTTCTCTGGAAAGACGAGGATTTGTCTTCATCTTCATTTTGGTCCTGAATTATTAACATTACGTTAAATGTAAATCATCTATACTTTGGCACAAATATACATTTTAGTTTCAATGATATCTTTCTGTCTAAGATGCAGAGGTAAATCTCACAACGATGTTAGAACCCATGAAGCCAAGAATCTTACTGTGTTGGATTCAGACATCTTGTAGGCCGTCCTCACGCTCGCACTACGACGGGATAAAACCGTCATCAGTCAAACCCAGTTGGAAGGAAGTAAAGAGCCTCAAAAAATAGAGACAACAATGTTTCCTTACCTCCTCTGCAGCGGCGCACTCTCCTCTTCTTTCTTCCTCATCATCTGTGTCACACCGGGCATATGTGAACGTTAACAGACAGTCGTCCAAACATCAGCTGCCGATTACAACACAGTCGTCCTGCCTCTTGCAATGAGTGTACAAAGCAACTAGTCAGCGCTTAGAGCCGGTAAATATTGCTTCGGGTATTAGCATAAGCACAAGCAAATGAACCTGTACTGATAGTCTAACAGCTGATGCGAGATTAAATGGCGTTTTAACAGTCAAATAGGCGAAAGTTAATGTTGGCGTTTAGAATTCAGAATGTGTGTGTGTGTGTGTGTGTGTGTGTGTGTGTGTTGGATGTGTTTACCCTGAAGGATATAGTCCTGGAGCTCTGTCTGACCAACGCAGGTTTGGCCGTCTGTTCGAAGCTGCCGTCGGAGGAAGAGCCATTCATCCTGGTCTGAGTGAAAGTAGAATATGATTTACTGCTACGTAGACATAATGATTCATCTTCAGATGAGGATGAGCTCCAGTGAGCAGCTCCCTTATCGGTCAAAACTGTTTGTACTTTGATGCAAGTTGGTAAAACTCTTGAGGTATTTTTTTTTTACACTCACGTTTACTCTTTTAACACCAGAGGGAGCTGCTGCTTTTATTTGCAGCAAAACTCCACGAGGGCGAGCAAAGCACAGATACTCATGTTGTAAAAAAGGATCCAGTGCTGCAATACCTCCCCCATGTGTCCGCTGTGATCGGGGCTCTGCGGCCTGCCGGGAGAGGGCGTCTGGCAAGGCGACGGCCTGTGTTCTCGCGGGGCCGTGGGAGAGCGAGGGCTCATGGGACTCGTGCACCCGCTGGCCGAGGGGCTTTTGTCGAATGAGATGGAGACCGAGCTGCAACGTCACAAAAAAAACATGATCAAGGTCACCGTGGAGCTGCGTCGACCTTTTCACCAGTGACCTTTTTGAAATGTTGTTTTCTGCAGGATGTGTGTACTCGTTGTGGTCATAATACCCCAAAAAACCCAAACAATGATGCCATGTTGTCTGTATACAAACAGAAAAGTATATCTGAGGCGTTAATGTTGAGCAATAATGCGTCAATATCTAGTATTCCATCCAACTGTCTTGATTAGACATAAACAGGCATAAACGTGTGCATGTATACACACACCCACACACACATGTATCTACTTTTGGTTACTCTTTCGCTCTTTTACAACACTTATTTATGATCGCCGTCGCGAATCAATAACCTTCGTCTTATCTTAAAGAAATGTTTGCTCTGGATTTGAGTCGATGACTCTCGAACCTAAAGGAAGAATAGACAGAGAATTTGCGCTCGTTAACCTGACAAACTTGCGAGCCGGGTTGGAGGGCGGCTTGGGATCCGGGTGTTTGCTCGTCGACTCTCCGTTTTCGGGCTAACGAAAAGAAAAAAAAAAGAGAAGAAACAGAAGAGATGATCAACGTGAGCTCACAGCATAAAGATCTGAGACACGCCTCGCATTTCACAACGCGGTTATGGCCTAATTTGGAGATGCATGGAATAGGAGCCGCCTGCAAGTGTAATAAAAGATAAAGCTCATATCATGACCTTAAGCACGCCTTATCAAAGTTTTATACACGATTTGCATGGTCATTTGAATCACGGGAAGAGTGCAAGTCCAGTCCAGTGACAAGACAAGTATTCACTATTTACCTTTTTATTTTCTGATGCCTTTTATGCTAAAAGAAAGTAAACCAAAGTTGTTGATAATTAGCAAATAGCGAATGTGTGAGCATCTCACACTGCGGCTGTCTGGCTTTGTTGGTAATGCACGCCGAGTCTTTCCATCTTAACAGGACATTGGTTTGCTTTAAGCGAAAAGAAAGTGGTTGTTCTTCTTGAATCTAGAAAATGATTAACACGTCTCTCTCCGTGTGGGGTAACAGTGAACTGTGATCACCACACTGCAGGGCGGCACTATTAGTACCACTGTGCTGTAACTCTGAGAAGCATTAGTGGTTTCTCAGTGAAGGAAGTGTTTATAGTGATGAGAATTTGTGTCGGTCGCTTAAACTTTGCTCAGACATTCATTAAAGAATCCCAATATTGATGTTGATTCTGATTCCGGGCCAAGTGAAATAAAGCCCAACGCTTACGGAACAGCTGGCGTAGCTTTAGAACCGCTGAGGTTGTAATATATTAACCACGATGGAACAAATACATTTCTTTCATTCTGCTGAAAGGCAACAACAAGTCTCGGATCTTACTTGTTTGTTTGTGGTGTGCGTGCTGGTTTTGCTGCCGCTGCTGTTGGAGCGGGTGTAGGAGGATGTGTTTTGGGGGGCGGGTGGTCTGGGTGGGGCTTTCACAGAGGGCAACACACTGGCCTGATGTTCCTCCAAGTCCCCCAGCAGCTCCACCCTGCCTCCTCCTGTGCAGGCCTCCCCTTCTTCCTTCTGCTGCCTCAGCGTCTCCACGTGCCTCATCCTCCGCCTCTCATCTCGGACACGCAGCATCTCCACAAAGTCCAGCTGGATCTGATCCATACTGGACAAATAGTAGATGCAGACATGTAAATGGTCGATATATATATATATATATATATATATATATATATAATATAAGATGGATGGTCTCTAATAATGGAAAGGAGTGTGTGTGCGATCAGGTTTCTCTAATGAAAGCCGCCGCAGGGTCTCTTTACTTTGAAGACTGCTTCTGGTGGTGTTTTGATTGCTTTTCATACTTCCCACACCGGGTATCAGGATTCATATGAATGAAAAGTATAATGATGACACACTCCCATGGGGCAGAAGTGTAAGAATCTGCCCCTGCCTCTGAAATCCATCTGCATGACATCAAAGTGGATGAATGCATCGGACTCTATGGTCCTCCCCAACGGGCGAGATGGATTAAACAGAAAGAGAGAAGAAGACCGAGAGTAGCGATGTGCAAACAGGAGGAGCGACACAAAACACTGAAACGAGCAGAGTCGTGTTCAGATATCTATAAGTTCAAAGTTCAAATGTATGTATGAAGTTCTTTAGTAGTAACCTGCTGAGGCCCTGGGACGTCTCACTCGTGGAGTCCGTCCCGAAGGCGCTGTCCCTGGGAGACACGTCTCCGGTTGTCGGGCTGAAGTCGCCGTCGCCGTCGCAGCTCGTACTCTTCACCTTCCTCCTCCTCTCTCTCTCCACCTCCTCCTCATCCTCCACCGTCCACTGGCGAGCGAGGCTGAGGACCAACGCGTCGCAACGTGGGAAAAGTGATACAAACATACACACAAAAAAGAAGAAACTCTACATTGAAGTTATCACGGAATCTACAGACATTAATCAAATTGCGTTGGAAGAGAGATGGCAGAAATTGTAACGGTTGCACAGAACCTGCTTTACTGGTCCGTCAACTGGTTATCGGTAGAGTAACAGTTGGTTGCTTGTCCAAACAACATCAATTAAACCAAACACTATTGTCTATTATTATTATTATGCAGGGATGTGTCCTTTATTAGTGGAGAGGTGCTGCCGGTGGCAGTCGACCTGATGTTCCAGCTTAAAGACAACTTCAATCCAAGGCTAAGACCAGTTATCTCTAGACTTTAGCTGGAAAGCTGTGACTTTATACCAGCAGCAACAGAAGTACCTGTATGATTAATCACCCCAGACGTCTCCTTATGCTACTGTGGACTTAACAACGCTGCTGACTACAGATACCATAATGTCCATTGACAAATCGATATTAAAAACTCACTTTGGTTCACTCTTGCAGTCAAGGAGAACCAATTCATGCTAGTTCTGTGAATGAAGTCAAACTCTTTAACATCTACTGTCTAAAAGCAGCAGCAGTTGCTCTGAAACACACACTTTTAATTCATTTGCCTTTTTTAAAACGCCAGATGTGACACCTACCTGGACAGAGCCGACCAGTTCTTCCGACTGATGGACATTGTTGCACCAAAAAATATATAGTTCCCAGGAGCCCTTTGCTCTCAGACAGAAAACCGTCTACTCGCTTTTGTGGCAGTCAAATTATAGTCAGTGCGGCACAAAGCAGTCCACCTTTACCCTGATGCAGCTCACCGAGGTGTCACGTGACCAGAGAGAGAGAGAGAGAGAGAGAGAGAGAGAGAGAGAGAGAGAGAGAGAGAGAGAGAGAGAGAGAGAGAGAGAGAGAGAGAGAGAGAGAGAGAGAGAGAGAGAGAGAGAGAGAGAGAGAGAGAGAGAGTGTTGTAAAATAGGAATATGGGAAGTGATCTGTTCAGCGGCTCAGCAAGTTTGATTGTTCAAAGCAGAAAAGGGTTGTGTATCACTCTTTGTATGTCATTTTTGGAAAAGGTTGCAAATCAATTAAGCACAAAATTTCAAACCCCTAATATATATATATATATATATATATTAAATACAAATAAAGACACCATATTCTCCTCCTGGCTAGTAATTTGTAATTGATCTGGATGGAAGGTCACTCTGTAGCTGTGTTGCTTTGGGCAGTGCGTCTTTACAGTGTGATTCAGAATGTTTGCAGTGCTCTGAGAGGCCGCGCCCGTCCTTTCCTCGGACTCTGACCCGGGCTCAGCCAGACGCGCACACACACCTTCACCTCACCTGGTTTTACTACCAAACCCGTACCCGTTCCTCTCGGCCTGTGCAGAGTGCAGAACGAGAGGCCAGTCAGGCCACAATAAACAGGATGAGCTGCGGTCACAAGGTCGGCTGTAGCTCATTGATGCACATGCAGCTCATGTTTTTTTGTGTGAATGGGCGGAAGCATTTGGAGCTTAAGGCTTGTCACGTCCCTCCCCGGCCAAAGAAGCAAACCAGGGATTAGACGCACAAAGACTGTGTTTTGTGTGTCTTGAGTTTGGTGTTGCTGCACTGAACTTTTTTGTTTTTTAGTGACTCTGACTGCTGCAGGTGCATTCCGCGGGATTAAGTCAATAATGAGCAAAGCGCCATTACGGAAGAACTTGTCAGAGTCGGCTTCGTGAACATGCAAAATAGATGGCAGCCAGAATGCAGGTAAATGCATCAGCACAAATGTCCTCTCTAGCAGAAGCGCCTCTTTGTACATGTAGCATATCTTGAAGTCATGAGTTCCTATTTGTCGTTGTGCTTCTAATTTAAAATGCCACTTGCTCATTGGGCTTCGTGTCACGATGGTGAAACTCTACTGATGACGTCGAGCACATTTAATCGTCACTTTGTTCACCATAGTAGTTTTGCATGTTATATGTGGATATATTCAAATGAACTGATTGATCTGAGGCTCATGAGGACGGCATATTTTTTGCCATATATGTATGATGGTGTCTCTAAGTTTGCACCACTTACGAGGGAAAAGCGCTGACGAGAAACATTGATTACCATCGTTCTCATTTTTGGATTTATTTAAAGAACACAATTCTTCATTTCACACACATTCATATAGAGAAAAGCAACAAAGTAATAAAGAATAATACATTTGGTTTGTTTAATTGTTGTTGTTCGGCTGATGAACTGCACACCTTTTTGTTACAGTTCACAAAACCTTGTGAGTTTATAACCCATCAAGATTGGCTGGGATTTATTCATATTCATATTATTATTTAATATAATATCCTTTTGCCAGTCACAACACTGTCTACAATTTCCTTCTGACAATACAAGCTGCCTTTGTTTTATAACATTGCCGTACAGAAATAAGCCTAAATCCCACTTATGAGAATGATACAAATACTAGAAAATGCCACACAGAAAAACTCATATCAACTGCAAACAGACCACTTCCTGGGGAAAGTGGAGAAGACCACCAGGGAGCGTGAGGACGCGGCCCGAGCATAAAACAAGAATGACGATATTAAACCCGAAACGGTAAAAGCCGCAGAAGCCGCAGGACACGTGACGCCGCTCACACGCCGCCGGCCCGCCGCCTCCTGGGCTCTCACTGGGTGGGACCCTTGGCAGCGTCGAACATCTTCTTCCTTCCCTCCATCCCTGACATGGCCTCCACATTCTTCCTCCAGTCGCTGTCTTCGACCGGCCGCTTCTGCGGACGCACACAGTGGAGGACGAGATGGTGTGAAAGCCTTGCTTTTTGTTTTTAAAGTGACTAGAGGTCATTTGTTGTGTCTCAGCCTCTGAGGCCCGCGGTTGTTAACTGGGAATCCCCCGTGATAGCGCTTTGTGGGCGTGCCAGTAGAACTGGTTTACAGTAATACACTTTGAGACACACACATATGCATTCAGGCACACACACACACACACACACACACACACACACACACACACACACACACACACACACACACACACCATGGAGCAGATCCGCTCACAAAAGCTAGTCCTCTCCGTACAATGGGCTCATTGTCTTGCCGCACTTCCTCTCTCTCTCACACACACACACACACGCTCGCAGGTCGCACCCTGCACCGGCCTACCGCTCGGAATCTCAAACAAAACACACACACACACACACACACACACACACTTTTCAGGTGTTTCATGGCACTCAAAGTGCTGACGCCATGTGTGTATCTGAAGGGTCACGGTGGCTGCATTGCTCTCTTGCCCCGAGGGACACATCTCGCTTGCGCTTTTATGCTTTCGTCGTGAACGAGCACGCCTGACTGTATCTGGCCTGTTATTTCCCTCTGCACACACACCTTCTCAGTGTCCTCTTTCTTGACAGACTTGAGGTTGGCCCTGAGGTCCATTGAGACTTTGTGCTTGGAGCCCAGCAGCGAGCGGAGGATGGCGTCGGCAGACACGCGGACGCGACGGAGACTGGGTCTCTTGAATTTCCCCCTTAGGTCCAACACTTTAATGTTCAGGTCTTTAATCTGGACAAAAGGGGGGGGGTGGTTGTGAGACTGCATCTGGTCATCTGATATTTACATTTCCCACAAGGAAATGGCTCGAGGAAGTGTATACCTCACGTGTGTTGAGCATGACTTTAGCTTCAATGTCGTAGCGCTCCTCGTCTACCACGTCGATCTTAGAGTGGAGCTCTCTGCAGAGGTCCTTCATGGAGACAGAAAACACAAAAGTAAAAAAATGTTCATCATTTTGGAAGCATTCCCAAAAGTGTGCATCTGGAAAACTTTCATATGCAGAGCATCACCCTTATAAATCCTTATATATAAAGGAGCTGCAGCAGAAAAAGAAAAAAAAAGCAGAGTATTGCTTTTGAGAATTTGAGAACAAGTTACCTGTAGCTGTGCAAGGCTCAGGCTGCTGATGTTTAGTGCAGGAGCTCTCTCTGACAGGTAGTTGTGTTTCTCCTCCTCTTTAACCACAACCTCCTGCTCCAATTCTTCCTTGGCTTTCGCTACCATCAGACTCTACACAAATATGAATCGCCACACAATGCAACGTAACACTTGAGCTTAACCAAAAAGCAATATAAAAGCCATATCAGATCATTACGGTTCTCTTGGTTATGGTGCATATATATATATATTTTTTTTTTTCTCCAGAAGATAAGCACTGCTGCCCCTCTGTGGTCAAACACATGTACTACATTTTTAGTTTGGTCCACGATTCTTTTACCTTCAACATCAGCTTCCTTGAAGCTGAGATCTTTGGCTTCCTCTGGATGGAGAACATAATTCATGACAGCGCATTTAAAACATACACATTGAATTTTATATTTAGAAATACTATAGTAAGTTATAAAAATGACCTTACCTCTGGCCTATAAAACAGAAAGAGAAAATATTTAATGGAAAGGAAACACCGAAAGGATTCCGAAGCAATTTTCAAGTGTTTTTGTTTGTCAGTGAGTAAATTATCCAAAATAAGACCACAAAGCCTGATCACTCACATGTGCTCGGGCATCCTGCTGATGAGATCTCACTGGAGGAGAGACGGAAGAGGTTAGAAACACACACACACACACATAGTACAGTTGTCCTTGTTTGTTTAAGCTGCCTCTGCAGGGGAAGATCATCTATCCACTCTTCTCCGTGAGCACGCTCTCCTTCTGTGTTTCAATGATTGTAAGTTGTCAGCAGGCCAATCAGGTCCCTGAACACTAATTCCTGCATGTTGTAGAACAAATAGTCGTTTTTGGATCGCTCGTGAGAGCAAAAGATCCTATAAGCAATACGATTTAGAGAGGAGCGAGGGAAGGGGTGTGGGGATTAAATTAACATATAAACAATTCAAGCAGTTAAAGTAACACAATTTAAACGGTTGAAATATTAAACAAAAAGGATGAGTAAATGATTGAAATTGTGAGGTCAAATGAACGGTTCAAATTAAAGGTGGCGGTTCATGTGACCCTACAGGGAACCACTGTAAGGAAACCTTCAGTCTAGTAGTAAGGTTATGCTGCTGCTGATGCTTGATCCTCCCCCAGTGCAATTAAGGAGAAAAGCATTTTCTCTGTGTACATCAGAAACACAAACATGAATCAAGAATGTCCCGGTTTTTCATATTTATTCTCAGACTTCACTGGAGAAACTCTTGTTTACCTAATGAAAAACACCATAAAAGACGTTACAACAAGGCATGCGGTGAGACTGCCTTTTAGGTGGTCTTGTCGGCTCATAGTGTTGTATTTTTTAAAGGATCCAACCCCTCCTCTCCAGACCCTCGTGGCCTTCTGGCCTTCGTCAAATCGACAATAGACAGCACTCAACCCATCTCTGCCTCCACCTCCTCTCCCCCTTTATCCTTTAATGTCCCTCTTTTTATTTTTCTTGTTGATACCAGTTAAGAATGACGCGGCTAAGACCTCGCAGCCCGATGGGGTTTCAAGCAGCTCCAACGGATTAGGAAAATTCCAGACTGATAGCCATCCCTCAATCCATCCCTCCCATCTCTCATTCCCATCTTTTTCTTTGGGATTATCTGGGGAAGAGGAATTTAGAGTGGCCTGTCTCCCCAAATAGACCAGGGGGACATCTGATAGACAGCTGTGGAGGTTGATTGTGCGCTAGGGTTCCCGGCCTGGATCAGGGGTTTACCAGCAGGAACTCATATGGATGCTTATGATGCCCAATGGGCCTCTGTGGTGCCGCCAATTTGGCACTGAAAAAAAACAGCCCACGGTGCTTTGGAAAGTTCACGTCAGTCTCGGATTTGAACAGAAATGCTGTGGTAAACCAAGCAGCTTGTATTATTCAAGACGATCAAATCCTGTTCTGGCGGATGCAGTAAGGGGTCGTGTACGGCCACAGCCCCGAGAATGAACGCGACCCCTGCTATTGTCAAATCAACAGTCAACAGTCAGTCTACTTGTATCCATGTTTACTGCATCGGCATCAAATAAACTGCAGTGATTCTCCTTTTAAAATAATTCTTGAACTTGGAAAAATACCACAAGTTTGCAGCAGCTAAAAGATTTAACAAGACACATTTATAGATTCAAATCCATCTGGTCTGTCATACACGCATATGGGAAGAAAATGACACTGAACTGGAACCACTCTACAGACCACAAAGGCACCCTACCTGTGTCAGAAGCAGGAGAGAGAAAGATGTGACAACAGCAGAGGCAGATCAGAGATGAGGCCAACGAACTGATGCCCCTCTATTTAACTGCAGCCCCTTCCCCACCCTATTGTTGCGCTGGCTCCTTCTCTTTTGTTAGTGGAGGCTATAATTAGTCATCCCCATCTCTCTTACTGACTAATCCCACCCTGCCCATCTGTCTCTCGCAGAGCCATCATAAGGGGCCAGCAGTTGGAGCCTAGAGATTTGACCTTTACGCGATGCTGGATGATGAAGGAAACTATAGGCGGGAGATGTCCTGTTTATTCTGGTCAAAGATTGCCTGTAAAAGACACTTTTAAGTAAATCAGTAAGAGGTACTTGAAGAGAGGGACAGGAACAGCCGTTCCATGCAATGAGGAGTCGTCTGTGTTGTTATTCAGTAATCCAGCCACACTATGTTATATGGTACACAAATGTCCCCCTTTAGATTAATTGTGAGGTCAGTGGTGATCCCATGAGTGTCTGGTGCAGGGCAGATCAAAATTCCAAAAATTGCTTGCACAAAGGCCTCTGGGATTGTCATGGCCTAACAAGCCTTCCAATTGACAGATACTTTGATACGTCTCGGCATCGTCTGTAACTCAAAGGAAAGCAAAAGTGAAGCCCCACCGGCGAAACACACAATTGACACCTGCTAATAATTCCAAATTGTTTGTCAGTTTCTCTTATTCCGGCTATCATGTCTTCTGATGGTATAACAGCTGTGTTGTCGTAAGTAAATGCTTTTGCACATTCGAACATATGAGCATATTATGGCTGATAACATCTTAACATCCACCAATGAACAGTGCTGGAATTGGAATGCTGTCGCAAAAAGCAGGCGAAGGCGGAGGAAGGAATAGAAAGCAAAAGTTTTATGCGCTCACACACAAAACTAAATAGGAAACACACAGTCAAATCTATGTTACACATAAATAACCAAACAACAGTGAACCGAGAACCTCTCTTCACTTAACGGGGGCGAGGCGGCCCTCTAGTGGTTCACCACCCACACAGCAGACTGACGCTCCATTTCCAGAGGCCGGAGACTAACACACGTAAAACATTTCTGCAGCGCATTCACAGTCTGTATCAAAGAAGTGGGCACACACAGGCATTTACTTTTTATACTTCACCTACAAGCACTGACACTAATCCCATGTGGGCATAATATCTGTCCTGTTTTGACAGGACAGATATTATGCAGATCAGCTCCTGTCCCGTGTTGGTTTATGAAGTGCTGCAGGTCACTGTTTATATGTGTTTATCTGCTGAGAAAACCCGGTTATGATGTTTGGATAGGGCATTCCTCAGAGTAGTGTGAACATACACGCCGGCAAGGACCGGAGCTTATACTCCACCCATCGCACCATGGACACGTTTTGGCAGGAGATCCCACATACGAGTGGTGCACATCATCTGAAAGCTGGAAACCTGCAGATTCATTTCAGTTTTTCTAGTTGAAAATACCCAATAAAAATTGTGTTTGGCTAAGTTAACACTCAAATGGTGAAAGCGTGAAACTATTATACAACATTATGAGTGTCTCAAACACTGCCTTTGACTTCTCCACAGATCTCTGGTGGAAATGCCTTTCGCATGGATATATAACTTCAAAGTACCTCTCGAACATGTAACCAAGTAGTTGTTAGACCGACGCTGGGTGTAAACGCTCCTTGTGGGGCTCCCGGTCCCTCGCTGACTCATGTGGTGTAGCTTGGCTTTGGGGTTTTCCACATTAACTTGGAGCCGTGGCTACACAATAAACCCTTTATTCTTGACCTGTAGAGTTCACACACACACACACACACACACACACACACACACACACACACACACACACACACACACACACACACACACACACTGCTATGTTCTTGATACACTCTCACACGCACAACATGGTTGAATGAACAATATATATATAGGCCCCAGCAAACGGCGGTCAGCTGATGCTGCCTACGCCTGGAAGGCTTCTGTAAGTGACTCTGCGTGTGTGTGTGTGTGTGTGTGTGTGTGTGTGTGTGTGTGTGTTAGCGGGCCTCAGGCCTCACTGTGCCTCTCATTAGTCCTCCACTTGGCTCAGAACAAAAAGGTGTCCTGACTTCAGTACACACGCAAGAGCCGGAGTGTGTGCCACAGTGTGTGTGCGTGTGTGTGTGTGTGTGTGTGTCTGCGGATATGTGTATATTTTCCAGAGGCTATAACAACAAGGTTACACCACAACTAGAAACAGATGAGCTCGGCAATTAATGGGTGGAGCCTAAAATAAATTGCAGCTGACTAAGAGAGCGTACACGTCCCAGACAACTGAAGCATTGCTTTAAAATAGAAACATTTAAGGATTACAGACCAAAAAAAAGCATTTAATCGTTTAAAGAGTGTAATACTGTACATGTTTTCAGCAAACGTATAGAATTAAAATGTGCATTGAATATAAGTGAAATAATACTTCTTCATGTTGAACTTTAGCAAAAGCATGCAGATGTGTCCAGTCTTTCACTATTTTTTTTTTGTTTTTTTTGAAAGCCAGTCAAACTGACTGAATATAAAGTGACTCCTATTTCAGCACGTTATAAAACGTTGAAGATCAATGAAAGATATGTTTCAAGCCTCAAGGCACAAGGGTAAAACAACGTCCCAGCTCCATTGTCTCTGTCAAAACAACGCCTTCTTTTTTTTCCCCCATTACAAAGGAGCTCTCCACCATGACCACAGAGAAATGCATATATCCATGCTGCGTATGCAGCACGTCAGATGCAGAAAGGCTTCGTAAGACAGCGTGAGTAGGCTCATGGAGGAAGATTAGACGAGTGTCCGGGTTCCTTTTTCGCGGCCCCTTCAGTCCGTTCTGTAAATCCCATCAGGCCGCGCGCGACAGAATCGAGCCGATGGGTCCGGTGTTCTCCAGCTCCCCCCCCCCCCCCTTTCTGATTGATTGGTTCACCTCCCCAAAAGTAGAAAACCTAGAGAGAAAAAAGAAAGAGCAGACTTGTAATATTCAATCCTTTCTTCGGCCACTGGACAGCGGGGCGGCTGACAGTGATCTACAGAGGGCATTTGTAGGGAGTTGTCACACTGTTACCACAGCTACTGAGTTAATTTGGGCACTTGACTACTGCTGCTCTCTTAAGGAAGCCTCGCTGTGAATTCCTGGACTATGAGCTCATAGTTCAGACTCCACATTTGACATGTCGGTGACCAGTTTCAGTCAATAACGCGTGTTGTTTTGTCATGTGATGCCACCACTGATTGTGGTCTAAATGTGGAAAGGCTGAAAAAGTAAACGGGGGTGGCTATCTCCAATTGTCAATATGGCGGCTAGAGAGAAAAAGCAGTGTGTGTGTGTGTGTGTGTGTGTGTGTGTGTTTTAAAAATACTAGGAAGGGAGAGGCAGGCAGATGTTATTTTGGAGGCTTACATTGCGTCTTAATTATGTCCCCAAGCGAGATGGTGTTTGTGTCCTAAGACCGCTGAGGTGCATTTAAGGTCGACGACCATCGTGATGAAAGCTGACACGACTTCCACACCAAAGCCGACATTGATCTACACACAAACACCGGAACTGCTTGTAGATCAACTTTAGTTCTAATTTCCCAAGAGCCTCTATGTTTTCATTCCATGCAATCACTGCACCCTGTATCCACTTTGACCACAGGAGTGGAATTACTGTCTGAACTCATTGCAGACTATAAGAACCTAAGCGTTTTTTTAATTTATAAAAAGGTATACATTCAACCCGGATGTTTCTGAGTGATGCTCAATGACACAAAGCTGCTCCTGTGAACCTGATATATGAGGGTCTGTGGTGCCACGCTGCCCACCCACTCAAAATACATTTGTGAATCGAAGTGTTTATGACAGCCCTTTTTCAATTCACCTCCATCCAGCAGCAGCAGCAGCTCAGAGCTCCTCATCCTCTCCTGTGCTGCCCAGGTGTGCGCCGGACAGGCGCCTGTTCCGTCCCGTCTGCACGGCCTGCAGGTTCTTATAGCGCACCAGCGCCAAGGCGATCTCCGCGTTCCACGCCGTGCCCTCCTGCGGACACCGAAAGTCGATCTCCTTCCCCGTAGCCATGACCACGGTGAAATACACCAGCCCCCGCTTGTACTCCACGCAATCCACAGTGGCCATGCGCTCGAAGCGGAGCTCCTTGGCTTTGGAGCTCCAAGCAAAGGTCGGAGCAGCAGCATCACCGCCGCCTTTGCAGTCGCGCAGGCGGAGACCGTCCTCGGTGAGCGCGCAGCGCTTCTTCTTCCACAGCTGGAGGAGCCCGCTGCTGCGCTTCTCCAGCTGCCCGTCGCGCATCACTTTGGCCGGGAAGGACATGGCGACACTGAGCCCAAGGTCCTCAGACAGAGCCGCGGGATGTCGGCGGTGATGCCGCGATGTGATGCATTAAGCAGACGCGACTCGTGAGTTACCGTGCGGGACGACGCGCCGGCTGCGTCATAAATAACGACAGCCGAGACAACGCGTCTCATTTATTCCGTCCTAAAGAGGTTTGGTAGGCTGGTCCGCCTGGATGTGTTAGGACATGCCCGGCTCCTCTTGAGGACCTTCCACGCCTCCTCCTGGTGAGGGAAGGAGAAGATCCGGGTTGTTCGGTGTGCATGCGCGTGTGCGCGCGTTCCTTTGTCTGTGAGCGCATGGAGACTGTGTGTTATTTCATTTAAATACACTACTGAGTTTTACCACGTATTACCACTATCACGTTGTAGATTATATGTACAGTAAAAAAAGAGTTTCAAGTCAAATTAAAAACCTTTATTTAAGTCTCACTTTAGCTGCATGTCGTGTTTTTGTGAGCTGGAATGCGAGTGGGTGGAAGGGAGTAAGTCAGATGTTGCAATATGTGAGCGTGAGAAAGAAAAAATGTAAGAAATAAATGTCTTTACTCAAGAGGAGATGACTAATTAGTCTATTAATCGTTTTTTATAAACTATTTCCAGTTCATCAGGTTCGGCTTGAGCAATCGTAGTTCTGATAAATTATTTTAGATTTGTGTTTTACTGGCTATTGACTTCACCTCCTGAAATGGCAAGGAATGTTTGAAACCAATGACAACCAACTGAACGGTTGAGTAAATTAGGTGGGGGAACTGGTTAACTCACTTCAAAGCCTGCTGATTCTTCTGAAGTGTCTCTGATCTCAATGGAGGTAAATCTTTATTATGGCACCTGAAAAAGTCCCTGATGGCTGCATCGCTGTGATGTGACAGATGAGCCTTCATGGGGAGAGTGAAGCTGTAGTTCCCCAACACCGTGATGTGTCAGTGCAGCGTTATGCAAAGAATGGATTCAATGAGCGTGTGACCTTACCTGTACACACACCTGCCCTCATATGTTCCCAAACAGACACACACACACACACACACACACACACACACACACTCATCCATGTGCATTTTCTGACCCAATTGTGAAGAAACACATGCACTAAAATCAGCATTTATTATCATCATGTTTGGAAAGCAAAGTACAAAAACGCAATATTTCCTTGAATATTATTGATAAACTCGCAACTCATTTTTAAAGAAGGAAAAACCGAAAAACCGAAAAGGTGCAAATCCTCAATGCAACATTAAACAGACGTTTAATATTAAGTTTGGTTTATGTATCATGATATTCTGTAAGTAATTGTCTTTGTCCTACATCAGTCAAAGATGGCGTTACATTTCTCGCTGTTGAATCATAAAATGCAGCTCTTTATCAATCGCGTCCGTGGATTCTTCTCGCATACCCACATGACATGCTGTGTATATGAAACCTTTCGGTGGAGGACGACTTGCTGCAGTCTGCCCTCTGCAGTCAGAAAACAGCTGGCGCAAGCTTTCTGCAAACATGGCAAACCAAGACGTCATTGGTCTGGTGTTTACTGGGTATTCACCAGCGCCCCCGCTCCCAGTCCATACCCAAATCCCTTGGGACCAAACTGTTTGCCATAACAACCTGTTTGAAAGAGGAAAAAAAAACAAATTGAATGTAAAAAATATGCCAGAAACATTATGTCCTTCAGTTTACAGCAAGTTGTTTTTGTGGAACAATGTAGACTTGAGGTTGAGCAGTATTTGTGTATTACCAGGCCCTCTACTGCATTGTTGTTTATTCAACCGCCATTATAACAGCAGTTTAATTTCTTGAATTTAAGCCATTGATGCTTTGTTTATTGACATTTGTTTATTGCACACAATCATTCCCACCTACTTCGAAATGTGACATCTTTAATAGTCACACATATCGTGCGGTTGTGTTGTGTAGTGTATCACATACAACACAACAATCTCAGAGTGGACTTCAACACAATGTTTGTTATTAAGTGAAGAGACCATATCAGATCTGGTTCAATGTTTTATCATGTTAGCAGAATACAGGTCAAACCTAGGCCTAATGTTTTACCTTTGCAGTAGATTTCTCCATCCTTATCCGCGAGTGTGGTTGACTCAAGGCTCTTATTACATGTGGCACACGTGAAACATCCAATCTTGTGCCATGCCTACAGAGACAAACAGTAAATAAGTAAATAGCAGATCCATTTTCAGAATAGTTGTATTTTTACAGTGAACAAGCGTTTTTTCTTACACTCCCAGCTCCAATCACTTTCTCAGCGGCGTAGACAGCCTTGCCACATCGAGGGCACTTGTCTGACCCTCCAAACTTCTGAGCCATCCTGGGTGGGTTTGGGTTGCTGCTGGTGGGACGATGGGGGGCCGGTCTGATGGAGACGGCGACACACCGTGAATGAAAAGGCCTCTTCTTACTTAGCGATCGCCAAGTGTGTTTGTGTGTTACTCACTCTTCATGTGTGATACCCAGGGACTCTCCCTTGTCCATGCTGAGTGTCCCGGCTCCCTGGCCATAACCGTAACCTTTTGGCCCGTACTTCTTGCCGTAGCACGCCTTGCAGTAGACTTCATCCATACGAACGGCGACCGTTGTGCTGTCCAAGTTCTTCCTGCACACCACTGCAAAAACAATGGCGTGCACACAAATACCCTTACGTTTAGTGCATTCATCTCCTAAAGTTTCCTTTTAAGGAACAGTTCTACTGGATAAACATATTTTCATCTGAAGTCCACCACTGGAATGTTTGGTTAGGACGTAATAACATAAATACCTCTCACAATCCCACAAACCTACATTTTTGTCAAGTTGAGTAAGAGAAACACTGTCAGTGTTTCCGTGACAGGAGGATATCTGCCATAGAAGATTAAGTGACACATCACTGCTATTATGTAGTAACATTATTCAGAATTATTCTGCCTTTTTTTTAGCCACTTTTCAGCCACTATGCATGATAGCAAAACAGCATTTTGTTTAGTAACTCATGTCTCCTATGCTTTATATATTTTTCTTTGGGAGTAGATGGTCGACAGTTCACATTAGGTTAGTATTACTTCTGACTGCAGTGACAAGAGTCAGAAGTTGGCAGTTTCCACCTTGAAGAGTTTACTCACTGCACAGGAAGCAGGACTTGTGGAAGCTCTGCCGATCACAGAGCACCTCTTCTGCAAAGTAGACTGTCTTCTGACAGCGGCCGCACTTGTTTCCTCCTCCTAAAGGCATCCTTTGGGGATTGCATGAAGCATGAACATAAACACACAGCTTTCTGATCGGACATGAAGATACAGAACCTCAACAAAGAGACGGCAGTGAGGGAATAAAATCAACATTGTCAAGTTTTCAAATCGACGTGACCAAGAACATACTAAATACTAAATTACAAATAAAAAGCCTTTAAGTTGTAAGTATCTTTAAACAACCATCAAGCAAACAAATCTACCAAAGTTTCTGTTTCCAGAAACCTTGTAAACATTCGGATTTTGGGTTCTGTAATTTTGGATTTGTAAATTCAAGGCCAGAGGCCATTTCATTCGGGCCATTCTCTGATTCTTTTGTAAAGCAACAGCAAATCAGAAGAAAAAATACCAGAATAATTATTTTTTCTCATATTTTGCTCTCTTTTGAAAACCAATGTTGTCCGTGTGGAAGTAATGTGAAATGCAACTTCCACGAGCAGCTGTAGCTGGTGGAATGTGAAGGATCTTGGCATCCTGTCTGCCAATCTTTTTCCCAGCATGAACCTCCCATTCCTGACTTGTGTATCCGCATTCACATTCCTAACCATGCAAACCCTCCCAGTTCCTTCCCCCTGCCTCCCACCATCCACTCCCTGCCTGTCTGTCTCATTCTGCATCACCTCTGCAAACCTCTATATCTGAATTATAGGTTTGTTCTATTAGGCAGGACATATTTTGAAGTAACAGTTCATCTAATTTTGGCCAGAGAAACAGAGCAAAACATGCAAGTGTATTTTCCCATCCCCCATGCACACATTTACACCAGATTACCTCACTCTCTACTACTCTATTCTAGGAAAATACAAAACCAACCCTGAAAATGAAACAGAAGTTTCTCACTGCTGAAACCACAGTGGAGAACTGGGGATGTACATTCAATATTCATGTATTAAATGTTACAGATATAGTACTTTAGTACAATGCAACAATAAATAATCACGCTAATATAAAAATAATTTATTTCTATCACATACAATTGTTTGACTGGAAACCAATTAATATATATTACTAAATTAATATTAAGCCAATAAGAAATGGTTACATACAGGTCAAATTATGGTCCCATTAGTTAATGACTCTGTTAGGATTTGCTAAATTATTTGGTATTATCTTGAATATCAATTCTGCTTGGTTATGTGTGTTTCTAATTGGGGCTCCGCAGGTCTGGACATGTGGGGACACCGACTCTTGCTGGAATGTTTAAATAAAATACAGTGAAAGAGACACACACAAGCTTACCTCGCTGTATTTGGGTTTTTCGTACGTGCGTGTTTCACAATGTGTTTTAAGTGCACGCTTTTGAGACCACTTTGCACACTATGATGTCTGCCCCCGACTTACACAGAAAAGCACTGTGACAGTTATTTTTTCCCATCATGCATCGGCACAAAAAGGAGGAAATTAGACGCAGTGAGAGGCAAGCAGGAAGCCAGCAGGCTGTAACATATTAACATTGCTCACCCGCAGGTAGTCTGTGCTGTCAGTCAGTGATGGACAGGTTGAAGGCGGACTCTGTCCCGTCGATACAAATAGATTCAGAGTTGTTGGTTTGTGTTGCAGATGCGTTCCTGTTGCTGCTGCTCGAGTCGGCAAAAGTTTGGGCGTGTTGAGCAACAGGGGAGTTTCTGACTGACTGGCTGAGCCAGAGCAGGCGAGAGAGGGTGAGAGAGAGAGGGAGGGGGAGAGAGAGAGGGGGAGGGAGAGGGAGGTGAGTTGGGAGGGAACCTGAATGAAAAGCTGTATGTAGAAGTATTTGCGCCATGGAGGTATTTCATACCTTCTTCTTTGTGCACGTCTCTGCTTGAAGGGTCGTGTTCTGGAAACATGAAAGCCGTTGGACTTTTATACAACTACATGAGTTGGAAAGTGATTCAAAAGTGTCGTGGTGTTTCCTGAAGGCAAGGCGGCTGAGGACTGTTTTTAGCCTTCTTTGTTAAGCTGTCACTCATGATTACACTGATGATTAAACTGTTCCCTCTGAATTGAAAGAAAGGCATTGCACAGTAAGTCTAAGAGACCATGCAGATAAAAAAAAGCAACCTACAACATTGTTATGGCAGAACGCTCTAACGTGTGTGTGTGATGTGTCCCTCACTTTTGTGGTAAGTATTTTATCAGAAATCAACAAATTGAGTGATGAAAGTGTATCATCAGAATTCCTCGGAACAGCCTGCAATGACGCGTTAGAACCAGTCTGCTAAATTATATTGAATGTGATTTACATAATGATGCCAACAGTCTGCGCAACAGTGTGCTCTCCCCGCATCCCTCCATTGTTAGCTGGGATCGTCATCCCCCGGGTCCCCCGGCCCCCCACCGCTCTGCAACCTTCAATAAGATGAGCGCTCCAGATACTACACTGACGGGTGGATGGATAATAGGTGTAGATCTGCCCTCTGTTGGCTTAATCCCTACTGTAAAACAACACAGTAGCAGTTCTGTGTGAGTATGAGCCCTTTACTGACACCTAGTGTTAAGTGTGAAGTGTCAGTGACCAAACTTTCACAGGGAACCAACAACTAAGCTGCGTTGACCTGTTCTGTTTTTGGGGTTTGTTCTTTCTCGGTGCTTCTTTACTCACTTCTGTGTTCCTCCTCTTGCTTCTCTCCTCATCTCATTGAAACTACATGTCTGAGGCCTCATGTTCCAGACAGTCGACATGTCAGAGTAGCCCCCCCCCCTTACACCCTCCAGATGCCCCTAGGGGTGACAGTGACACAAGTGTCCTATTGTCACAACAGCGTCTCTCGGGGGGGGGGAGGACATGCTTCGGAGGACATCAGTAGATTAGCTACGACATTAACCCCCCGCTGCATAAAACACACACACACACACACACACACACACACACACACACACACACACACACACACACACACACACACACACACGGACGCTCGCACGCTCCAACCCATAATCCTTCTGTTTTCGAGTCACTTCCCGTTTCATGAGCCACCGAGACAAAGCAACACATCATGTGAGTGTGTTTTCTCTGCTTCTGGCTGACTTTGGACTGAGTTCTCGCACGTTTGGATTCTGTCAAGGGAGGCGAAAAACCGAAGGGCGGCGTTGGCATTAATGTGAGTATTTTAGAGATGAGCACTTAAGTGATTGAGGCCTACGGCATGACGGGTGCAGTGGAGAAGAGGGGGGGGGGTGCTGTGCTCGTTGGGCAATGACTGCGAATAGGGTTTGTTCAACGCATCAGTCGATGTATTTGTTTTCCTATTGACACATTTTACTATATGTATCTCTTCATCATAGATCATGTCAAGTGTAAGCACAGCCAGCCAATGCCCTGATCAATATGTGATCAGCCAGAGAGCTCTCAGGCGTAACGAAGACGTCAAAGACCCTCGCAGAGCGAATGATCGATTGGAGACAAACAACATGTCGGAAATAAACTGCTGAATGTACGCTGTAAAATCGAGGAGAATCACAGACACATTTTTGGGGGGGGTTCTGGTCCTTTTGCGCATCACAAGTTTCATTAAATATTCAGCGCAGTCCCTTGTGTCACCGTGTCAAACTGTAAGCCAGCGCAGCGGAAATATGAGAGGGCAGAATGGATGCAGAGGGAGTGAGAGACTGAGATACTGAGGTAGACAGAAAAGGGCCTGCAGAGACAACAAGGATTGGGAAGCAAGCAATACGTCTCAGAGTAAACGGGTTATTTTCTGTTAACTCAAAACAAACACATTGTGAACACACGTGGGAAAAATGTGATCCAGGAATAGCAATTACAATTTCCATGTGATTACCATGATTGTTGCAGTCTGATAGCGTCCTGTCACCCTGGCATGACGTGTGTGTCTCAGCTTCAAAAACACTTTTCTTGTAAACCAAAATCAGATGTTTCAAGTGGACCGGCTTCATGTGATGAAGATTTACGAGGACGGATGGACGGAAGCTTAATTCAAGGTCGGGTCTGGGACGTATTTCCTATATCGTATATTTCCTTTTGTCACCTGGGAAAAGACGGCAATGGAACGTTTTGGTCACGTCTCCTCTCTCATTCTCATTCAGCCTCTCATTAGATGTGCGGGCCAATTTAGAGGAGTGACGGATGGGCTGTTCCTCCTTCGCAGTGCTCCCTCATGCAGACATGCGCACTTAGTGCAGACGCAGACGACTCGTTCGATGTTTTTACAATGCCAGATTTCTTTTACCGTCTTATTTCATCCGGCTTCCAACAACCACCAATTAGACTTAAAAGCCTGATGATTGGGTGCAGCTTTTCACATTCGTGGTTACATCTGCTTAAATACCATGTATTGTTACTCACTCTGTACAGACTCTCTCACTACTACCCCCCCCGCCACACACACACACACACACACACACACACTATCCACACTCATCCAGCTAATGGACCAGCCTGTATCTGCTTCTGCTGGGCTTATATTTCACCTCAGAGAGGGAGGGAGCGCAGCCAACAGGTCCATTACACAGAGAGCCAGCGCTCTGGATTGTGATGAGGGGAGGGGGAAGTAAAGAGAGGGGCGGGGATACGGCTGCAGGCGTACTGCGGCAGCGGCCGAGCGCCGTGACGTGATAGAGGGGTAAAATGACAGACAGAGAGACACACACACACACACACACACACACATATGCACATGCACGCATCCCAGAGGCCTTTCAGGCAAAAGTGGACGCAGGAAAAGGCGGCATACAGATTGGAGACAAAGTCACATGCTGCTTTCTATCCTGATACTCGCAAAGGGTGAGTGCAGCCTTGTTTAATATTTAGGATTTATGTTCGTCGCGTTGGTCAATACGATATATTTCTCCTTGATTGTTTTGGTAAATCTTGTATGTCTAAACGTCACTGTGAATGTATAGAAACACAATGTTTTAAAGGACGTCCATGTTCACAGTCAGCAGCGTAACAGCGAAATGCCGATGGAGTAGAAGAGAAAGGTTAAAAGAAAGAAAAGCAGAGCTTATGTGGGATGAAGAGAGGCGGGTGGGGGGGTATAGGGGGGTATTCTGTAACCAGGGGTGACGTGATGTGATCTGCCTGAGTCAGCGTTTGGGCTGCGTGCATTGCACATACTACAATGCGTGTCCGATATCTGTTGAGAGCGTTGGATATTGTGAGGAGTTTGTTGTATTGAATCAGAATGGAGGGAAACTGCGCACACATGGTGATGTTTATGCGGTTAGTAGTCTGATTAGGCTCTTCTGTTTATTTTTTGTGGGTGCTTGTGTTTGTCTCCCTATGCTTCTAAACTGAGTGCGACTGGAGTCGACGTGTGTGTGTGTGTGTGTGTGTGTGTGTGTGTGTGTGTGTGTGTGTGTGTGTGTGTGTGTGTGTGTGTTAGACTTGTAGCTATCTTGTGAAACCCCTGAACTGATGACTTCTTCACTTGGATGTACATGGCTGTGTTGAAAATCATGTCACAAATCAAGATTTACTTCAGTCAAGCGCTTATCCTCTGGGAAAGAAACACCTTGAAATCATGATGATCATATTGGGATGAACTTAAAAAAACAACATCTTCCTGGGCAGCTGACAAATTGGTCAGCTGCCTAGGTTGTGGCCTTTTTGAAGATGACAGACGATGTGTCATTGTCACAAGTCACTGTAGGCCGAGTACATTTCCTTTTGGGTTACTGACTCATGGTAACGAGTCTAAACAGTCTAAACTAAAGAAATTATGTTTTTCTACAAAAAAAACAAAAATGGAAGCACTGATCTCATCGAAGAAAGGGACTTTGAAAAGGAGTCACCTCAGTGGGGGGCCCTCTGATTGGCTAGGAAAGTAATTCCTGTTCGTCACAGCTTCCTGTTTCTGTGAATAGGGACGCATTGTGGACCAATGGGAGGGAAGTGGTGAGGATGCAACAGTGATCCAGGAAAAAAAAAAAGCCCATTGTTCCCGGGACGTTGGAGGAGTGTGACCACTTCTTCTGCTCGCTTTAGCTGCTCTGCCTGTCTGCACACTGACGGAGCCGGTACGCCGCTGAGAGGTAAGACACTGCAGAGACAGCAGATGTGGCACAAAAAGCCATTTATTAACTTGTCAAAATGTCTTTCAAAGAACTCTAACGGCACATCGGAGCATTTTTGCACCATTGTGTGTCACTAGAATATTGTGAGCTTATTAATCACGGCACATTCTTGTTGTTTTGGTTGTTGTCATTGTCGTTGTACCTTTCTATTAACACTGGGTGACACAGACAGAACCACAGGGACTGCTCATGTCCTTCAGTGCACAGACAGAGAGGCCTGTGTTACCACCTTGGTCATTGATTTTGGTGATGAGTCAGAGGGTTTTCATAACAAGGGCGCGTATGTGTGTGAGAGATAAGAGAAGCTTGTTTCTTTGATCAGAGGCACCTTAACTGGATTCAGGCTTTTCATGGGACAGAGAAGCAAGGAATGCTGTAATATGACTATGACATTCATTGACAGCTGCCACACTATCCTTCCTCTTTTTATCTGGGACATCGCTAGAGAATTAAAAGATCAATAAAGGAGAAGTCCCTTTTTCTGTTTCACACGGTGTCCAGCAGATGTCAGTGCCATCCTTGAAGAATAGTTGAGGAACATAAAAAAGCTCTGAATTCTTTCAAATCCAGTGTATTTTTGTAGTATTTCTTTCAAACAGAAATGAGTTTCAATCCACTTCCTAGTGTTTTAGAATTTATTTTATATTGTTTTATATTTGCATTGATCCTCTGTGACCCACTGCGTCAACTAACCAACAATTTAACCATTGGAAAATGCACTAAAGTAATCCAGTGATGTTACATTTATACAGGAAACAGAGAGCAAACAGTCTTCATATAACAAGCTCACGCTCTCAAACACTGATTTGAGTGTCAGGAAATTACCCTTTTACCGCATCTTTTAGTTGGCAGGAAAGTATTTACTTGTCTTTCTGTGGATATACACACAGACAAAAGCTAAGCCTCGGTATCTCCATACGTGGGCTGCAGTAGCAGTGCTGTGACCGCTGTGTATCCCCAGAGACGAGCCAATTTCCATACAGATAGGCACAGAGCCAGACCGCACCTGTGCCCATGCAGGAATTGTACCAGACAGACAGAAATTCTGATGCTTCTAGTGACTTCACCTCCCAGGAGTCACAGCAAGAGAAAACAAGAGATGAGGCAAAAGGGGAGGAAGAGGAATTTATGAAGAGAAATGAGGTGAAACCAGGATGGACGATCACATCTGTCTCTATAGACCTACTGCTGCATCGCTGCTTCTGTATGCCGCTGTGCAGGTCTTCATAAGCTTTATGAGTCAACAATGATCGAGCACCAGTCCTTCTGCAAAATACCCAAATATCCATTATCAGTGTCAGTATTTCTCACATTATAAGTAGACTCAGAGATGCTTGGTCTTCTGAGCTGTAGCTGTCAACTTCTTTCTGCTGCATTGTTTCCTGAAATGTACAACATGCATTTACTGTATGTACATCTGCTGACCAATAGCGCTGATTTGTTTACTATTGGGGAGATTAAATCATATATATATATATATATATATATATATATATATATATATATATATATGTTTAGTCCCCTATTTACTGAGCAATAAGTCAATACCGTTCATTGCACGTACAACATGGTAATTTGTTATTACACCGACTTATGTCATATTCAAAACAGAATTATCCAACTACACTTAATGATACGGATAATAAGAGCTAATCAGATGAAATGTGACAAATAAAAAGTCAGAACAAACACAAAAAATCTTTATTTGAAATATTGTCAACATGTTATAATTAGTTAGAGTAGACCAAAGACTAATCTGAGAATCTGTGAAGGGACAGTACATTCATTTATCTGTTTCTCAGTGATCCCCTCCCTCGCTGCCTTTCCTCCCACCTCACAGCCTCCCGTCCTCCCAGTAGAGCGGCACGAGGTAATTGTACGGCATCACATGAAATGTTTCACTCGACCGACGGTCATCGCGGTTTGTGTAGAGCAGAAGGGCACAAAGAATGCCAAGCTGACTTTTAGAGCCCTCGGTTATTTCCCTGAGAGCGGAGCAGAAACTCTGTATATCTGGAATGAAAGCAAATCAGGTGAGAATGATCTCAAACCTCATCTTCATATGTACGACAGCTGTAAGCTTGGTAAATGATATGTGTCTGTGGGAGTCTGTGTGAGTGTGTTTCTGAATTCATTATGTGGAATAAATCAGTTATTTGAGAACGTAACACTCTAAAAGCAGCTGGTTGATGTTGCTGTGAGCATGTGCCTCCGCGTGAAGCTGTTTTTGGAATTCCGAGCAGGCCAGATTGTGCAGGCGCTCCGTGCCTTGCTTAAAATAAGCTCAACTCGTGGTTCACCATGACTAAAAGTGCTTGATTCACATGCTCACACGCCATGGAATTCTAACCATCTCTGTATCAAGAACAAATTCTGGGTTCTTTATTGGATTGAAATTTAGATCAGATTGTAACGCAGTTAATGGATGAGCAAACATTTTGGGAGGTCTTTAGTGATGATTGTTCTACCTATTACTGCTGTGTCCAACGTCTCGGCTCATAATAGGTGTGTCTCTCTCCCTGCTCTTCTCATTTAAGGTCAGCATGAGTGGGGGAGTCAATGTGAAATCGCCCCTCCGGGCCCCTCTCTCGTCAGGAATCCCCCTTCCGCACAGCCTGTTGCCATCCTCCCCCAAAGCAGACACCCGCCGCCGGGCCGGTGACCTGCCCAGGCCGTCAACGCATGCCTCGAGACAGACACCCACACGCAGTCCCGCACACACGCCCAGACACTCTCCTTCGCTTTGCCCACGCAGCTCCAGCGTGGCCGGGCGGTCCTCCGCGGACCCGAGGAGAGACTCGGGCCTGAGGAGTCCGCTCTTACAGCGGATGGGGGCTCTACCTGTTCCACCAGGGTCGCGCTCCGCCCACAGCAGCCCGCTAACCCAACGCAAGGTACCGCAGCCTTACTCTAAAGACACACTGGATCTGGGAAGACCCAACACGTCCCACATCCCCTCCCAGCATCCACATGACGGCAATCACAACAGGAACACGCCCGCCAACAACAACCAAACGTGCGGTACCAGCAACCTGCGTCCGCCGCTTCAGTTCAGAAGAAGAGATAACTCCTGCTCCAGTGAGCTCATGACACAGAGAGAAAAAGAGCCTCCGGATTACCCCCCGGCCCAGTCCCCAACGTCAAACAACGTTTTTCTCCGTCCCTCTCTCGATCGGATGGGCAATGAGCATGCTATCAGAGTTCGCGGGGACTCCGCCAGCCAATCAGACGAGGAGATGGGCTCTCCTGAAGACAGCAGTCCGGCCTCCTCTCCATGTCCCCTTCTTCCGCCACCGATCACATTCAACATGCCAATGATGTCCGAGATTGCTGTCGATACGTTGGATCGAAGCCTGGATAAAGAGGCTGCGTCCGCAGCGACACACACACCCAGAGTCAACATGGCTACTGTGGCGCCCTTCAGCTACCGGTAACGCACACTCGCACACAACTGATACAACATCACAAGTCCCCAATTACTGATACCCATGCTTAAACTATCATGATCACGCTATGTGCCCATAGCACGGTATGAGCGCCCTCTCTTCTCATATTGTGTGTGTCTGCCTGTGGCTGTTATTTGCACACACACTTGTTTTCTGGGGAAGAGTTGATTGTCAAAGTGTCCCCCTGACAGCCACTGGGCTGACTCACTGTTCTTTCACACACTCCTTTTTGTAATGTGAAATAATAGAGGGAAAGAAAACGACTGAATCTAATTTGGTATTTGAAAAAAAGTAATGCCACTGTGTCCTACGTGTGTGCTGGAGTAGTTTTGTGGGGGGGGGGGGGGGTCTGGTTAAGTGATTAAATACAGGATTAATGAATCCGTCTTGGAAAAAACTATTTTTGATTATTTGCATTCTGTAAAATACTTTATAAAATAACGAAGAAGAAAAAAATTAAGACAAGATCTTTAATTGTTACGCTATTTCACTGTGATAATGATGAAATTATGTCCAGTGCATAGTGCATTTTATGAGATTTTCTGTCTATAATTGGCATTACGGATCAATGTGACACACCGATTTGCCATACACGTTAGCGTACGTGTTTGATTATAATCAGCAACATTAACAGTGATTTGCATGTACTGTAACAGACGTGTTACGATTGTTTAAATTATGTGTTAACAGGCTGCATTCACAGGACAACGTTTTTTCAGTGGATGAACTGAGTGACTGCTCATCTGGATCCATAGAAGTCTGCTGTGACGACCTAACACTAGGTCAGACGCACACACACACACACACACAAGTATGCATAAAAAATAGGGCTGTCAATAGATGATAAACAAAATGAACTAATTAATTGCACATTTTGAAAGTCATCAACTTTTAATTGCGATTAATCGCTCTCAATTCTCCATTAATTTGAAGTGCCAACAATCTCCCCACATTTAGCCAGGATGTTTTAAAACCACGGCCTTTTAGGAACACAGTGATGGTCCTCTGCGCCGCGTGTGCCGCGTTGGGTAGTTGTTGAGATAAAATTAGCATAATCTCGGCCATATTAATCCCATAGATTAACTCGCATCACTTTTCCGACCTTTGGGTTACATTGTGGAACGTAAAAAGACTCATTAAAGGAGTCTCTTTCTGTCGCTCTCCCACTCAGAAGGCCCGGGGAACCATGTCAGGTCGTGTGATTTTGTGTGCGTCTCAGCCTGTAGCTCTGCTGACTTCATCGGTTCCTACTCTAGAGGAAGATATTAAAAAGAAAGATGGACTTGGGATGTTAGAACTGACGGAAGATGACATGGGTGATGCAAGTTACTAATTGGACGAAATGGGGCACTTCTAGATCCGCTGCCAGAAAGTCTTATTAAATGCACATCCTTCTCTGCTACATCCTTTAGCTGCTGGAGATGTTGTACCCTTCCTCTCTCGTTCTTTTAATCATCCCTCCCTCTTTGCAGTTCCTCCTTGCCAGCATCACTGACCTAAAAAGCCACCGTCCCAGCATGACCCTCTCCATGTCCTATTAAGTAATAGCTTGCTCTGTACCCACAGCCACGGTCATGCTCTGTAGTGGTGAGTCGAGGGATTCGGACGTGCTTTGGAGATGGGACTTAATCAGTGGCTTAGTGAACCATTCTTTGTGATGCAGGGTCACTTGGAGAGGATAGGATTCACTGCCTTGCTTTGAAATGTGCTGTCCAGAGTTAATGTGTGTCTGTCAGCATTAAGCCTTGACGTTGGACTTGAAATGACACAATGGATTAAAAGTGCAGATTTTCAGTTTTAAGAATGTAAGAGTGTACTAATAAGTGCAGAAAGGCATATAATTTCCACTACGTTAATCTATTGCTGATGTAGGAACAATTTTTTTTGCCACACTACTACAATGCTTGTCAAAGATATGGACATTTCTTTCAAGGCTCAGATGTAGTCGGCCTCACCTGTAAAATGTGCTGAATCTGGCGGATCCCCGCCTGTTCCTGATTGTAAGTTATTAAATAAATGGATAATAAAATAGCATTTAAATCAATGACATAGTAATTTAAGGTCTCAAAGAACTACGTGGGGCTACATCTGAGATCGGAAGCATATAAATGCCTCATTTTAAAATATGACTATATACTGCTCTTAAAGGGATAACCTGACAGCACTTTCTCTGCACATTCCACATGGCCAGCGGACCTCCAGGGAAACATTTACACGGTGTACAGCCCTGCCCTTCACAATGCAAATGTGTCAATTGTCCTACAATGCACATATATTAAGCATATTTAGAAATCGCGTTTTGTTAAATGATATCCAAAACATGCCTAGAATTTAAAGCTCTCTATAGCTATTCATTTTGCCTGTTAAAATTGCAGCCAGGAGAATAAAGCCATTAGCAAATAAAAAGCTTTTAAAAGCTTATTGAAGGTTACTCACCAGCTGTTTGTGGAAAGTGGGGGTGGGACCTCATGGCAGCCCAGCCCTTGGCTTTGAAGGCCTCTGGCTGTCTTGGGACTATGGTTTCTGCCTTGTAATTGGTCCCTTGAAGGCGTTAGAAACAGAACCAGTGTCTCAGGCTCCCGCGAAGCTGCATTTACATTGAGGGTGGGCTGACACCGTAATGACTGTAATTTGGGGAGCAGGGCAAAGGAGGGGAACAGCGAGGAAGGAAAAGTTTGGCGGGATGGAAAAGGGAACGAGTGAGAGGGCTTACAGAAGGTAAAGAGGAGACCTGATAAGGGCAGCGGGTTGATGGAGGAGAACAAAGCACAAAGGTGTGCACAGTGTTAAAGAAGACACATTGAATGTTGGATATTTCAAGGCTGAGGACTCTGGTTGCACAAACACATCAAGGGGTACTCATGATTTGTGATTTGGTTACGGATGTCTCGCGGGACTGTGCTAAAAGAGTAGTTTCCCACAGATTCCATTTTTTTTCCCACACGCTTACATTGGGTTGGATTGAATCATCTGTAACATAATCAGCTCTCACATCTTCTTCTGGAGCCCCTAATGAAGACCTGAACTATTAATGTGGCTGTTGCATCATGTGGTGTTTCAATTGGACCGCCGACCTACTGACCTTGTGGCTCTCTGGAGAGGTGTTTTTGAGCATGCGTTTGTGTCTGAGCCTGTGTGTGTATGTGTGCTGATGTGTGCGTGTGTGACAGTACACAGATGGTGTTTAGAAGATAAATGTGATGTGTGGACTGTGTATCATTTTTCATGTCCCAGTGAGGGTATGGCCGGATGTTCCCTATGGACACACTCAGCTGTCTCACTCTCTCTGTCTGTCTTACACACACACACACACACACACACACACACACACACACACACACACACACAGAGACACTGTACAGACAAAGCTCATGTGTACATCTGGATATGGATACATATAACACTGCATCGCACACTCACTCTCTTATGACAAATGTATAACAAAATAACTGTATTTTACAGGTTTGTGATTGACATGTTATTTGAAACAAATGGGCATGTATTACCTTGAAACCGGCACACAACTTGAGCTGAGATTTCAATGATTTTTCCCAAGGTGACGCAAAAATGGCTAAATGGCCATCAGCCAACCAAAATGTTTTGGTGATGTGCATGGGGAGCTACAGCGATCAATTCACTCAATAAGGAACTACACTTTGTGCCGCTTGGCCGTTGGCTTCATTCCGGTGGTCATCATCATAATGCTTAGCTAAAAAGTCAAGACACTGATTAAGAACATACGTTTTGTTTTCCTATCATCCACTTGCAAGGCACTCCACTGTGTAGAGTCCTCACATACTCTAAGTACAGTTAGAAACCCGCTTTTAGCAATCACTTTTAGGGTAGTAGAAGTCAGCAAATCTTAAGTAATGAAGGCAGGAAATCAGCTGGCAGTGTGTAAATGTTACGCCTGCCACCTCTTTAATGGCCTTGGACAGTCTAATGGATGGAGCTTTGATAACCCCGCCTGCATCCACTCTTAGACCGTGTGTAATCCTCTTTGGCCAATCTAATCAGAGAGGCATATGCCGAGTTGCCGTTGGATAGTGATGAGTGGTTTAGTGGCTTTGGGAAGATGATCAGACAAAAGCATGGACCAGATTATGTCCTCGCTCATCACCGGGCTCTGTAGTAATCACTATATAGGGTTTGCATTCATTACTTTATATTTGACTCTAACTTGTAGTAAAGCTGGAGCGATGTCCCATTTTTTTCATGTTTGGGTCAGGGGGGGTGAGTTTGATGGGAAAGACATAATTACTGTGAGTGTATGTGGAGGCACATAATCCATAGTGATCAGAAAGGCACACAAATAATATATGTATGAAGTGAAAGGAGTCGCACATAGAAGCTCCTCATTCTCCTATTCGTCTGACACACTTAGGCATCCACCCACTGTATGGCAAAAGGGGGCTAAGACAGAGCTATCACCTCCTCCTCCTCCTCCTCTCTGCCCCCGGGGACATTTCCTTCCTTCCTATGTCCGCGTTAGATAGAGCGAGAGATGAAGGAGGGAGGAGGATGAATGGAGAAATGGGTGAGGTGCGTGCACGCACTCAAGAACCTTTTTGCCCTGTGTGGTGACTCCCAACCCAGGGAGTCGAGTTGGAGTCACTCATGTGTGTAACCTCTCTGTGTCTCTTCGGGACCACACACACGCACAAGAGGAGAAGACATCTTATCTGTTCAATGAATGACCCATGGAGGTTAAAACGCAAACTCCAATGTGAGCACATAACTACTAGTATCAACATTCCTGATTTGAATTGAATCCTACACTCATGCCCCCACAATGTAGGTTTAAATTTGCATACTACTTTAAATCTTACTCTAGTAACGGCAGGTTTTTTTTGTGCAGACAGTCACACGTGCTGTTGCTGATGATACTCACGGATGCACCGGCACCACGCCGTAACCAGGCAACCAGCCTCTGCAGCCCCCCCCACACCCTCCCCCGGGAGGCGTGCTGTCAACTCTTAAGGAGCATCTACAAAGAGTAGTGAAAATGTTCCTCTTTAACATTGTCCAGATTGCCAGCTGACGTGGTTCCTGCTCTCAGCTGTGTGTGACTCACTGACGGGCTCCGTGCGAGCCTGGTGTTTTTGTTGGATTAACGTTTGTGCCTCCGGAGTGAGGAGTTGGTGTGAGTGATACGCTCGCACCATTACCATGGCTAGCTTTAAGTGGCTGAATTGTCCGAATGCTTCAGCCAGTGACTCATGCTGTGCATCATCGGCAATGAAGCGAGGCTGCCAGAGAGTCGGACCTCCCTCTCTCATTCATACTGATTCACCACTCATTGTGTGCATCACATTGTCGCCGGAGTATTTTGTCTGTAAACAGGACATTAAGAAACATGTTATTGTGTTGGTGCTGTTGTGTCACGGCCTGGTATTCGTCCCCGCGTCCCGAGGACCTTGTGCGTTAGCGTGTTAGCGGACATAAGCGAACGTAGCGGGAGTGGCGAGGCGGCGAGGCAGGATATCCTCTCTCTGTCTTGCAGGCTTCCTCTGCTCCTCTAGCACACATATAGAGATCCTTCCTCGTCCCCCCATCCTCCTCCTCATCCTCTAACTTTCCTCTTTGCGTTGTTTTCTACATTACAGTTTCACATCGTCAACCAAAGCCAGTCAGTTGGCTTCTTCCTGTTCTGCCCTGCTCCACTTCCACTCTCAGTCACACACTTTTATTCTCAGTATTCCAACCTGTTCACACTTTGTTCATTTTTAGAACACCTCCTTTTTTATTTTACTACTACAAAGTGAGAGAACAAATGTGCTTAGTTGAGTGGGAATTGTTACTCTTAAAGCAAAGTCAGTGTGATACAATGAATTACACCCAAAGCAGCATTACTGTGCTCCTCGCAGTACTTTTCCTTTCAAAGCTGGAGACCTATAATGGGCCACACAGCGTCTGTGTTTGTGTGTCTTGCTGGCTGCTTCCCTCTGTAGAAGTATACTGGCGAAACTGTTCATGTAACTGTTTAAAGATGCGAGGGCAAATTTACTCATGCAAAGCACAGAAACACCCTGCCGCTCTGTGTCTGTCCGTCTGTCGCTTTCACTCTCTCCAGTTCACCCTGCAATTTATCCGCCCATTCATATCCGTGTGTGTGTCCCCCGTCTTTGCTAAAAAGTCTCATGTGTGTTTGCCCGTCAATGTGGTCAACCCACAAACACCTTCACGCAAACACACACACACACACACCTACTCTCACTTGCTCCCTCACACACACACGCACACACACACACTCTTCTGTTTCGTCCTGAATATGTGAGTGTGCTGTGAGCACTGGCACTCGTCACACTTTGCCAGCTTCTCTGATGTCAGGCCAGATTGCTCAGGTCAGTCAGACACTCTGCACTGACAGCGCGCTCTGTGTGGGTGTGTTAGAGAGAGAGAGAATATATGTTTACATCAGCCATATATTAAAGTGATTAGAGTGTGGAGCCAGAGAGACGAGCACTGGAACAAACAAGAAGCTGTTTGCTGCCAACACACACTTTACCCGTGTGTGTATTACGAGCTTTCAAGAGCACGCGTCTCGGGCCCCGCGAGCATCTGTGCGCCACACAGACCGGCCTTGTACGCGGCCACTCTCATTTGACTAACTGTAATCCCTCATCAGGGAGGTATAAGAACTGACGCGCAGCACCGATTAGCCTTAAATTATGTCCCTTACCCCCCCTACTGCGCTGGTAGCAGACCCCAGAGCCCCCATAACTGTCACCGCACAGCTCCTGCCTTGGTGTGACATAACCACCTCAACATTGGCCCTTTATCAACGCTAGCTGCGTCTAATGAATGGCTTTAACATGTACACGATAAAACGGCCAATGTACGTCTGCGTCTCGTCTGCTGCTGAGCTCCTGTATTGCACGCACTCATTCAAGGCCCAGTGGATGGACTCATTTTTAGGCTCAATAGGCGCCAGTTTGACTGCTGTTGGAAAATTAGCTGTTTTTAAAGTAATCTAAAATTGAGTGTAGAATGTGAGCAGCGAACAGGACGATGTTTGTTTTTCTGTCTGGTTGGGTGTCAACCGATTTATGCAAATTCCATTGTAAATGCGCATATAGGCCCAACAGCCTGCTTGTTTGAATACTACTTCTTACAGTTTGAGACCTGATAACATCAGAGCTGCAGGCATTGCTGCATATAAGAGGAATGCATTAATGATAATGCATCCAGAGCACTAAGACGCCACCAGCTACAATACCCGTACGCAGACAAGATGCATTAAAGCACAAAAAGACATTTTGTTTTATGCACTGTCATCATGGTTACCTGTACTCGAAATAAAACAATTATAGTATTTTTCTGTCTATATTAATGTCCCCCTCTTATCCACCCAACTCTGTAATGAGGAGTTACAGTAAGAGATGAATTGGAGATGATGATGGGGTAAAAGAAGCGAATGGCAAAGAGGATGAGGAAGGGTTCCTCCTGTCCTGTGTTGATTGCGATGGGATGTCCAGAGCAATGAGATGGCGTAGTTGAACGAGCCAGAGCTAAATGAGTCTCTGGATGGGAGAGTTGGCCTCTCTGAGCCTTGTCTTATCGATGTGACACACTCGTAGAGACAGCCTCACACACACATACACACACACACACACACACGCACATGCACACACATGCACACGCACATGCACATGCAGGGGAGGAAGCACAAATATATAGTGACACCGATACTCATCCATCCATCCCACACGTGTAAATGGTGCTTCTTTACCTCTGAGGTATGTGATGGTTCGGCTGATGGAGGAGATTGTTATCAATATACACCTCGCACAACTTAAGGGTCTTTGCATAGTAACTGGAAGAGGGGGATGGGTGACATAATATTGGTCTGGAGGAAGGAAGGAAAGGAAGTTGAGGAAATGAGAAAAGAGCATGGAGAGGTAATGTGGTGCAGGTCTGATGCTCATTGGAAGTCTGTTGGCTACTAATTGAGGGATAATTAGTGACTAACCTATGCGCTTGTGGATTAGGGACTGGTAAATGTGTGTCCGGTTCCTTTTTTTTAAGCTGATGCGGCATCCCCGGTTTGGAATCAGCCTAATTTTGGGGGGGGGGGGGGGGGGCTCTCGTGATTGTGGCACATAAAAACATCTGAATATGAATGGATGAATGGAGCCATTAATGTGATTATCATTACAGTTGATTGGACATGCATGCGTGTGCGCTGGGAGGCATTGTTTGTGTCACGCACAGCTGAATAAAATATGAATATTTATTTGTTTGGATATATTTTTTCACTTCCTTTGATGTACTTTCTAATCGTCTTACTTCTATCCCCCCCCCCCCCCCCCCCCCCCCCCTCCCTTGCTTCACAAGGGCTGAATCTGTGATGCGTGTTTGCGATAAAGAGAGAAAAAGCGGATTGGTCGGGGAATCAGCCAGTGGGTGGAGAGAGAGCGAGAGACAACAAGAAAGAAGGAGGGAAGGATAGAGGAGTAAGAAATAGTGGAGGGAGGGTGAATGAGCCAGCGGGGGGTGGTGGTCGAGTGAGCAAACCAGCGAGTGAGGGTGGAGGTAGAGGGAGGAGAGAAAGAGGAGGAGGAGGGGGGGATGTTGCCTGCTGCTGTTGCGACTGTGTCTTCTGTCAGTCGGCTGCTGCTCGGAGGGAGTGCAGAGCTTGAGAGAAGCAGAGAGGGACCCCGAGGAAGAGGCTGCTCGCTGCCGCGCTCCGTCCTATTGTGGCACCGGGGGCCGCGGACGCCTTTCTGAGGAAGTGGATTCTGCCGCTGGGTGACAGAACCTCAGATCCATTGATCACCGGCAGTGAGTGAGGGTGACTGCTACTGCCACTCTACTAATCCACTCGGTCAGCTTTCAACGGAAGGGGAACCCACAGTCTTGACACGGGGGTGTTGGGCCGGGGGGGGGGGGGTCTGGACCCACTGGAGACAGGGAGGCAGAGAGGAAGGGCAAACCGCGCTACCTGCTTTTCCTCCCTCCATTTGTTTCAGTCTGCCTGTTTGTAGCTCAGAGTGTGTCACTGATGCTGTTGCTTGGCTCTCTGCAGGAGGGATGCTGGAGGCTAATGTGGCTAACATTAGCATGACGGCCAAGCCCAGCGAGCTGGACTTGAGGTCTGCTGCCGTCTCTTGCCAGGAAACCTCGGCCCAGGCCATGGCCTCTAAGAAGCCTCCGGCCAAGCCTTCCGCTCTTCCCCTGGGACACTCGCGTGCCTCTGGGTCAGAGCTCAAGGTCTACCGGCCCTCCTCTGGATCTATCCCCGTGCCCGCTCCCAATCCGTCCAGGCTCCGCAAGCAGAGGTCGCTTAATAACTTGTGTGTGCTCACGGATGCTGAGAAGAAGCTGCACCTGTATCAATCTCCCCGCTGGAACGACGACGCGATCCGGCCCGGCACAGACGCCAACAAGCCAAGCCAGCTTAAGAAAGTTCAGGCCGGCGGTGGCAGGACACCACTTTGTCGAACCCTTTCCAAGTCGGAACAGTCCCTCTTCCAGGGTAAGCCAAAAGCTCTTTGCCCCCCATCGGTTACTCCTTACGGGAACAAGCCGAGCCGAATACCTGCCCCCGGTAAACCGCGAGGACCGTATGCCGAGATCAAGCCCATTAGCAAGGCCCCTGTAGCGGGCCAGAATGCAGACACGGACCCTGAAGACCAACCAACTAAGGCTAACTCCAATGGCGCTGGGAACGCTGGGACCAATGGCAAGAAAATAGGGGAGAGGGAGAGATGTGGGTCTCTGTCAACAGAGGAAACGACAGACACGAAGGGGATGGAGGGAGAGGAGGATAAGAGCTTTCTGAAGGTGGACCCAGAGTTAGTGGTGACGGTTCTGGGAGACCTGGAGCAGCTGCTCTTCAGCCAGATGCTTGGTGAGTCTGCTGTTTTATCCCTATATGCTGCATGAAAACACACAGGTTCCTGTACTACAAACGGTTACTTATGGATTCAGTAGGTAGCCTGCAGTGTATACTAGGTAAACATCAACTCCTCTCCTCCCTAAACCCACCACACTGTTCCCTCCGGCCACGGCTGCAACTCCAGCATCACCAGTGAATTTTAAACGAGTCCGGCTTCCATTGCGGCAGAGCATAATGTCAAGTGCTTTCCCCTATACAATCGTGATAGCCATCCCTCTGTGGGTGTGGGAAATCCTAATGTTTTCACCACTGTAGACGCCATTGTCTTTCTTTATATGTGTAAAAAGTGTTTATGTTGTTGTTGTAATGTGTATAATATCTCTGCGTGCTCACATGAAACAGCTGAAGTAAACACTTCTAGAGGGCTGACATTGTTTTTTCTTGTTGATTTATTACGTAGCCCTGGAATGATTTGTCCATGTCTCATCTGACCCACTGCCACAGTGAGCCAGATGTACAGTACGTTAACCTATCAAACGCCTCACGTCTCCCAATCTTAATACATCTCCTTCTCACAGGTTTTATGCCTCTAACCCTACCACCCTTTTGACAGGGGAACCTTTTTTTTTAAATTTGAGAGCAGTCCATGCTTGCATTCATCTATCCCTGCGGTATTAAGAGAAAAGAAATGTATGTTTCATGTCGATGCCGCAGCATCTCTTGGCTCGCGACGAAATCAGCCACCCGTTAATAAAGGCCGTGCGAGGGGAACTGGCGGGGTGTGTGCTGTCAGTCGCTGAATAAAACGGCTGCATATTGAGTCAGGCCCTGGACACAGCGGGCCTCATATTTAGCCTTGCAACACTCGTCCCCTTCACCCCTCCCTCCCACCTCCCCTCCGGTTCCATTGATCTCCCGGCCACTGACAGATGGTCACCATCCACTCCCCCCCAAAAAAAAAAAAAACACCTTTCTCTTTTTTTTTGTTCCCGGGGGCAACGCGTGGAGCCAGGAAGGGGAATGGTGAGGGGGTGCGGGGGTGGCCAGATATAGTTTGCGTGCTAACTTTCACATAAACTCGCACACATCCCCACACATCCTCACAGGAGTACACACAGTCACACCCGGGGGGGGGGGGGGGGGGTCATCCAAAGTTTTCGCAAAGTTTAGGACGATGACTGAGTTTGTGACTAACAGGTCAAAGCAGAATTCTACATCGGCACTAACATCCATAATTCATTCCTCCACCCACCCACTGGTTTCTTTTTTTCTATCTATTGCTCATTCTCTCTCCATCTCCCCCCCTTGTCAGGACGACACCAGAGAGTGGGGCAGATATGGAGAGCGGTTATATCTGTCCATCATCAAACGTCTCTTTGTCTTCCTCCTCGCTCCTCATTTCCTCTTTTTCTCTTCACCAGCTCGCCTCCTGCTGCACTGCCCCACATCACAGCCTGTATGACCTTGCACACGCATTCCGCTGTGTGTGTGTGTGTGTGTGTGTGCGTGCATCTGTTTCTGTTCTGTACATGCTCTGTGCGTGCGCTGTGCATCTGTGTCCGTGGACTCTTTTCCCATCCTTGTTTGTAACGGTCGCTGGCCACACCTACACCAGGTATGAGGAGGGAGACGTGGTTGCAGGAAGGGGAAGGTAGAGGATAAAAATGAATTTATTCATGGTAGCTAATGATCTGAATTTCCACCTGACGTCCAAGAAGACCGAGCGTGGCTTTGGGTCCTGACAGCCTACCACAGCCTGAGTTGTATCATTAATAACACATTTGGTGTGTACATAGTGGTGTGTGTGTGTGAATAAGTAGCTACGTTTGTGTGTGTGTGTGTGTGTGTTACGAGGAGGTTAATTGTAACTTGCCCTGTAGCTTGCGGCTGTGGGCTCATCTTTTATAGCATCGGCTTCTCCATTTCCGATGGGACGCTCTGCTAATTGGTTTCTGCTCTGTGTGCTCTGTCATAGTAAGATAGATTATGAATGTTCAATGGATCATTCCTAGTGATCCACTCCTTCACTTCCTCTGAGCGATCCCACCTTCTTCCCGTCCGCTTCCTTCATAGAGGAAGGCAAGGTGTCCTTGGAATGTACTGTATAATATCATGAAAGATTGACCTTAACTCTGTCCTAGCGTGTTGTTATGGAAGCTTCACGTCAGCTGTTAGCTGCAGGGAGTGAAATATGGGCCTCTTGTATCTTGAATGTGACAGCTACCAGAATGCGCCACAATGCTGTCCTGTGATAGTGAAAAGATAATGGAGAATGCCTCTCAAGTCTAATCATTGGGATTTATAGCCCAAGACCACTGGCTACGTACTTAAGGGATAGCCGACCTCACACAAACCACAAAATGGAGAAGAGAAAAGACTCCAGGATAATTCAAAGTTCGGCCTTTTAGGTTTATCTCGCAGGGTGATTTAGGATTAGTTTCAGTATAATGAGTTTTTCTTTAATCGGACATACATGTTTTACTACTGAGAGATGAAGAGCTTTTCATTAATTGGATTTAGGGAATTACTTGTTGGTCAACAGACAGCAGCTCTGGACTCAGCGAATGATGAACTCTGTAAACTCTACCGATGAAATGCACCAACGTTGATAGCACCGTGTGAAACAGTGAACCTCAGATGTGTGCCACTAATGACACCTCCCTATCCCATCAGGCACCCACAAAGACGTGTATGCACGAGGGGTAAGCTCCCTAAATCAGTGGCCTTTCCCAGCATGGGGTGGGCTGGTTTTAGAGAGGTGCCGTCTAAAGACACCAGCAAGCCTCCGGATTAGACCTCGCAAAGAAATAACCCGGAGACTCAGCCTTGATTCCACTAATCACACATCATCTATCACCCTGGAAAAGACCAGCTATCAAGGATGAAATAAATTACAGATTAAAGGAAGGGACATCTGTTTGGATGGAGATTTAGGTATTAGGAGGGAATTCTCCTTTTTATCAAGGATCAGATAGAGAAAATAGATTTAGTTTAGCGGATTGGAGATGCTGCGTGGTTTTGGTGTTTTGCTGAGTTGCTGGTAGGAGCTGTCTGTGTTACTTACATGTGACCACTGAGGCTCGGCAGAAGAGAAGTAAATAACACTTGGTGACACATCAACCGACTCGACTACCAACCGGCAGGTTATTTTAAAGAGACCTTGTGTCGTTCGTGTGGTTGATGGCTCCTCGTGGGAGACGATGCATCCTAGTCGGCTGTCTACGGGACAATGGAGACATTGACAAAGCCTAAAAAAAGAAGACACACGCGGAGGAAAGCACAGGCGCGCGCACACACACACACACACACACACACACACACGCATACACGCAGACACAATCCTGTTCAAGAGAACTTAACAGCGCTGCAGGAAATAACAAAGCAGCTGCAGCTTAAAAAAACCCTCCAAAGCTCACACACACAAATTCAACGCGCGCTACATTCAGTCACTGACATCCTCTCCTGTCTCCTTCTCTGCATTCATCTTTTTGGCAGTGAGGGGGGTACTTTTCATTCTTAGTTGCTCAGTGCTGCTGATGGGGTGCGGGTGCGGCCCAGGCGGCCGGTTCCACCCGGGGCCTCGCTGACTGAGGGATTCGGGGCAGTCGTCCTCCCATCGAGAAGGTGGTGACAAGCCAAATGAATGCAGCGGCCAAAGGAAAGTGAGGAATGAAGCATCCCTCTGATTCCTTCTCCCTCTCTCTCCCTCTCTCTCTCTCTCTCTCTCTCTCTTTCATATCTGATTTGAGTTGACGGGTAGCAGTGGAAAGGATATTTCTGGTGGTGTGTTTCCGGAGGACAGGGCGACAATCTTTGGACAAACGGGGGGTTTTTGTCACCAGGAGTCGAGAGTCAGTTGCATGTTTTTTTTTTTTTAGTGTGCGTGTGTGTTCACAATGCATCGCAGTCAGTCTCTTAAGGACTTAATGCAGGAGCGGCTGCATTAGTGCTGTCTGCTTCCTGACATCCTCTTCCTAAATCATATTAGAACACGCTGTGTTTTTGTCTCATCAGCTTTTACGTAAAACACAAGCCGATACTCACATGCTGCTTACCACAAAAAAACAACAACATGTATGTGAGTGTGTGTTCACTACTGTTTCAAACCAATACCACTGGCCTGGTATATTGTGCACAGTTAAATCAAAATGCAAATGTTTTGTTGAGAGGACGGGGAGATTTGGTAAGTGACTCTTTTTTAAAACAGGATACACCATTTTTTACAGTAATGCCAGTCAAGCAAATCACAAAAAAAACCACATCTTCAAAACAGGAAAAGGATACAGCAAACCGTTAGCAAGCAGATCAACCAATAGACGTATAGACTTCATAGAACAGTTTGCTAAGGAAGTGCCTTTCTAGTTACTGCAGATCTGACATGAGGGGAGAGATTTTATGCTAAAATATTTGCTGCTGGATCAGCAAAAGTGAGCGAGGGAGAGAGAGCGAGGGAGAGAGAGAGATGAGGACTCAATAAGTTATCTAGGCCGCTTTGTGGTGAGGAATGTTCAGTATTCATCTGTTTCGGTTCTATTTGTGTTTTCCTGTTATGAAAGGCGTCAGATAAAAGTGCCTTTTGTTATTGATGTAGCTATGTGCGTGTTGTAGCCGCGCACACACATGCATGTGAGGATTACATTTGTGTTAATGCAGTGTCAGTGTTTTTGGGCCAAAGCTAAAACCGACAACAAGAAGCAATCAGAAACATCACCTATGAACATCTCCTCATTTGCTAACTAGAAATGTACGAACACAGTGGAAATTTTTACAAATTTTGAAGTTTTGCAACGACTGTGTACAATATCGCTGCAACGTTGCAGCAGAAAAATGAGTTAGAAGTGACTTTTGAACAAAAACGGTAGCATACACATAACAGCCATCTTTTATGCATTGCATTTTTATGCAAAAATACAGTTTGATGGGAGATTTGGCCATACCATGCATATCAAGTCAGCTATCCTTTCAACAGCTCTGTTTTTATGTGACCACCTTCAATTCAAAACGAGATGTTT